CCATTATATAGTCGGCGTTGCTCCGCGCGCCTTCTTCTCTCCTTGTCGAATATTATACATTTTACCTAGTATCCACCAGAACCCGTACCAGCCCCGTGATACATATTCTACAATTATTAGATTTATTAGTCTTCTCACCTCTAAAAAATGCCTATCGACATACATTCAATAATTTGAATTCTTTTTCTGATTTTATATTAATTGGAAAACATAGCTTTCTTCATTATTATTATTAGAAAACTAAAGCAAAAACTTTAGTAATCTATAATATCAAAGTGAGATAAAAAGCATTGGATTTATAGCCCAAAAACTGTACTAAACCTCTTATAAATCGATTATTGCTTAAAAACAATAATTAAAAGATTTTATTGATTAATCTAGTATCTGATAATAATCCTTAATTTCAATAGAATATAGAGATATTAGTTATTGTTTAAAAAACCGTTTAAAAAGTATTTGATCTTTGATTATATATATCAATTATAATCTAAGAAAAAGAGCCTAATTTGCCAATAAGATAATTGCTTTTTCGAAAGATTATTAAGGTTTTTGATATCAAGGATTATAAACTTATAGTATTGGGGAAATGAATAAAACAATTGAAATATCAATTGAAAACAGTTATATCTAAGAAAAGATATAAGATTGTAATTAATCCAAATATTAGATTTATAGAGATTAGAGTTATTAGAGAGATACAAATTGTGGCTGAGGACTATAGAATTATTGCAAAGGATAGTAATAATATAATTGAAAGTGATAATATAGGCGATTTTATTTTAGTTGAATAGTTATTAAGTTATATAGTTTGGGAGATAGAGAGTTTTTTTTTCATTGGGTGGCCGAAAAGGGGGAGTGGCCGAAAAGTGGAGTAGTTGACTTATAGATAGATATACTAATTATGAATTCGATATATATTTTGTTCTATTCTATTTTATTCCAATTTATTCTACTTCAGTCTACTCAAGTAGTACTTCATTCTTTAATATTAATTTCTAATTTCTAATTCCTAATTTCTAATTCCAATTCTAATTCTATTCCATTTTTTAACTTCTAATTTCGGTTTTCAATTTCATTTCTTTCTCATTCACTCACTTATTCTCTTTCTCTCTTACTTATTCACTCACTCACTCTCTTACTTACTTTCTTACTTTCTTTCTTATTCATTTATTTACTCACTCATTCACTTACTCTCTTTCTTACTTATTCATTCACTTACTCATTTACTTATTTATTCATTATTTACTAATATCTCTACAACTACTATATATATACAAAAAGTTAAAATCATCGATATCGTAACGGAAACACAAAGAAGAAAAAGCGATATTATCAAGCAAGACCTAGTATCTATCAAATACTCATCTAGTACCCAGTATCCATCTAGTATCTACCCAATATCTAATACCTAACTAATACCTACCCAGGTAGTAGCTAGTAGAAATAATCATTCTAAGTTGATAGTCATATAGAAACAAAACATCATATTATCTAGTGATTAGTAATAAATTCCAGGTAAAAGTAAAAGTGATATTGAAAACCATCGATTGCATTCTATTTTCACGTTGTCATATTTTTATATTCTCATGTCCTCATATCCTATCCTAATCCAATGAATAGCCAGTCTCCAGTCTCCAGATCCTCAACACCCAATACCTATCCCTCATCACTCATCTCATCTCACCCTCATCTCCTCATCACCCTCCTCACCTCATCTACCCACTCACTCTCTTCTCCTCACCTCAACCCATCCTATCCCCCCTCATCCCACCCACCTCAAAAATAAACCTCCATCACCCCCGCCAACCTCACTCCCACCGCACTAACCAACTCCGCAATAATCCCCTTCAGACTATTCATATCCGTCAGCACACCCGTTTCCCACCCCACCAATCGGTGCGTCAGAACCAATTCGCGTGTCTCTACATCACCTCGTCCAATGCGAATTTTGATGTTGTCTAGTGGTGCTTTGGTTTGGAGATCGGTGGTGGATAGGAGACCGGGCATTCGGCTTTGGAATATTGGGGTGCGGACGTCGTCGTCTTCGTCGTCTTCGTCGAGGTCTGATAGATTTGCGCATGGAGTTTGGGTTGTTGGTTTGGGTTCTGGGCCTTGATCTGATTTCGAATCCTCTTGTTTCTCACTAACGTATTTCCTCGCATCCAATTTTCCTCTCAGGTTCTCATCAAACAATATCCAAGAATACGTTTCTGGATCGAGAAAATATTGAGGGCTATAATCCCCTTTATATCTCATCTTCACACAACTATGGATATAAAACCCGGCATACCAATATTGATACCCATCTTCCTTTGCCAAAGCAATTTCTCTCAATGCTCCTAGTTTTCCAAACCCGTGAGAATGTACGGATTCGTGATACATGAAGTATACTGCGCTGATGCATTGGGGGAGGAGATCGAGGACGCCCATGGCGATTAATTTTCCATCGAGGCGGTAACATTGGTGGTAGGATCCAAGGCGTTTGGTTTTGCCATCGATGGTCTGGGTACTTCGGGATATGGGTGATGAACATAGAAAATTCTTGAATCCTTGTTTGCTTATTTTATTGGGTGGTTCATGATGAACGATTCGTTGGTAGTTTTCAAAAAGAGCAAATTTTTCCTCGGTAAAGTCATCGAGTTCTAGTGTGACGGTAAAAGAGTGAGCTGGTTCTGGGGGAGTCTTGATTTGTTCCTTCTCTCCTTCGTGAATTCTTTCCAGAAGATCGAAATCCGTGTTACGTTTCTTGGCTTGCTCCCGTGATTTGGGGTATAATCTAGCTGTTTCTTTGGTATACGTATCTCCGAGGATGTACCTGTTGAAGCGATTCAAAACTTGTCGCTGATCTTTAGTTGCGTGGAATTGGTGAGAATCAAGACGGATGGTATGTTGTGGACAACAAGAATCCCGTAAGTCTGGTTTGTATAGTAAGGAACCTGAACGCCTCCATCCTCGATCAATAAGACCTTGGTAGAATTCTGGTTGTAGTATTTGGGTTCTTGCGTAATACGAAAAGCCTATAGATGCAAATAAATGAATGTCTCTTTTCACTGTGTAGAAACTTGGGTCAAGCCTATGAGCCACGAAAGGAGAAACTCAATATCGAGTACCGAATATAGGAAACAAAGGGGGGGATTTCCCTAACGAGAAGCACATGTAATAGAGAGCAGAATACAGATCCGTAAGACAATAATTGAAATATGTAACTAACTTCCTGATTTATTGTGACAATACCCGCAACTGTTGTTACTGTAGCCTAAATATTGTATGAAACAAGTCAGTCAATGTAATAATTTTCATCATATCCTTTAATTCAAAAGGATTCAAAAAGGTACTGAAATCTGTAGTGACATTTGCATTTTGTATTGCAATAGATTATAGTCTAGTATCAATGCGGAACCGGAACCGGAACCGGGGAAGAGGGAAGAGGGATTGAATGACTTTCTTTGGAAAGATCGTGATGAATATGGAGTTGTAACACTTGTTTTAACTATAGGTTTTGAATTTCCGGTTCAGCCGTGTCTTTGGGAACTGGATGAAGTATTTGGTGGGGGTAATTGTCAAAACCACAATGAAGGAAATGAGATTGTGGACAACTGGGCAATAACTTTCTCATCATATTTTCCCAGTGATATTTTTGGAATATATGCAGTAGTACGTACTAATAAGTAGGTACAATACATTTGTACATCTGTACCCCTCTTGCAGTGCGACAAAAGGAAAGTGAAGTAGGAAAGGGGGGGAGAGGAATTCAATATCAAAATGAATTGTCATCGAGCCATTTACCCACGAGGTCAATTTATTGGCCAATGATGATTCAAAATTGAGATTGAGGGTCTCATTTTTTTTGGCTTTTCCAGTAAAGAACGTTAGAACTTACCAAGGGGCGAAAGAAGCGAGACTGGGGTTTGCATGATGTGGAAATAGCCAGAGGTGACAAGGTGTCGATGTTGGCGATGAGATGTTTATTGTACGGGTACGGGTATGGGTACGGGTAGAGTAGTAGCGGCGGGATTGAGTAGGAGAGAGTGAGAGTGAGAGTGGGAACGGGAGTGGCTTTGTTGATTGTGAAATGTAAATTGTATATTGTAAATTGTGAATCCGCGTTCAATCAAGAAAGATAGTAGTTGTTTGTGGAGTTGTGATTCATGCTTAACCAATACTCGAGTAGATGATGTGTAATCGTTGAGGAACCAATCATAGGGAGGTTTTTAGCTGGTGGGATACCTAGTACCGGTACATACTCAGTACTTGATATGATTCTGATAAAGCTCTTCTTGTTGTAGTGTACTGGTCGCGGCTTTTGCGGCTCGATCCAAATCTTGTGTCACGGCTTTGTAGGAATTTCGGCGTTAGTAGACTAGTAGAAGATCTCTACGATACCAATATCAATCATGGCTCGGTAACCCCCACTCAGTACATAGATGAATATGCAATTAGGAAGGAAGAATTGGATTTCCGAATGATAGATATATTACCGGGTATCGAGATTGATATTGTTTGATGCAGGCAGGCTCCAATGTAGTAGTTGTTGGTCGCAAGGTTAATATTGAAAGCAACTCTAGCTACCCTCCTCTAGCTACCAACACAGCTACTCCAGCTGCTAGATCATATAAAGAGATATTGTGAGAATATTATCTGCAATTTTTATATCGTTCTACTCATTATGATTCTGGGTATTCAATATTTGGTACCAGTATTGTGTTGATCTACAAGTAAATTCTATTATTGATGCTACAATTCCTATACTCACCCATTTAATACCAATCACTATGGCTAGATGTTATTCTTGAAACATACAAGAATGAATATCAAAAGGTACCGAGAGTTGTATTGCCGTTATATCTACTTAGATACTCTACGAGTATACTAAAAGAAGATTATCAAGAAGAAGAAGCTACTCGAATAGAGACAAATACACTCCGTTATAGCTGTATTATTAGCTGTTCATCTGTTCATATGGTTTAAAACAGTATCAAATAATAATATTCCAAGCTAAAGACAAGCTCTCTCTTCTCTTCTCTTCTCTTCTCTCTTTGACCTCCGTTTGCTCCGAACTTTCTTTCACACAAACCTGGGAAGTTTTATTACAATACCGGTACTAGGTAATTAGAAATGAGTGGGTGTTATTGTTATGGCAAGCCTTGCCGTAACTGTACCTGATCGAGTAGTACTGTAGTACTATCACAGTCAGTCAGTTCAGATATCATCAAAGAAGAGAGAACACTCACTCTCATCCACAACTCAGCCCTTTTTCTTCTTTCTACCAAAACTTCGAATTTGTCTGATACATTTCCAACACATAATGACGAACAATTAAATTAAATTTTGTCTTAAATTCTATATAAAATCACAAATTTCCGATCGATATTGACAAACTACCGTACCTACCACAAACCACACACACACCATATACACACATACCACGATAACATGCATGATTGCGCTTCCTGATACTTTTTTAAGAAAAAAAGTTACAGTAGCCTACTTCTCGCAGCCGAACTTTACCTCAACAAACTTTCTTAGTTATTCGACTTCACAACAACAAACTGTGCTTCCTGCACTGTGCATCAGCACCCTACCTGAGGTGAAGCATCGCCTTCATCATGGCAACTGGTCTTTCTATGGAGTCTCGTACTGGGAGAAATAATCAACGTACGTTTGTAATTCCTCTTGTGTCATTTGGCGCATGGTACCTTTTTACATTCTCCTATTTCCAAATCCGGAAATGTTCATGGGCTTACATACTCCTTTGGGAATATAGGCTATGGTCCAGAAGGAGAAAGACTCGTTGCAGGAGTTGTACCTTTAAACGAAGCAAAAACTCACGTCCTCCTCATTCAATCTACACGTCGGAACGCATGGGTTCTACCTAAGGGTGGATGGGAAACCGATGAAGAATGCACCGAAGCAGCACAACGTGAAGCATGGGAGGAAGCAGGAATCGTCTGTACTGTCGATTATGATTTGGGTCAGATCACCGAAACCAGAACTGCGAAGCAAATCTCGAAAAATGCACCCAAGGCACTCTACCAATTCTACCAAGTCACTGTCACAAGCGAAGAGACTGAATGGCCAGAAATGCACAAGAGGAATCGAAAGTGGGCAACATATTCAGAGGCAAAACAAGATCTTCAAGAACGTCCAGAGTTATTACAGGCTCTGGAACGTTGTACCGTTCAGCGGTAGCCTTGGGTGCCCGGTGTTTATCTCTCCAACGATTCCTGTGGGCGGTTGCGAAATACGATAACATGATATTTTCTATCCGGTCGAGTCGAAATCGAACAACAAGATTTGAAAGGTCTTACACGCCAGTCAGTTATTCAACGAGTCATGGATACCGGGTTCCGAAGAAAATTAAGCCAAAATTTATTTTGAGGATTTTATTTGGGTTGGTTGGTTTTCTTCAAGAAAATTGCTTGCTTTACTCTTTTTTCGTCTCGAATCCCACTAGCTGGCAATAAAGTCGGATCTAATGCAGTGTTCTCACATGTTTTATGGTCATTTCTGTTGAACTTTTGGTTTTCGACAGCTTCATTATCATATTCCCAAAAGCGCCATATAACATGAGATCTTCATTGAAGTACCTTTTCTTGCTATATCTATGAAGTGGGCATTACTTTACTAACAGCCCATGAAAATCTCGATTAAGATTCAAAAACAAAGGGAGATGGACTGATTGATATTGAATAATATATAACAAGAAGCAAGGAGCAATGATATTGACATCAAATTCTCTACTCGGGTACTACATTCAAAAAGGGGATTTGTATAATATTTCATTTTCCTGCTATTCAGTATACTCTTCCTGGTGAGGAAAGGTTATATTGCTGTTAATTTATTCACTCTATTAACTTAGGTAGAGAAATGAAGATATAAAGATAGAAGATACAAGATAATAATGCTGTACACTTTTTGATTCTGATATCAATTTGACTTGACTTGACTTGACTTGTCCCTTTTTCTAATCCTAAGAAATCTTTTCTTACCTCAACTTTGATAGTGCATCTATCAACCGATTGGTCGCTCTCTATCACAAGCATCATCGAATCTTCTACTTGCAAACAATCTAATCATTCTATCCACCTCTCTACAAACCTCAACCTTTGGAGTCTATATCACCAACCTTGCGGAATGGATTGGTGGAGTCTCTCTTTATTACGATAAACATTTTTCACCTTCAGAGACAAATTCGATGGAGCACCAACCAACATATCAGGGCCCCGAAGGAGGGGCAGAGATGCCAACTCTTGGAGCTGGAGTACCTTCTCCTAATCAGCAACTCCCTGCGCAAATGTTCACGACAGCTGCGCAATTACTTGACCTGACTGATAGTAAGAACCCTCACTCTGAAAAGCTATACATGACACGTTGGTCTCGATGTGGCTACTTGCATAGGGACTCTGCTAGTGGCGGACCTACTTCTCGAGAATATGCACATACGGACCCTTCTACGATGAGTGCATATGCTAATCATCATCCTCACTTTGCAGAAAAACTTATGATATCTCTCCGCGATGGCAGAAAACTTATTGGAATTCTTCGAAGTTGGGATCAATTCGGTACGCACATCATCTGTTTACAAACACATTTTCTTGTGGAACATCAAATATTCTAAACTCCAAACTATAGCAAATATAGTACTTCAATCTACTGTCGAGCGTATATTTGTCGCACCCCCTACACCCTCTTCCCCAGATGCCACCACACAACCCGGACTTTACGCCGATATACCTCGAGGTCTCTTCCTCGTCCGCGGCGAGAACGTATTACTTCTAGGCGAAATAGATCTAGACAAAGACGATGATGCACCACCGGGATACGAAAGAGCAGATGCGGAGCTGGTGCACAAGTTGGCGAAGGAGAAGAGTGCCCGGGATTCAAAGAAGGATACGAATAGACTCAAGAAGCTAGCAGAGCTGGGTTTTGAGGGCGAAAACTCTGGGGAAGCGATATTTGGATAATTGTGTGAGAGAGACTTAGGGTATATTATACAGGAGCAAGGAGGTGATTCACGCGGTATGGGAGGTGACGGATAGTCGATCAGAGATGTGGTAAAAAAAGAAAGGCCGAATATTGTGAAAGGCTAGCTGGCGATTTTCATCGGTCAGTCGTGGCAGATCTATGGCAGATAAACCACAAGAAACATTTTTTCCTTCTTCTCTAGAACCTTTTGATTAAATCCATGCGCATAGCGTATGTAGAGAGACCCAATGAAGCATTTTACACATCGTGTAGTGAAAAAGCAAGAACTTCGAACAAGCAACTCAAAGTTTGATATGGGAAGATCTGAGATTATTGAACCTCAAGACGAGGCACCAAATATCAAACATCGGGTAAAATCTTCCACTCAATGCATAGGTATATACATATCAAATTCTTAATGTCCGACAATCATTGTCGGCTTGATATTCTGAATTGGAAAGACTAATAATGCAGGATCGAAATTATCTGTTATTCTCACTCCTTCTCGCTCGTTTCTCGCTCTACAGATTGAACTTCAATGATTGATATTACGGTGTGTGTATGTATTGAGAGAAGTGATGAGGATTCGTATGGTTAAGTTAAGTTAAGTTAAGTTAAGTTAAGTTAAGTTAAGTGAAGTTAAGTGAAACTAGTGTTTTCATACGAGTATATTGTTGCAATTTTGACTTGATGTTCATGTCTATGTCTATGTCTACGTCTACGTCTACGTCTACGTCTACGTCTACGTCTATGAAGTGTTGGTTTGTGGAAATGAAAAAAAAAGATGAAGAAAAAAACGCTTTTGTAAGGTATTGGGGGAGGGGGAATGGGAAAGGGAGGAAGGGAGGAAGAGGGGAAGGGGAGAAGAAGGGGAGAGAGAAGAAGAAGAGAGGAAGGGGGAAGAGGGGAAGAGAGGAGATAAGAAAGGAAGGAAGGGGAGAAGGGCAGAGAAGGAAATTCACTTCACACGCTAGAAGTTAGGATGCTTCTACTCGAGTAATGTTCTAAACAAACTAAAGGTTGTTTGGAGGAGTATATGCAAAATATTTAGTGAGTAGCATTGATCTATTTTTATTATTTTATTTATTTTTCTCGTCTTTCAATTATATTTTCAAATTTCATTTTTTTTGTGTATATGTTCTATTCAATCAATGGGATGGCCTATATGAGTATAGTTGTTCATTTTATCGATATTGATCAATCGGACATATAGGTTTTGTTCGGTCAGTCCGTTTGTAACTTCGTAACTTCGTGGAATATGCTTGATAAATGTGAGTCGAGTAGCTGTTCAAAGCTAGATCAGATAATTAAGGAAACACGTGCTTCAATTTCCTATGAGAGCGTTTTCGCGTACGCGTCATTATATTCTCGATTCCCCTTTCTTTCTTACTCGCCTATCGCGAAATTCATATATACTACTTGGCATACCATATTACCATCCCATCAAATAACTTTCAATCTAAACACTAGTGAGCAGAAAATGTTTAAAGCTTTGAAAAAGTTCTCGAGTTTTCCTTTTTTTCCTTCTAGACTGTTACGAAATTTCACCGAGCGCAAACATGAGATGAGATAATTTATGCGTGGAAGTGTGGGGACAGGGGTGCGCGGACTTGGAAATTCATGCATAGTCACCTAACTGGGGAATGCAATTGGATTGGCATAAATGGAGGAGAGGGGGAGACGGGTAGGACCTGGCTTTTGACGTGTTAGTTGGGGATATTTTGAGAGGGGTAATGGGTATGGAAAGTTTTTAGGTGTGGTGGGGGATTGCGAGCATGAGGAGTTAATCTCTCGTGGATATGAATCACTATTGAATTTTTGGTTTTTTTGGTGTTTGACGCGGTAAGGAATGAGATGAGTGGGTTGGGATAGATTTGATGGGTGGATGGGGGGTGTGAATTGGAGGATATTGATGGTGGGATGAGCGATGACGAATTGGCATTTGAGAGTTATTATGAAGGAGGAAGTTCGCACTTTTCCTTGAGAGATCGCCTTGAGCAGCTGTCTACAAGAAGATTGTAGTTTCGGTACACAGATACCCACAGTCTCTTCTTCATTTCTTTCAAACTTCGACATCGACCTCGTCGTCGTTGTTTACTTCTACAATTCTCGACAAATACAGACGGACAACCACACTTCAATCCCAGCCCTACAACCAAAACATCATAATTATATAATCCCACGACGACCCAAAGCATCTCCGCTCTGGGCTTCCAGAATTCCTTCATAACCTTTCGCTCACATATCCGTCAAAGAACACACATCACCTGTCGTCTCCTTTCTATCAGACCTCGCAGTTCAAAGTCTAGAACTAATTACAACATGTCTTCTACTCCAACACCTCCGACACCTATCCCCGCCCCAACAAACACCATCAATCCTCTCCCCGCTACCCCTGCCGAAGCCGAAGCAGCCGCGGGAACAAGACCCGACACTTCAGGTACCGCTCTCGATTTACACACGCAGACCAAAGACGCAGCACGCCAATTCGCGAGTGCGCAGAGAGCGGAGAAGGCATACCGGAAGAAGAAAAAGTGCATGAATGCGCGAAAGGATTGGCATGAGTGTAAATTGCATTTTGCAGCTGGAGTCCAAAGGTTTAGGGAGGGAGGAAAATGTTTGGGGAAGGTAGTAAAGGCAGGACCGAGTTTGGTTATGGAGAAAGTTGGTGGGGGAAATGAGAGGGGGGTCAAGGTAAAGGGTGTGGAAAGTGTGAGTACTGGAGATAGTCCGGTGGTGGAGAAGCAAAAGGAGAGGAGTAATATGAAGGGTGGTAATGGAGGGCGTGTTAAGAAGAATATTGCGGGGAAGGTTGCAGGGTTGAAAGAAAAGTTGTTGGCGATGAAGGAGAAAAGGAGAGTGGAGAAAAATGTCAAAGCTGATGAGAAGGTTGGAGGAGCTGCAAATGGTACGGCATCTGGAGTTGTAACTGAAACTACAGCATCACCAGAAATGACAACCGCTACTCCCGACGCAGCAGCGGCAACAACAATAGCAACCAAACAGATAAATAAAAGCATGACTCTGGATCAGGTGAGAGAGCGAATCCTTTCTTATCGTTCACATTTTGTCAAGGAGGAAGCAGATGAAGACGAGGTGATTTACGGACCTCGAATTGCAGGTTGGATGGCCTCTTTTTTACCCTTACACATTCTTCTTTTCTCTCTTTCACTACCCTCTTTCACACTTGAAATCACGTTTAAAATTTTAGACGAGAATCAAAGCTAATTATAATTTTCCCAAATTCAGAGAATCCAACAAGAAGAATCCAAAGCGCTCGCACATCAGGAAGCGGAACCCTCGGCTGCAATAGGAGTAGTTATGAAAGGAGAAGTTCCCGCTCAAACACCAAATCAAATCAACACACAATCGCAATCGCAAATCCCGGTCCGAACACAACAGGTACACAGTTCGCAAATATTAACATCAACCGCAACCGCAATGGCCCACCCACAACAAGTACCACCGAAAACTCAATGGAGTCCTCCGGGTTCCCCGATCAAGAGTGCCATGGAACCGATTCACGAAGATGGAGACGGGGATGGGGACGGGGAAACGACGGAGGGATTGGCTTTGGTGGGGACGGCGGAAAGGGTGTCGATATCGATAGCGAGGGGTGCGAGGGAGGTTGGGGAGGAAGGGAGGGGATGGGGATGGGGATTGAAGTAGGAGATGTTGATGTTGGGGAATGTGGGGAGGAGCCGAGAGTGCCGGGTATGGTGGGGGGGAGATTGAGATTGAGGGGTGGTGATGCGGGTGTGGGTGTGGGTGTGGGTGTGGGTGTGGGTGCTTGCTTTCGCACTTTTGTTTGGGGTGGGAATGTGGGATTGCAGGATATGCAGAGCAATGGAAATAGAAATGGAAATAGAAATGGCAAGGGAGCTGGAAAATCTATGAAAGATCGAATCATGAGAAAATTCAAACCAGAACCACAATCGGGGATATGGGAGAAAAAGAAAGAAAGAGAAAGAGAAAAGGAAAATCCATTTTATAAGCCGGGAAGATGTTCACATCTTGCTCTGAGGTTTGATCTTGTCATTTCTAAAATGAGAGATGGGGGGTATGATGTGATGGCGTGGGTAGGGGGATTGGTTGTGGGGTTTTTGGGGTGGGTTACGTATGTGGGGGAGGGGTGGAAAGAGGGGGAAGAAGGGGAAGAAGGGGAAGAAGGGGAAGAAAGTTAGGTTTGAGAGGAGGAGGATGGAAGGGGTTTTTTAGAGTGGTTTGAACGGTTGGGGGATAGGGGAAGGGTGATGTAATACTGGATTTATGACTTATGAGATGAGGGTTCGATGAGTTTGATTTGATGATGGATCATGAGTATGAGTATGGTTTACGTTTATGAATTTTTGGGGTTCATGTTCATGATTACGAGTATGAGTTTTCTGATTTCACGATTACGAGTTCTTTGATTTCATGAGTATGAATGAGCATGAGCTTTTACTTTTACTTTTGCTTTTGCTTCTGCATCTACTTTTTGGGGTTTATTTCTAATCATATTTATTATATTTTATTTCTTACTTTCGTATACATATACATATACATACAAAACCCTTTCTCCGAGCACTCAGTACTTAGCACTCATAACTGAAATTTGAGATATGAGATAAGAGAGAGCATTCACTCATTTTTGAAGTTTTAATTCAATTCCATTTCATTACTAGAGTAATGTAAAATCAGAATCAGCAGTCAGTCTTCAGAACGAGAAACGAGAGAGGGGATTTATGAGATGAGATGCTATATCGCTATAACGCCATTTTGGTCTGATCTAGGAGGGGGGAAGAAAGGTACTGGGTTGAGCAATTAGTAAGATTACTTTAGTGCTGGGTATTAATGTACATGTAGGCCATAGCATGGGCTGGGTTGAGTCGAGTTGTCGTTGTTTGGTAGATATGGATATGCTATGTTAATGTGATGGGAATGCAACCAAAAAGATATTCAACCAGTTTCTCCATACACATACATACATACATACATACATACATACATACATAGCGGCCAAACTTGACAAATACATGCCTTCCTTCAAAATACTCACATGATATATATACCCATCTAATTCCCTATATTATATTCCATATACTAGAGTACTATATGTCTAATTCATACACTACCCTACCCTATGATCCCTACTCACAAATGCCAAGTACAGTGTGCAGTATAAGCAAGTAACTTAGAATTACATACAAAAGAACCACTCGCACATCTTCCTTCTTTGTGAGATTTCAAATCAACCATATATGAAATCATGGTATCTCTCTTCTCTTTTGTTTTCCCTTCCCTTTCCCATAGCATCCATCCATCTAATCATCCATCCCTTTCCATCTCCCCCTTTCTCGAAACCCAATTCCACGTCCAGTATCCACAATTATTAACCCGGCAATAATATGTCTTTTGTATACTAATGAATCTTATATATCAATTAGATCTTTCGAATCCTAAATCTAAATTCGTGTAGGTACAATATACCATGTTTATTGAAGTGGCCAAGGTTTATAAAGTTTCTTGAAGAGTTCAAGCAGTGTAGTCAATAAATAGTCAGCCAATTTAACCAGTGCACTTATTAAACTGGAAGTTACGTTTGATGAATTCAAACTGCCAGTCGATTAAATTTGTATGATCCCAACTGCTAGTTCGGTTACAACCTTCCAAACTGTTATAGTTTCTCAAGTGGTTCAAGATACTAACTACACTGATGCCAAGGTTCATGGTGATCTTATAGACTCCCGCGAATTAATGATTGGAAAGGTTTATGGAGTGTGGAGTAGTGAGTAGTAATGCTGTTTATTATTTGCGGTCATGATCATGGTGATGGTGGAAGTATAGATCGATGATATAGTGAGGTATATTTACTAGTACGGTAGTACTTTACTTTAGTGGTTTTGAAGGTGATTAGTTGGTTGATGGGAAGTGAGAGAAAGAAAGGGGTAGCGGAAGCGAGGAAAATAATATAGGGGTGAAGAAAGTCAGTTTCGGGTGTATATCATGGATTATATATCATGTTCAAGTTTGTGGAGGCATCCTCACCTACCGCAAGTAACGCAAGCCGCGCCCTGCTGAAGTAGACTGGTAATAATCAATACTTCTAAATCTCAACCTCGAAATTTCAATGATTCTGAATTACCAAATTAGCTTCTATAGTGAGAGCTTAGATGAATGATCGAATAGCATAGATAGTTGTTTGACCTTATCTTCCCTACCGTCGCAAATATCAAAAACCATTTGCTTCGTTTCTATACCCTAGTTGGTAAGTCCTCATTCATGGATGTTAAGGCCTTGTCCAATCCTAGTGCAAGATATATTTTACCAAAACGTTCTCACCAACTCCTTGGCTTAGCTACTCACTGCGCAGAAAACTTTGCTGAACATCAGAAAATACAAAAGATTTCCTGGGAATTGTCATATTGGAGAACACTTCTTCTTTGCCTTACCCAAACATCCACTCCAAAGAACCACCAATAGAACCATCAATAGAACCATCAAAAACCATCAAAAGAATATACGACACCACAGAGATTCGAACTCTGGCTCCCAAGGGAAACGCCTGACTATACAATAGCAGGGCGCCGCGTTAACCACTCCGCCATAGTGCCTTGTTAATTCGTTGAGGCTTTCATTGATATGATGAGATATGTTATTGATTCCAAGGTGGGAAGGTGTGGGTAATACGGGAAATATAAAGGGGGAAGGAGCGGATGGGGGTGGGTTTGCATGAGATTAGATCGCTGAGATGGTTTTTATGTTCAAGATCGTGTACATATGAGTTCTTCGCCCCAATGAGTATTTTGAAAATTACACTGATCTCAGTATCAAGAAGTGGTATTAACATGAAACGTTCAAACATCCCACTCCAGAATTAGAACTCAACGTGAACATTTAAATACCTTCAAACTAAAAGTAGAAAGTGAATTGATTTTGTTCCATAACGCCAACCATATTGTCCCTGCATATCGCACTGTTCGTCCTGACTCATTTCGTATTTCAACGAACAGGAACTGTAACTAATAATATCCAATTGTGAAACATCCATCATACAAGTTCCATACATGTGATCCTACCCGATGCATGAGCCATAACAAGAGTATTGTCATGGACGTCTGAACAGACAGGTCTGTACTCGATAGGAATATAGATTATCTTTCGATTACCTGGTGGCCCCCATTCTATACACTTTTTCCTTATCAGAATATTGCTCAACTCATGTCGCTTATGAGAAGAATCGCAGGCACGAAGAAGGGGTCTTTTGTCTGTCTGCAAGTATTGATGGTTCTGGGAAAGAACTAGCCTATTGCGCGTTTCGTCTTTCCTGACTGTCTGCTGGAGAGCCCATGAAGATTGTTCTGTTTTCGAACGGCCCCATATTCTGGTGATTCCTTGGATACCATCTATACTACTTTGATACTAATACTCGACTATCTGATGAAAACACAACTGCTTTGACAGATATCCCCGAGTTATCCTTACGAGATGGGTCAAGTGTCTGGATGTGACATAGATGGGAGCATGAGATTGTGATGGCGTTCCCGGACAAGCATAAAACTACTACTAGCTTGGGATCCGGTAGATATGCTATTGCTCCAATGCGTCCAGAAAACCCAGTTAGCACCTGTCTAACTATATGTTGACAAACTGCCCGTTTGGAAGAGATGTCCAGTATCCAGATAGTGCCATCGCCACAAGCCAAGATTAACAACTCACTGTTCGGTGATATTACTAAATTCACCGGGCTATAGTTTTTCCTCGTTGCCAAATCATAATGGCAATGACGATGACTGAGACTCCCGTCAGTGCCAAGACGCCAGACTATTATAATCTCGTCGTTATGAATTGATACGATCAACCTGCTGTTGGGCGAATATGCCAGTGATGTAACAGGCTCAGAACATAAGTATGAACAATCTTTGTAGTCGTTCAAATCGAAATCGGAACATAAGTTTGAATCGAAATTATAACGTAAGTTTGAACAATCTTTGTAGCCGTTCAAATCGAAATTCGAATAATTTTTCCTGAGGCTGTATCCCATAATTTGATGTGTCCATTATCAGAAACTGCCGCAATACTTCTACCATCGGGCGACAGCACTGCTAGGCTGCCACGTTCAAAGTTCTCGTGAATTGGTAATGTGTTTAGAGCAACCCATCTAGATTGGTGTTCTTCGATGCGATGCCAGATGTTTGTGTCCATGCCCCTGGAAACTGCCATTGTTATGCTACCATCTGATGAGATTGCCACTGCCGTTAATAGCTCTTGGATGCCGTCCGACAGGGTTTGCACTACTCTCCATCGTTTTGGCTCCTCCATAGTAGAACACCATATCTGGATACATCTGTCCGCGGAGCCAGTTATTAGTATGCTGCCGTCGGTTGAGAATGCCATCGAGCAGACCGATCCAGAATAACCCGTCAGTGTCTGTCTATAAACCCAGGCAGGATCGTGTTGTGTAACATGACACCAGATATCAATATTATTATTTTTCACAACCGATGCTACTACTTGGCCGTTTGAAGACAGTGCTAATACATCTGTTAGGTCAAATGAGCACTCCAGAGTTTGTTTAGAGTTATTCAGTGCAGTAGCAGTGTCCCAAAGATTGATAGCGTTACACGAAGAACCTAATGCTAAAATCTTGCTATCCAGTGAAAATGCGAGGTAGCTTTTTGCAGCATACCCTCTTTCGAAATACTTTGTAACGTCTTCGCAAGTAGCGTGCTCGCTTCCCCGTTATAATACAGTTTGACCTCCGGTGTTGGTATCAAAAATTCTTAGCCTCTCAAGAAAGTCGGTAATTGCAACGAACTTATTATCTGGCGAAATAGCTAGCGCTGATACATCATCCGAGTTGGAAAATGACTTGTGAAGTTTCCATGGAAGAAATTGCTTATAAGTGTGGTAGTCATCGGGTCTGTTTTGTCGGGGAACCCCTCTATGTATGTATCACTTGTGTTACGTTGCCACATTTCAATAGGTAAACCTGCAGATCCCAAGACAAACTTGTTACCATCTTTTGAAAACTCCAATACTTTAAAGCTTTCAGATGGGTATTTCAGTGTCTGTTGCAGGGTCCACCTATCAGGGCCCCAAAGCTGAACAGTCCCATCGGAAAATCCACATGCTATCAACTTACCATCGGGAGAGAATCTAATGGTATCCACACTGCAAGTATGAGACACCGAGTTCTCTTGAAGGGTCGGTACGGCCGGATCCCAGAATCGAACTACGCCATCCAATGATCCCAACACTAACATATTGCTATCTCGTGAAATTAAGAGCGAGCAAATTTTAAAATGAACATTAAGTAGGGCTCCAAAGCTTTATCATTTCCGACGATACTGGCGCGAACAGCTTGCTATTTTCCGAGAATATCATTGCGGTGATCTGGGAAGGGTGTGCGTTTAATGTTTGTTCGAGAGTCGGAGTTAACGTAGTAAGATTCCAAACATGCATTTTCCCATCACTACAGCCGGATACGGCCAGTCTCCCATCTGGCGATAGTACCAATATTTGAACGTTGGAATCGTGAGTCTCTATTTGTCTCTGAGGAACCCAATTTCCGTCTTCAAACCTCCAGAACTTAATAAAGGAGTCCACGGAAATGGCCAAACGCAGCTTAGCACCAAACAAGAATGCTGCTGACCAGATTTCTTGACACAGTTCCTCATGTATCCAATGAATATTCCATTCCGTTTTATCTTTCTGGCAAAGGCGCCAGATCATGACCTTGGTCTGCATATTCAACAAAGGCACTCGCCCTCGGCTGAAAATGCTAGTGTAAAGACACCATAAGGGCGGAGACTATGAGACGTGTGGCTAAGTTCATTTAGATGGGCCCCGGTAGTGGGATTTCAGATATCTAAACAGACGGCCCGGTTGAAAAGCCTCACAGCGCATGTTGCTAGTAGCTTACCATCTCTTGAGAATGCAACTGCTTTAATGCGGGATGTAACATCAGAACAGTACAGTTTTCTCTGGGGGGTACTTGTCATCGTATCCCAAACTGTGACATTATTCTCGTAGTTGTATGATGAGGCTAAAAGCCTATTATCTCCAGATAATGCCAATACCATGTCTTGAACTTGGTCCCCCTGGATATCTCAATTGTCTGCATTTCTCCAGTCCATGTTGATTCCATCTTTGATCGTATATGGATACCTGGTAAAACCCGACATTTGAATGCTTTCTTTACTGGGCCTGCCTCAGGAGCAAAAATGAGCGCCGAAGAATAAAGTTGGATAGGCGATTTAGCGATAATTGAAATATTTTTGATGGTAAATCGTGTTGCGTCTTGAAGAAATGAATAAAGCTTAGTTGCCTTAGATTCCACCGCCTATTGTGTTATGAGTATTAGCTCGAACTGCGCGTTCAACGATATAGATTGCATCAACTATTCAGAATTTGAACATGTTTGAGTTTAGATCTAGAAACATGACCATCAAATTTCAGGATAGTTTCAAAACTCCCAAACGTTATTATTCATTTGAAATTAGACATCGCAATTTTGGCGAGCCAAAAAAATGAAATAGGTACCATTTCAAACACTTCAGATTTACCAGAAATGGCTAGAAGGAGGAAGGAAGTCAAGGATAAAACTCACCACGAGTGACTGTAATACGCCTATGAAGCCAACAGCCTTCGATATCTCCCCTATATGACTCAAGGCTTCTAAATATTGTATAAAGCACCTCTGAAGAAACATATGAACCTCATCGTTATCCGAAATACTGAGTCCGCTGTGCTGCAAGTGGCTGACCCAATAGCGGCAGGCATACTGAACATGTCCATACTCAGTTAGTAAGTGCTTAGATATACCAGCTCCTAGCCCCTTAAAGCCACTATTATGAACATCCGAAGCCTTGTTTAGTAAGATGTTAAGACATTTATGGAAAACATCTTTATGAGCTTCTTTTTCGGAAATCCAGAATGGATCTAAGGATCGTTGTTGATCAAGAAGGAAATCTCGGAACGATTGATGAATCAACTGGAAAGTAGTGCCTTGTTCATTTGGTTTGGAGAAAAGGGGTATGCTACAATAACTTTGTCTTCTAGCGAACTGACTGTCTTATCAATCTCAGATAGCAAGTCGAAGCCGAATGACTTCAAATCTTCATCAATTGTCGTTTGAAATTTCTGGACAGTTGTAAGTATATCATTCCATGGATCAGCCAGGATGAAGTTTCTGAAGAAACGCGTTGATCCATTTCTTGAGAGATGAGCAGATAGCTGTATTTGGTACTCTAATATTCCAGTATAAAGACAATAGTAGTTGATCGCCATGATCAAGTCAAGTCTTGCAAATGCTCTTTTACATGAGTTTGACTATATACAAAACGTTAGCTTTTCAAGATATTGTATGCAGCAGAGTTCTAGCTTATACAAAGCTAGGACTCGTGTCCCACGCAGAAAAGTGTACATCGAAACCCCGAAGCCATGTTGAACATTGAGAAGTACGGAAGTTTAAAATCATATTCGTGTGCTTTGGGTTGTTCAATTTCTCCCCCCAAAAATGCCAGAACACACTTCAGCTTCAACAACAGAACGAAGAGTCACCTTGACGGTTGAATACCGACTTTGATGCCTTCAATGCTTGTGTTCAAATTGCCACGTGTCTCACGAGCTTGGATAGAGAGGATGATCATCAGTCAATATGAGAATGAAGCAAGTACCTTTGTGGGTCCTTCCATAATTTACGGTTGATACCTTCGGATCGAATAAGCACATGACAAATTTCCTCGAAACCCTTGAGAGCATCATCGTCTTGGGTGGCGGGGTTCAGCAGAAGCTATTCTTACGTCGTGTCAGAGTAAATTTGACAGGCATGATGGAACAACAATGCATACAGGAAGAATGGTGAGAGCTCCTGCCCACGCCAATGATGCATGCGGATCTCCAGATATCGCTGTGGTGACGAAATCTTTACCAACCAGTATCGCCTAAACACTTTTACCAATTATTTTGTGGATTCCAGTCCGACGACTAGTCTTCCAAGCTTTGATTTGATCTTCGAGAATCATTCTCCGTAATGCTAAAGTAGGCTTCACATCGCTTCTGAGGGGTTTTCAATGCTGGCGTCCCCCTTTTAGTCCGTGGCTTTCTGTATCCATATGCTTCTTTAGCCAACATGAGCTGTAAATCTTCCATCAAAGAGATAAATAAAGCTTCACATCGATGAGCCCAGCATCATCATATCCACATACCTAATTTTCATTCGCCCTTGGAAAATGCTTGAATGGGGCAATATGGTCGGCAAGTCTGGGTTAGTTTTCAGCGCAACTTTGATGAATTAGTGAGTGGCTTATAATTGGTTAGATTTGATTGTCGAAAGTAGCTTGCTTCATGCACCATAAGGCTCCGAATCACACAGCTCTGTAACCTGGACAAAATCAATGCCGCAAAACAAAAAAGTACATACGGCAAGCTGCAATGACCCCTCGAAATCAGATAAGGGGCAGAGGCTCGATGTTATGCGCTTGCGTGTTATTCGCAGCTGCACAAGGCTCGGCGTTATTGACATATCAAGGAAAGATCTAATGCATCACGAATTCTCCTCGCATCCAACATCTCACAGCCTATCTCAAAGCATATTCATAAACTCATTAAAACGGCATCTCCTAATCATGAAACAAAATATCATTGCTCGACTTCACTTAAGAAAGGGGTATGTCCATAAAATAACAACAAAAGTATAAACTCCGAACGCTCGCTGCTTCCTCTCCTTTCATCTGCTCTTCAGCAGAGAATCAAATTGCAATATGTAGCAGGTACAAAACCTTGTTCATGTTCACTAACTCATTTATCCTTTGAGAACCACGGGAACTTCTTCTTTACCGGTTCTGCTGCTCCTGATGCACTTTCTAAATGTAGACTTCGTTGATATATCGCCTAGTAAGATGATTAGATTTCTTATTGAAATTCGTGGTGGGGCATGAAGAAAAGAAAGATTACGAACCTCATCATCAGTAGGAATTAGACAGTCCAGAATGAGTTCCCGCACCGGGTCATTTTTGGTGAGGTTCGGATATGGTGTAGTTTGACTCTTCATAATGGGTAGAATGACCTCGGAAAGAACCTCGAATTTCTTCCAATTAATTCTATCTCCATTTGCGCCAATGAAGGTTCGACTACCTTCCTCAGCAGAGACGAGATCACGCCGAGTTAAGGGGATGAAAGGAATACGAGGTAATGGAGAGTTCTCCCAAGCCAGGCGGTATGCGAAATGACTCTTTTGTGTACCCATCAACAAGACTAGGCGAGCAAAGCGTTTCTGGACATCCGCAGGGACCAGGTTTCGAGTTTGTGTGAGGCGATGTATCGCGGTTCCATTAATTCCCGCCAGAACAGCTGCAAGTCCATTGTAATTATTCAATTGCCGCAGTTTCAAGGCTATAGTCATAAACTTCTCTAGTATCTGCGCTCTGTGCTTGGCTTTATCTCGCATCAATATCATATTAGCAACCCATTTTGCAATATGATTGAAATGATTTATCATGCGATTTACGTTGGCGAGACTTTTACATTTCTCCTTCTGGTTGAGTGAAAGGCTGACATGTCGAACCAAATCTCGGAGGCGTATGGAAGAAAACATGACCCAATCTATCCTTGTCATCTCATCCGCAAGGTCATCATCTGATATCTCCATAAACATGTGATATCTGAATTTAGATAACGGTAGAATCCCTTTAGGTGTCATCTTTGCAGCCTCCTTCTCGTAGTCTTCGACTGCAAGAAATGAAGGCGCAGCAAAGTCTGATTGAGATGAAGCTCGAGCCGAGACTAGAGATTCCCCCCTAGATAACTTTTGCTCCATGTCACTGATATCATCGTCTTGTGCCAATGTGGTCGCATCTGTTTCATATCCACCTTTGGAATCGGTTCTGGTAGTTGTAGGAGAAACGGGGGCTGATTCAGACTCCTTAGCTTGTTCGTTATCGACATCGGCATCTGTCCTGGCCCAGCCTGTGTCATCATCCTCTACAACACGAGATTGCAATTGTGTCCGCATTTCTTGTGCAGCAGCAGCAAAAACGGGATCCGAAGCTAAAAGGCTTATGAGCTCGTCTAGCTTGCGGCTTGTTGAAGGACTTGCAAAGTCTCCTGGATATCCTATGATCCATTGAGCAACCACGGTGATTATTCGAAGTTGATTTGATATTCGTGTTAAATAATGAATGTTTTTGTCGTCTGCTATACGCTGTAGTCGGTCCAAAACTGCATCAAATAGCTCACCAGGAGCAGCAAATTTTCGATAGAGACATAGAAAGATATCTGAAAAGTTGATGTCTGCCTTTGACATATGCTGTCCAAGGAGTCGATCAACAAGATCGTCAAAACTTACACCAGCCACTTTAGCAGGTTTGTCGAAGAAAGTATCGTCACTACGCTGGAGAAGGGGTATATCATCAGAATAGCAGTATGAAGAATCTGCATCTGATTCCTCAACGTCGGGTAAAGTGTTAGTGCCAATGCTGCCAGTACCAGGAGACGGGAGGGTTGAATGTACCTTTGGGCCAAGGGGTAACCTGGGGCTAACGCCAGAACTGTCCAGGAGACTTTTACTTCGGAAAGCTGGATGAGCAGAAAGAGGCGGGGCATCATGTGGGTCTGGAATCATGATTTGATGCGATAAATTTGTTCGGCCGTTAGGTCGACCAGCCAGTGGTGGGGCAGGGGCAGGAAGAGTTCGGCCTATAGAAAATTCCGAGCTAGCACGACTATGCTTGGATTGCTGACTCAAAGGTCGAGGAACCGTGGGTTCAGATATCTTCTCGAGATTCGCAGAGGAGGTTGCTCGACGACGTGTACCTTGGGGCTGTATTGAAGGAATGTCTTCTAGAGGTTTAATGAGTATGGATTCTCAATGTCATTATGACAACTCGCAAGGAGTAACATCAATCATTAAAGTTTGACCGGGCATACTACGACCGGCTAGCAAAGGACCGTAAGGTAAACAATTTGACTAGAATTGTGCAACGGTGCGAAACGAATCAAACGGTAAAGTATATCAAAGGTCTCACGCCACATAAAGTTTCCAACATTAAATAAAATAATTAACTTACTATTACTATTGTTGCTTCGATCTGCCATAACAGCTCGAAGCATAGAAGAAAGACAAAGTCTTGCACTTTCGGGCACATTTGCTGCAGTTTTGACAGTTTCTACACATGACATGCATGCAATTTCGAGACTATCAACATTAAGTTGACGAGTATGCTCAGGGTTATCGCATTTACATGAGACGAGGATAGTAGGAAGAGCCGAGTTCACCAATGCATCTTAAAATGATCAGTATTCATTATTCAAGCCGGCTGCACTGTGGGGACTTACTTAAAGTCTGGGGCAATTCCGCAATACTCTCTCGATTCATGACATCGTATAGCAATAGTGCACCGTCCATTCGTGGGACAATGTGTCCATTCATTTGTTTTGGCCATTGTATTCGACGATCGGGTATTATATCAAACGACTCTAGGTCCAGCTCGAATAGACTGACTATGTATCCAACCTCATCAACGGACATGCGAAGACTCGATGCAACGGAGGTTGGTAACGATCGTAAACCCAATGCTCGCTGTATCAAAGTGCTCTTCCCCACGCCATTACTCCCAATCACTGCAATATTTATGTCTGACATTCCGCTTCTAGATTGGGGCTGCATGTCAATCATGATCAGTCAATTGATTCAAAAGATTTCGCAAAGTGAGGAGGTTGATCGGGAATCACATACGGGTACGCTGACTGAGTTTTCTACGGAAGGTCTTTTGTTGGATCTCGGCGGTGGATCCTTGAATACGTCGTCATCGTGCGAACGCTCAGAGTATTTCGCAGACCTTAATTCTCGTGCTAAAGAGACAGAGTGTGGTGATTGATAATTCCTAAAGAAGGGATCGTCTTTAATAGATGCAATAGAATCCCGATAACTTCGCGCGTGCCGGTCCAATCCTTCTTGTGAGTCGTCCTCTATTGTAGTCGAAAATCTCGGATCTATACTACCGCTGCCACTGCCGCTACTAAGAGGGACAAATGGTGCCGAGGACGTTCGCGAACCCAATCCAGGACGTGAGCGCAGACCAAAAGTTGCTGAAGCGCTGGCAGATGGAGGGGAAACAGATAAAGTTCGAGAACTACGCTGAACTCGTTGTGAATCTGTTCGCAGAGGGTTTGAGGATTTGGATCGCTTCGAAGTGGTGTGCGCCGGGAGACTACTTGCACTAAGTTCCTCCATTGGTGGGCAATATGGAATATAGCTTTTTTAGTGTGGTGCTGTATGTACCCGTGTATCAAATAGTATCATTCCGCGCCAAAAGACTGTGATTAAAATCCCTTGATAATAATCCCTTTGCTCAGTAAATCCGCAAGACAAAATTGAGGATTTGAGACCTTTTCCCTGTCAAGATTTGTCGGTAAGTCGCAGCAATAGTGCTTGCAGATTGTAACATGCTGTGGGGATCAGGGGAGTTTCTGGGATTATTTGAATTTATGGTATGGTATAGAATCCCAGGGCATCCATCATTGTCTGACGGTTGGATGGGTTGGATGAGTTGGATGTTCCAATGGGATTGTGTGTGTGGAAGGAATAGAGAGGGAATAGGAAGGGGGATAGAGAAGAGATTGTCTCAGTCAATGTCCCAAAGTACACTCCTCTCGTTCTCGTACTGTAGAAGTAACTGGAACCCTCACAATGTGGTAAGTCGAGTATAAGGTGACAAATAAGTTGATTTTGAATCAATTGATAAATTGAATCTTTTCGGAATGCGACACCAAAATCTAAAATTACCCAATCCACAAGAGTAGCAGTGTTTTTCAGTTCTTTCGTCTTGTAGCGTTAATGAATGTTTATATGAATTCACCTCAGACTTTTCTTGTCTTCTCTTCACTTCCGGGATTTCCTCCAGCATTGGATTCCTTCAATCATATATACGTGAGACTGCAATTGGTTATGAATGATTCATACCATTCTTATACAGATTGTGTAAGAACTTGATATGGAAAATGAGGAGATAATTTTCGATAACCCAAGCAAACAAATATGGTTTTTTTTTAATTCAAACAAGAATACATTCTATTGAGTACATATTATAGTGTTTACTCTTAAGAAGCCTAATTCAAACTCGGATGGTTTTGTTTTGTGACTTGAGACAGCATTATCACAAACACCAAAACAAATAAAGATTGAATAGAATTCAGCACCGGTATTTCAAAAGATGCCCTTCCTCAGTTCTCATACATATTTGCCAAAGAAAAGCCATGATGAGCTTTTACCTTGATATTTTCCTATTGTTTCCTCTCTTTAATCTCCAAACCCTCTCAATGTTCAACTCTTCCTTATTGCCTGACACTTTCTACCTCTCTTATTACCCCTTCATTTCATTATCTATATCGAGGCTGAGTGAGAATAGGACTCTATTCGACATTTTATCCATGTCACATTACCACGACGGCATGCAGTAGTAGCTCGATCCATCTCGAAAAGAAATTGGGGTGTGAACACGGACGAAGGTTACATTTTCACTTCAGTACAGTATCATAAGCCTATTTGGGTAGCAGTACCATCCATCCACGGTATCTTTCAGCTACTCCTCCAAATATCTTGTTAAGTTCCATACATTGGAATTCTCCAAAAACCTCCAGACTGCCATTTCAAACTTATCAACATTGACCTTAAAACACACAGAGCAGAATTCCTCAGCTAGTACGCCGTATATATCAATAGGTCTACAGCCACAAGCAGCCACAACCACAACCACATGACATGACAGATACCTCAAGATTCAAAAGTGGATGCAGTCAATGTGGAGATGTGCTTATGGGCGGGCGGGCAGCAAGTGACTTCTATTGACCGAGAACTGCAGATCTCAAGCAAGGTTTCCCCGCATGTGAGTACCCATTTACTCTGATTTACGTACATCCGTTTCTCCTATCTAAATATTCACAAGTTTCACGTATGACGAGGAGACGAAGTATTGCAGTTTCAATATCTAAAGTGATGTCTTTAGAAGCCTTTTCTTTCTAATCGAGTAGCCTTGGATACGCTCGAGTATTAAATCTAATATCTATTAGACCACCAAAATATTGCACCATAGCGCCGTTGTAATGCATTGACACTATCTAAGTGTACCCGTTAGACAAACGCTATCCTCGATGCGAAAGTATCCCTATTCCTTTACCGAACCCGCTTGAAAATCGAATGGTCTTCTTGGTGTCTGGCCAGCTAGTACGTGAACACTAATAGGTAGTCCCTTACTTTTTATCGGACCCCAACTCAATACAGACATCGAGGTTTCGCATGAAGTTAGTTAAATGGATCGGATTGGAATGCTTAGTGAGTATTGCCAATAGGTAATATACAGAGATCTCTTCAATCTCAATCTTCCATATCATACTCGTCCTTCGTTCTACAATACATTCTGTTGCGTCGCACTGTGCCAGATTCACCGTTTAGAAATACCCTGCAAGGCAAAGTCCCTCGCATCAATTCCACGCCTCAGATTCCACAACCTATCATCCATAAGTTCAAAACATCCTCAATTGAGCCGCCAGGTTTCAAGCTCAAAGTCTCGACCCTTCTCATCATACAAGGCTTCATTTTCCGTCCACAACTATCTAATTCACCTTCCCTCCAACCCCATATTCGCAAGATCTTCACCCCCCCCCACACACACATCATCCTCAATTTGGAGTCACGCACGCTACCCCACTGGCACGATTTGAAGGGTCTCACCACACACAGCACACTCAGTACACAGTCTACGCTCCTATTTACCTGGCTCTCCGCGACAGTTTTCGTACACCGTGAGTTCCAGCTCTTATACTTCTTCCGGACTACGCGTTGTGTTCCAATCTGCTCGAAGCCTTCGGTTGTGGTCTTGTGAGAGGATACACAAACACAGAAACTTGCGATCGTTCGAATCGAAAAGTGTCTCGGGTCCTGAACTATAGAAAGTATATTGTCTATATAGAAGAGAGAGCCAGGGTTTTTTGAAGATGGATGCATCGGTTGCTGGAGCTCCTGTTACTACTTATGAAGAATTGTGTTGGGTAAATTGTCTCTAGGTGCAACCTCAAATTACAAATCACACAACCCTAACATCATCCACTAGAAATCCAACCCCTACCACACCATGAGTTACCCTCCTCGCACCCAGCCCCACCATGTCAACGTTCATGTTCCCCGCGCCCGCTCAAAAAAGGGCCAACCTCTCGACCCAGACGATCTCTCCCGCCGTCTCAAAGCCCATCTCGCGCAGCAAAAAGCTCTCGCCGAACACCGTCGCGAAGCCCGAGCATCAGAGACTACAGGAGTATACCACCACATCCCGCAAGTCGCCGCCCTCTCCTTTGAGAATACCGCTACACCCGATAAACTACGTCAGGTGCATAAATTATCCGAGCCGGCGCTCAAGAATCTCAGGTATTTAACGATTGATGAAGGGGTGGGAGGAATCGGATACGAATATCAGAAACCCAGGACGATATTGCAGAAATCGCAATTTCTGGATCATGAGACTGCGGAGAGGACGATGGTAAGGAATAGGAACCAATATCAATGGACGGCGGCGCTTGAGCGTGCGGCCGAATTGGATGCCGAGAGGGATGTTTATAAATGTCCTCGACGGACGTTTAATTCCGATGCACCGGCTGTGCATAAGAATAGAGCTGTGCAGAGACCGATGAGTATGGGGGGTTTCTTACCCTGGGGGAAAAAGGAGGAGCCGAAGGAGCCGAAGAGGGAGAGGAACGATCGGCATGATTGGACACAGCGGGATGAGTATGCGAAAAGATCGCTGAAGGAGAGAGTGGGTCCATTGTTGTCGTTGAAACTTAGAAAGGGGAAGGTGCATGATGGGTCTGGAGAAGATAAGTCAAGGTCGCCTGTGAAGTCACTTGTGAGTCCATCAATAAGGGCGAGCTTTTTCTGGAGGTTCAAAATTAGTCCTAGCAATTGACAAAAGACTCGTTTGTAATCAAGGGTATCTGTTTTATTTCCAAAGCGTGCAAACTCTTGATTTATTCCATCTTCCTGAGCTTGGTGTGAATGTGCTGAAATACTGTCTGGTCAAAACGAATCCAGGAAGTTCTGAATTGTACTGTTTACTGTGATCCATTCTGGGCGTTAGACTCAAGTAACATGTAGGGGGAAAGTGGAGTCCTCACCAAATTTGGGCACATACGTGTGCATGTTCAATGAACAATTGCCTCCTCATTGTTAGAGTTGTGGAAGGTGAAGACTAACCCTCGTTTTGGCGCCTTACAATCTCTTTCATCTTCTCTTCTCGGATTCCAAGAGTGCCTGAATAACCCTGGTGCTTTCAGCCAACGCCTCTTTCCGCAGAAGCTCTGCTGCCGCCTCGTCGTCCTCCTCATCTGCGTCACCAAGTAGTCGTAAAACAAGGTTACAATATTCTCGAATGCCTTCGCCGTCTTTGCCATAATACATCCTTGCTTTCTTTAAAGCGTCCTTCCCCTTCTCCCACCCCTGATCCTGATTCCATTTATGCGCACCGAAACCCGTTGGGCGAAGAGTCGCAGTATCAACTGCCTCTAGTTGTGAGCGCAAATTTGGGTACTTTTTGAACAGTTCTTTGAGGTCGCTCGAGTTATTCAGAATTTCGAAAGGTCCTCTGGCGTGGGCTGCAGCAAGAGTTCCTGGTTGAGCTATAGACTTTTCTTTAGATATAGGTGATGAGATCTTGGTAGGAGGAGCTAAAGCAAGTTTTTCTTTCTCTTCCTCATGATCGTTTGTATCGGCCTTATGTACATTGGAACATTTCACAGAACAGCTTTTCGAGAATTAGTACGGACTTCTCTTTGGGGTCGCACGCAGAAAATACTGACTATCGTAGATCACAATACTTGCATTTGTATTTATGATTGTTCTCCTTGCAAAGAGTGCACAGTTTTGGATCGACTGGGGTCTCCTCCATACCGATGCGGTTTGTAAAATCTGTAATTTCGACTGGTGCCTCTGCCACACTCACACTGAACTGGCCTTTGGGATCGATGAGATCGAATGAGTTTCCACCTTCGGAAACAATTTCGATGGACATCTCGTTGAAGGCCAATGTATTGGCCGTTCAGGGTCGGTCTACACTTGAGGAGACTCTCTCGACGCACTCAGATAGGGACGGAAGTGTTGCGCACCCACAGATAAAATTAAGTGTACCTATCCGGTATCAGAGCGAAAGGGGAATTTAAAAACTTTAATGGCAAGTGAAAGCTGATCAGGCAAGTTCGGTTGATAGTAATTCAGCCTCGCGGTAAATGCCAAAAAAAAAAGTTTTGCTTCCCTTATCGGAGATAGGGACTTTCTATACCGATAAGAGCGACCAATTAAAAGCTAGGTAATACCACTTAGTGCGTCATATATATGCTTACAAAGAACCTTAGAGCAAAAGGAAAGTGTTTATAATAAAGTCATTCCTGTCTTTATTTTATATCGCTATCTATATCCGAAGTCTGTTTTGCATATTCAGTTCAGTCTAGCCTTTACAATCTAACAGGTAGATCGTTTTTTCTTCTTTACTGAGCTTCAGGTGAGCCGCACAATGGCATCGAGGAGAATTATTCAGAAAGCAAAGTCATTGCTATCCAAACCTCGGCCGGGAAATTCATCATTCGCCATCTGTCCTAGAAGCTCGCAAAGATATGTACACCAAAGTGCAAGATTACCAGCTATGACAGCTTCGAGTTCAAGGACGAGACCGACTTTGCAACCACTCCATCAACCATCTACTATGTTAAAGCCTGCAGCAATTGGTGGCAGTCGCAGTATCTTCATCCAAACAGAGGACACCCCAAATCCGGATGCACTAAAATTCCTCCCCAATCATCCAATTCTACCACCCTACCTCACTGCGCCTTTCATCGAATACCTTAATCCTAGATCCACACTTGCGCCACCACATCCGTCGCCTCTTGCCGCATCGTTGATGAATATTGATGGGGTCAAATCTGTTTTCTATGGCAAGAATTTCATTACAGTCACAAAGGCAGACGATGCAAATTGGGCGCATATTAAACCAGAGGTCTTCAGTCTCATAACGGAGGCAGTAAGTTCCGGTGCACATATTGTGCATCTCACGCGGGCGAGTGGCGAAGCACCGGAAGAGGAGGATAGCTTAGCGTACAATGAGGATGACCCTGAGGTTGTGGGGATGATCAAGGAATTACTTGAAACCCGCATCCGACCTTCAATTCAGGAAGATGGTGGAGACATTGATTATCGCGGGTTCGAGGACGGCATGGTCAAGTTGAAGCTCCGAGGGGCATGTCGAACTTGCGATTCAAGTACGGTCACGTTGAAGAGTGGTATTGAGGGAATGCTTATGCACTATGTAAGTACTGGGTTTTAAATGATTGATCATGCGACAATGGGCTAACATATTGCAGATTGAAGAAGTGAAAGGTGTTGTACAAGTCATGGACGAGGAAGAAGAGATCGCGATCCAAGAGTTTGCAAAGTTTGAGGAGAAGTTGAAGCAACAAAAAGGTATTTGATGCAGTTGCGTCTAGTAGCTTAGATTCAATTCCGGGTTGAGCTCGGTACTTGGTTGAAGGTGTAAACCTTGGGACCAGTCTCGCATGACCGCGGGGATGTACAAAGAATCAGTTATGGACGTTAAGTGAAGAGAAGTTTGTTTCACAACATCGGCAATATCCATATGAAGCTTCGTGCATTTCTTTTGGCTTCTCTCTCACAACAAAAACTTAGTCTCCCGCATCCCCCCCGCACCCCCCTGATACTGCTTCATGTAATTTAATTAAGAAGTACAGTACATATGTCCTCTCACCATGCATCCACTGTGATGATTATTCAATTGGACGAAAATGTGGGTCTCTCATCCATCAACGAGGTGTGGGCAAAATTCTCCGTGGCGAATCAAAGACGAGTTGGTGGAGTGGGCGTTTTGGCTTGCCTACCTAGTAGTTGGCAGAACACCTTGGCTGTCATATAAACTCGACAGATATCGTATGGTTTCTATCCGAATGACGAATGAGGCTGGAAGAATATGCGCAGATGTAGTGGTATGGAGGGGGGAGTACTGAGGTATGCCCTCTTTGATTTTGCAGTGATTGGCTATATGTAATGGGATGGCCTATATAGAAAGAAAGGAATGGGCCAGATGTTTTTATGGAAGACCTGGAGAGGGGAGGTTTTGCCGATTTAATAAATTGTCAGGGAAAATGTCAACTATTGATGCCGCTTTAGGTAGATGAGGCAAAGAGGGGAAGGAAAAGAAGTAGAATAAATGAAGTTCAATTGGTATTCTGATTGTTGTATCTACTGTATATTTATTTGGTTATTTGTTTATTTATATACAGTATAGAAATATATAACTATTAGCTTTTTGACTACAAGCTTTTGATAACATGTAGACTCTGATAGGGCATTAACCTTTTCATTGTTCTTCTGAACAATCCCACCCATCCTTGAACTCCTACCGGCTTTCTTTAAACTTCCTTGTTCATACCTTTACTTTTTCTGCCTTATTTTTGGTGGACCAATTCGAGGGTTTGGAGCTAAATTAGATCACCCATCACTAGAGCGCGGGAGAGAAATGCGGGAAAGAAATCCGGGGTAGCTTAAAATGGAATGGGAAGCTTGAGGAATCTTGTGACATTGTCGCCATCGAGATCTCAAATTGAAAGATTTAAAATACGGCATATTCCATCAAGATCTTTGTGATGAAATAAAATGTGAAAAGATAATCTATCGAATGAAATAATGGTGGCGTGGTGGCGATGGATAGCATAATACGGTACCGGTATAGTAATTTTATATGTCATGGTAAGAAGTTGGAGAGATGGATGGATGGAGGTTCGGAGGCAAGGAAGGCAATAGAACTAAAAAGAGGGTACGAGTACAGACAAGTAAGTACAGCGCTGCAGTGATAATGATTGATATCGATGTATGTGTTGCAACTTCAGGATGGACTCACAACATGAAGACATGACTATCTATTAGTATTATTTATTTGTATCGCTGCTTTTCATTGTCATATGAAATATAGATGATGAGTAGATAGCTATAATAACACAGGCTTCAATATCTGCAATGCCGGTACTTAAGATATTCCTTTCCATCTATCTATATAATCAATTCATCAATTGCGCTTTTCTGGTATCGCAAAGCGTCAATGCAAAATATCGGCGGGTAAGAAACTTTGAAGGATAGTTAGAATATAACTTCGATAAATGAGTAAATGAGGCGGCATTAGATGTTTTCTCCTCTTCGACTAGTTGTCATACCCAAACGTTGAACTAGGCCTCACTACCTATATCTATTTCGGTCGGTCTGGATCCGTGTTCTTGTATATCAAATTCTTTACCTTCGTATTTGAGATGCAACTTGCGTTAGTTAGCCTACCAAGACTTAACCTCACAAAACAAGGCAGCAAAATCCATGTAGGCAGGTGAATAAGCACTTAAGTAATAATTAATTGTACTTGGAGTTATATATGGGTTAACCTTATGCATGGATATCATGTTCGCATGGCCTGATTAAGTATCCAATAAGACCTACTTCTATAGATGTCCTCTCACTACTCTTAAGTGGTTCCCATCTGGAAAAAAGCTCCATTTGTTCTGACTTGCATATTCAAGTGAAGATCTAATGCTGCCTTATGTGATTGATATGTTAAGCCCCAAAGTATTTCCACTCATCTCTCTCTCTCTCTCTCTCTCTCTCTCTGCCCGTTTTTGCATTAACAAGTACTGCTTGCTTTCTCCTTGTTTTTCCATTCCGTATCCTAATCATTCTCATTGCCACTTTACTTACCTATCTAAAACTACCTCTTCTCTCCCCCTCTTCTCTCCCCCTCTTCTCTTCACATTTTCTACTCGCTTACCTCTTACCTTTCTTTACCTTACCTTGCCTTACCTTACCGTACCTAACATCACTTCACATCACATCACCTACCAGTCTTCTCTCTCTCTCTCTCTCTCTCTCTCTCTCCCCCCTCTATCGTCACCTCAATTAGCACCTCCACTTTTTAATGCAGAGCTAGTCTTTTCCCCTTGTCTTCATATGTGGCTCCTTTTACCAATTAGATCTTTCCGTTCAATGAATTTAGAAATTAGAAACCCCTCCCCAATTCCCTTTTACTCCACATGAACATCGGACCCTTGTGCCAATTGTAGCGCTAAGACCACCCTCAACTTCTACTCCTTGTCCTTGTCCTTGTCCTCCTATCCTGATCATCTCTGATCCATTCGTCGGTCATCCATCCTTTTCTTGAGAAAGATCCTCCCTCCTATCTATCCTTACTAGTTATTATATTACATTTACAAAACCCCTTCTTTATGTATCAAGCTCATCTTGTTCCATTCCCAATACTGTATACTTTAATACAGACAGTACTTGTATTTTTCCAAAATAATTACAGTAACCAAATTGATTGAATTCTTCAAGAAAAGATTTGAGAATACCTTCCTTCAACGGAGATTTCCATTGTTATCTTGGTCGAATTTCGTCATTCTTACCAAAAGGAAAGAGAAGAGAAGAAAAAAGAAAAGACCAATCATTTAGTTTCTGTCTATTGTTGCACATTGAAAACGTACAAGCATATTTCTCTACTTTTGCGTGTTCTTTGAAGGCTTGTCTCGCGTGTTCACAATAGGCAGCTTTCCCCGCATCAAGGTTGCGCCTCGCCCATCTTCGATCCCTCGAAGCTAATTACTTCGCTGCAGAGAGAATAACCTCCTACCCTCTTTGAAACAACCTCACCCTCACCCCTCACCCCTCACCCTTACGAAAAAAGATACATATCTTACAATATCTTGACAAGGAACACTTTCACCCGTCCCGTCAAGATATATATTCTTCCATTCTTCCCTTCAGAGATCCATCCTTCAATTTCTACTAGTAATAGTATAACTCTAGAAGAGAGAGCTTTGGTCTTTCGCCTTTATCCTTCCCACAACAATGGGCTACGCATAGTCCGGGCGACACAAAGCCTTCACGAATTTCGGATTTCCGACGCATGCGCAGAAGGTTTGACTTTCGATCCTCTGTTTGTTTCAACAACTGCTAGTCCGAGCGATTATTCAGAGATAGATGGTATTTGGATTGGTTGAGTTCATAAATTGAGAAAAAGAAGTAGCATTAGAAGAATTTCATCGTTTCATGCGGCATCCGCGATTAAAACAGGTAGGGTGAGCTTCTGCCAATCCTCCCATCTCAACTCCCTCTCCCCCAGCCTTGACGGGGTTTCATGTGGGAGGTTTTCCTATTGCGACTTTCGAGATTTGGAGCTGACATGTCAATCTTCTAGATAAACAGATAATAATTGTATTTTGAAAGTTGGTTTCTTTGGTTGGATTTATCTCACATTCGGTGAGTTTATAGTTTTCCTACCTTCAAACAGAGGCATTCGACCGGGTCCTTCCTTCTTCCGACTGGTCGAGTCAGAGGGGTGGATTTAACGACATGAATTGTTCAAGATTGGCGCATTCAACGACAACATCCGAAAATATCGTTCGTTGGGTTGTTCAATGGTTTGAATACTGGGAGGCACTCGCTCGAGAAATTGAATCCTTTTTGCGCTTTTTGGGGAATGCTCTGAGATCCGACTACAGAAGAAAATTCACATATATAACTCTGTCGAACGATTTACCTACCTCGGTAGCATCATCTATTCCACTCACCGGCTGTCGGCAAAACCGGACTCGGAAAGTCAATATACGGCGCAGAACAGATGAAATATCGCCTCGTGATTTCTTGACCCGTCGTCCATCTCACTGCCCAGTCTTAAGATATCTTCCAGTTTTTGATTGCTGCACACTTGCACAATTCTCGACGCATCAAATCTCTCTCTCTTTTCCTCGGTGCTGTTTTTCTTATTTACTGACAAAGATATTGCGCAGCATTAGCTATTCACTTCTTGTGCGCCAATCTAAAAACTTTGCCCGCTTCTTCTCCTGCGGGGCGCTTCAGAATTCACTCCCATTCGCATCTAAACTTGGGCCTCTTTCAGCTCTGACACCTAGATATCCACACCCCCTTTTCTGTCAGATCGATTTCCTACCCTTGGTCAATTCGACAGATTCGCTTACTGTCGACTTACCCCCCTCTTGCAAAGCAGATCCTTCCCAGAAGTTTGGTCGTTTTTAAAAAAAACTGGGGCTAAAATAACCCTCCTTTGACCTCGGACAAGACTGTTTGTTAATTTGGTGAGTTTCTTGTTATTATGGTTTTCTATCATTGTTCGATCTATTTGACAGTTTTTGCCTTTGGCTTCGGTTTACAACCTTCTACCCCTTTTGTTCAATCTCTAGATCGACAACATCAAAAGTCGCTGGGATTCTCTGCAGTGGGTTTTCATTGTGGTAACACCACTCATTTTCAAATCATTCACTTCCTCAATACTCTGCTCAAATGAGCATGCGGTATTCAACTTTGGACACTCAAGGAAGCCCTTTCAATCTGCCGTACCACAACACAAATCTTACATACAAATTGTTCACTTTAGATTACAACCCTACAGCAGCTTGTCTTCTTTACACAACTAATAGATTTCAGTTAGTCACCATGAGTTCAAGCAATAATAAGATCGGAGCCGGTGGCAAGACCAACCAATCCAATCCTACATCAATGACGTCAAGCAATCCCTCTCTCCTCGGTAAATTCAATGAGCGACGCTCAACACCAGATTCAGAAGCTTTGGCAAGCTCCGATGATGAACCCGACCGACAAGACATTCAACAGCCAGTAAACCCGCCCCAAAAACCCACGCGCCGGGCCTCATGGTTGAACGACACTACTCAGTCCGGAACCCAGCCAAGAAAAGGCTCGCTCGCAAGCAGCAGCATGTCTCCAACAGCTTCACACTCTAGTACTCCTTCGGCTGAATCCAACGCTTGGGGTCCTCATGCTCAAGCAGCTGCAGGTCGTGGACATACAAGTTCAAGCTCATTCCCATGGGGTAGTGGTATTTGGAATAGCGAGTCACGTAAGGAGCCACCCTCTAGATTGACCGAAGTATTACCATCTCCAACGTCTATGCATCCACCGAGCTCAGCTGGCAATGGATACTTCCCCAACGAAATGATGAATCATCAACGGGACCCATCCGTGAATCCCACCATTCCTTTCGCAATTCCTCTCCATCCTACTCCAAAGACGTACCGATCACAGTCATACTCCGTTGGTCAGCTCGATCCAGATTCTAGTGCTGGCCCATCACCAGCGGCCGTTCCAGCAACTTCTAGTCGAGGACGCGGTATAGGACATTCTGGGTTGCACCATCGACCCTCTCGACCAAGTATGTTGAGCGAGATGACCGAGGGCGGTCTAGGAAAAGTCAAAGAAGTCGAGGATGATGATGATGAGAGCACTAACAGTTCTACTCATGATGCTCAAATTCAATCCCAGGAGGCGAAGACCATCGAACTGTTGGCTAGAGAGAATGCTATGTTACGCCAGCAACATTATCAAAACCAACGCCTTCGACCTCGATCTTCAACATCCAATGCTTTCGGTCTTGGTAATAGTTATGGCTTGCAAGAAGAACCTCTACCCGAAGAGTCCGACTATGCAATCGACGAACTTGATGAGCTCAACGATTTACAGGACCCGTCTAAAGCAATGTCAGGACGAAGAATGAGTGAGTATGGTATCGGTGGTGCAATGAGAGCCCCACCGTACGCTCTTGAAAACAGAAAGCTGGAGAATGTTAAGAAGGCTTATTGGCAGAGCTCTCTCGGATTCGGTGGACTGTCTGATATCCCGCAGAGCAGGCGCCACTCTTTCGCCGATATACCTGCTCGACAAGGCTCTGTTAGCTCGGTCGCGGGTGAACCATTGTCACAACTTGAAACTAGCATCCAAGAGAGTCTGTCTTCAAAGGACTATACTGGTCGGTATAATGAAGGCAACGGTTATCCTACAACTGATCATGGTAAGCAATTCTCTACTTTTTGATCCCTTTGAGGTGTAGGCAGTAGTCGCACACGTTCATATACTCACACTAATTTGATGCAGCAGCTTCTTACTTTGGCAATCTTGTTCAAACAGGTCGTAATACAGATGCTTTCACACCTTCCGTTTTCAACCCTTCTGCATATCCTTACGGCAATGTCAATCAATTTTCGAGTGGCCGCCCCACATCACCGCATCGAAGCATGTATGGCGTCCCACAGCCTCGACATAACCAACTTCTCTACATTGTCCTGTTCAAATGTTCGCGAGCAGATGTTTTTTATGTTCAAGAAGGTACTGGTCTCTCTGTTAAGCCTGGAGATCTTGTGATTGTTGAAGCCGACCGAGGAACCGATTTAGGCACAGTCGCTAAGGATAACGTGGACTGGACGACTGCTAAAGAACTCAAAGAGCATTATGCCGAAGAACACTACAAGTGGCTCATGATGTACTCTCAGAGTGCTGTAGGCAACACCGATGGAACCGGTGCCGGTTTAATGGCTGCTGCTAATGGCATGCAAGGAAGTGCTGTGGGTGGCATGGGTCCACCAAGTCAGCACGGCATGCAAGAGCCTAATCCAGGAGAGATCAAGCCAAAGATCATTAAACGCCTTGCCCAGAATCATGAAATACAAGCTTTGCGCGACAAAGAAGGAAATGAAGCGAAGGCCAAGCGTGTCTGCACGCAAAAAGTGAAGGAACATGGTCTACACATGGAAATTTTGGACGCAGAATTCCAGATGTAAGTCGACTAATAATCACTGCGACTCAACTGATGACACAAGCTTACTTATTGAATTTCAGGGACTGGAAGAAGCTCACATTCTATTACTTTGCGGATGCCTATATCAACTTCAATTCTCTTGTCACCGATTTGTTCAAAGTATACAAGACAAGAATCTGGATGTCCGCAATCAACCCTGCTTCTTTTGCAAGTCCCGCACTGGGCTTGCAAGCGCCAAGTGGTATTGGACCTGGAGCTGTGGGTGTCAACAGAACCACACAAGGTGAGCGTCGACCACAACAGACCGAGCAACCCCAAACATACAACGCAACGCAAGCAGGTCGAGGATATCAAGGCGTCTTCGCGCAGCCATTCCAGTCGACTCTGGACAGAAATTCGGCAGCGGCTCCTGGCTTCCAGCCTCAAGGTTATACTTATGGATATTCTCCATTTGGCGCTACCAGAACTGTCGGTCCTGCGAGCGCGTACGTTCCTTCGATGATCGACCCGTATGCTGGCTTCGCAAATACGGCGGATTACCAGACACCCGGTCGATTTCCTTCTCCTCATAGCACTACACCAGCTCATGAAGGTAGCGAATATGGACGACAAGGTGGAATCGTTGGACAGTCTGATGGCTGGATCGGAGCTTTCCAAGGCTTATCCATGGGAACTCGTTAAGTTCTTCTTTCGATCATACCACACGCATATTCTTGACTTTGTCTTTTTCGCAAATCGCGACGCAATGCCATGAGAATCACTAAACCTTGTCTCTGGTTTTGATACGCTTCTTCGTTTCCAGAAGGTTAACTACCAACCGGGACACTTCTGCAGAACTGGAGGCTAGACACATTTTGCTTTTGTAATATACCACAGATGCCCTCACCTATCGGCCCTGTTCTTAATACCCTGCATGTTCTCGACGAACATGCTCGTCTACACATTCGTTTATGTTATTGTTAAATTGCGTTGCACCAGATGGCGCATTGTTTTTATGGGCCAGGAACTATGAAGACACACTAGGACAACCTCTTCGGAACCACTACATTCCTTTTGCAATCTGATCATAGACGACGATTGTCAAAGATTCATCCAGATATCGGGAATCTTCTGGATCTACTACATAATCGGAGAGGAGCATAGGATTCGTACACAACATACACAACATACTGGACATAATTTTCTTTTCTTCTTTTCTTCGTCAATATCACTTTTATTTCTTCGTTAGTAAAGGGGAGTACACATTTTGCGTCTTCTGATTGCAGCGGCCTGACGCTTTACCACGACTTCACGAGAAATAAGTTTTAAGAACTCCATTGATAGATAGATCTTCCAAAACCCGGCGGTGTCAAGTGGGGAAAAAGAAATTGGGTAAATTTGCAAGGGATAATGGATGGATGCATGTTTCTTTTTTTTTCTTCTGATTCAGATTCTTTTCTGTCCTGATTGTTACCTTTTTTAGTTTCTGTTCGTCTACGATTCAAGGGGAATTGAATCGTTGATGGAATCTTATTTGATGCTTGTTGATAAGCATGGGCGATATGGGCGGGGATTCGGTAGCAAGAATGCAATTCATACACTATTTACTGTTTTGAGATGTGATGTGATGTATATATATGTGAATGATACCAAAATCCCAAGAGATGAGCGACAATTCTCAAATCATACTCACGAAACCTATACATTCTTCTCTATATAACTTCCAGTACCGGATGAAGCCTGTCCTGTCGACAAATACGCCAAATTTGAAAAGTAGGGCATACCGGCACCTTATAGCGTAGCGTTTAGGAGTATCGCACCAGGTTACTTTGACAAATTACCTATTTGACATAAGAATTTCCTCCCGCCCTTCCAGTGAGGGCAGAGAGCTTTTTGTTTTTGTTTCTATTTTCTAAGTTGGACTTGGTGAGAAAGGATTTGGGGGCTTTGGTGAGAGATGGGAAGAATGAGTGAGATCTTTATGAAGGCTCCTTCCATTTGCGACTTTTTTTCACCTCACCTCACCTCACCTCACCTGACCCACTTTCGTTCTCACATTCAACTTCATCTCTCATTTTATTCATTTGTCTTTCAGAATCCTCTTCTCTCTCATCTCATCTTTAAAACGATATTCATTCTCTCAAGGCCCACCGCACTTTCTGGATATCACCATCATGGTGAGCAAGCCAAAACGCGAGTCTGATGGTAAGTCATCATTTCTTACATTCTTTCTTTCGGTGAAAATATTCTGATATGTAAAGGTGACTTGCCACGTCTCAAGTCTAAGGTCCGCAGGACTGATTTGGATCATGAGGAAGGTTCTAGTGGTGTTACGGATCAGTATGACAGGAAAAGTCTTAAGAGAGATGGGAATGAGAAAAGAGAGAAGAAGAATGAGAGACAGTCGGAGCCTGCACGGGTTCATGTGAGGAATATGGAAGAGCTTGTGGAGGATGAAGATGAGGATGAAAATGAAAAGGATCCGGAAAGAGAGGAAAGCAAGTATGTGCAGTATTTGGTTACTCGTGGTTTTACTTCTATGTATATTTGACTGGAAGTGAGTACTGATTTGTTTGATTCAAAGTGAGTTCTTAGAATTGGACAATCTTGAGAAAAAGAAGAAGAAGAGTGCAGAGAAAGCGAAAGCGTTGTTTATGGAGAGATTCGTGGGGGTTGTGGGAAGGGATGCAGAGGGGGTTAAGAAGTTGGCGGATAAGTTGGAGAAGGAAGCGTGAGTACACCTTTAAGGTTTGGAATGATGCATCCAAGCTGCGTGCTGACTGGAATAGTTCGATCCAAAACAAGGAGTTTCTGGACGGGTTTGAAACTGCTTATGCGTGGTCGGGGCCATTCAGAGTCAAGAAGAAAAATGCGAAGCATGATGATGATGTTCATGATTTCGCCTTGATGCATCAAAAGGGTCAAGATATCATTGCACGAGCTTCGCGAGTAGCATCTCAGTATAACGAGCTTGTCGAGAAAAATGTCGCGAACGAACTTGATGGATTGCTTCGTAACGAGTGGGCCAAAGAGGATGAGCAGATCGTCAGGATGCTCGAACTGGGAAAGATGGTGGGATTCAATAAATTCGAAAGCATCTTGAATGCTACGAAGTGGGATGCTTTGGACATTGATGCGGTTGAGGTCTCGAAGAAATTCTTTCCGGTTGTTGATGAAGGGAAGGCAATTGGATGGGGTAAGGAGGCTAAGAAACATGAGAGGGCAAATAGGAAATTGCTCAAGGCTTTTGAAGAATGAGAGGAGAAAAGTAGGGGGGAGTATTTATTGACCTTGCTTGGGACTTTGACTTCGCTATATTGGCCATTGGTACAACCTAGCTGTACTATTATACTATCTTCCATCGTCTTCAAGGTGTTACTATTAGCTATAAAGGAATAGTGCACTTCAACGCCTCGAAACTTGTCTGAATGTATATTATCAGCATGGTTGAATGGACGAATTGGCCCAATGCAAGATGGACTTGAAATTTCCCAGTTGCAAATTACAGAAACCTGTATAGTACTCCCCTCGCTTTCGTCTACTTTACTTGGTGCAGGAAAAGGTTTTATAATTAGTTGCATTTAGCAAAAGACCTGATGGGTTGTCGTTCGGAGTTGTGAGATAGATGGGTACTAAATCTTGTAAAACATGGATATGAAAAGATAAATAGAGAAACAGTAATATATTTGAAAATGATATGAAATAGGGACATGGTAATGGTGTTTGAAGAGGGATAGTATAAGTAATGTGAGATGTGAGATTTGAGATGTATTTTCGGGGGGACTTGGAGATAGAAAGCCATGGTGTTGTAGAATTGAAGTTTTTTGTGATATCAGGCAAGAACATCGATTGTTTCTCCTCGAGTATGAAAAAGGGTAAATGGAAGATCCGAAGAACACATCCATTCATTGAACGATCTTAATTGATACTCAATAAGAAGTACCTAGGTATATCTAGGATGTCGATGGGAAGTACCTAGTAAGATCAAATAAAAGGTGGAGATATGTTAACTGTTGTTGATGCCTATATCCCAAGGCTGTAACTTACCCGAGCACGCTAAAAACTTTCGCGCACTCTGGAAGAAATGAAAATACAACCACGAACTTTTTCTTCTACGACAACGACAATCGACAACTCCCGAGCCACCGACAATCCCTAAACTTAATCAAGGTCAGTAAATCGATTTCGTACGAATATATGCTTCAAGATCAATATCTGCGACCAAGGAATAGGAACGAGTTTCTGAAATTGCAGATGTTGATTGGAATTTTCGACTTATCTGCGCAATACCGCAATTTCAACTTGCGGATTTCTCAAGAGGACCAATGCTGACATGACCCTTATCTAAACAGATGGGTGCTCTTAAATATCTCGAGGAAATACAAAAGAAGAAGCAATCTGATGTTCTTCGATTCCTTCTTCGTGTACGATGCTGGGAGGTAAGATAAACAACCATCCCAAGAGACGATCTCGATCGACTTCAATTATTCGAAAATTTGGTCCTCGGACAAGCAAATTGGAATATTGTGGGCATCTTTTGATGTCTCTGCTATACACTCGTTGAACTTAGCTGAGAGTGCATAATATAGCTCCGACAATTGAACGTCGTCCATCGTGCTTCCCGTCCATCTCGTCCAGACAAGGCCCGTCGTCTCGGTTACAAGGCCAAGCAAGGATATGTTATCTACCGTGCCCGTGTCCGTCGTGGTGGTCGCAAGCGCCCAGCACCAAAGGGTGCCACCTACGGTATGTTTTATTTTCTTCATGTTTGTTGGAAGACAGAAATTGTGCTCTGAAGAAGTCTCGGATTTACTAACCCAATTTTCGCATTATAGGAAAGCCAACCAACCAGGGTATCAACCAACTTAAGTACCAAAGATCCCTGAAGTCCACCGCTGAGGAGCGTGTTGGTCGCCGTTGCGCCAATTTGAGAGTTTTGAACTCCTACTGGATCAACCAAGACTCGACCTACAAGTACTTCGAGATCATCCTCGTTGATCCTCAACACAAGGCCATCCGCCGCGATCCTCGTATCAACTGGATCGTCAACCCAGTCCACAAGCACCGCGAATCTCGTGGAATGACTGCCACCGGAAAGAAGTCCCGTGGTCTCGGAAAGGGTCACGGATTCAACAAGACCACTGCTGGACGCAGAAAGACCTGGAAGAAGCACAACACCCTCAAGTTGCAAAGATACAGATAAATGTAATCATGGGTTGGATGTGTGTTGTTGCGTGCTTCGGCAATGGGTTGAATGGATTGTTTTATGGCCTCATGGCGCACTGGTAGTTAATGCAACAAAGCATAGCTTTTCCATCATACCCAAAACTTTTATGAATTTACGAATCTCTTACAATGTGAAAGTACCTGGCCTCCTAGACCTTTGTTCTGTGACAAGTGAAAGTGCGAACATTCAAGGATCAACTGTCACGCCAATTTCCTTCTTTCAAACGTCAAAGATGATTATCTTCCCTGCATTTCATTTCCCCTCTCGATATATACTTCCAAACGATTTCCGGAATCTCATGAAGATATTCAAATTAGCACAAGCCTCACAATTTTGAGATCTTCCCAAAGTCGTCCTATTCATTCTTTTCTTTTCTTTTCTTGGCAAAGGAATTTCAAATGATAATGTCTATCGGGTTCGATGAAACATACATACTCAACAGAGAGATTTAAACTGCCAATTGTGCACAAATTAATTGACACACCCAATCCGCGGAAATTGAATTTCTGTGGGGATAACTAGGTAGGTACATACGAAGTACCTAGGTATCCATCTCAACATGTACCGAGATAAACCTGCAAGATTACAATCTAAGTTTATACGACAATGGTAAGTAAACAATCCATGTGCGTTGTGAGAGAACCCCCCTTAAGAGTGAAGGTCAAGAACCGAATTCAACATTCACTATCTATATGTTGATTTCATAAAGGTGCATCAAGGAAAGCGCCTGCGATCTTTCTTCCTTCCCCTAAACCTCAAGTAAGAACGGACGAACTTATCGATTACGAAAACGAAAGAAAGCTTGGATATACACAAGAAGGGAACTGCTGCCCTCGCACAACATCGCAACTAACTCGCAGATACTTTTGGAGGGCCCGATGGTCAATTTAGAACGGCTGCACGTCGCAGACAATTTGAAAATATAAAATGGCACCTTGGTCTAGTCGTCTACTCAATTCGAATCCGCGAAGTGAATCTGGCTCGAATATTGCTACCGTTGGTCCAGCACCAGAATCACCAACAAAAAATCGGGGAAGAGCTAGAGTAACTGAGGCGGATATCTTGGATAATGCTTATGGTATTCCGACTTTAACTACGGCTGCTCAGCATGTTCGATCAGGTCCCTCGGGTTCGAATACCTCAAAACCGACTTCGAGCCATGGGAGATCTATGAGCCATCCTTTTCCATCACTGTTTCATAGCAAGAAGAAGGGGAGTGCGCCGGTACCGCCTGCGGCAGGGTTTTTTGATGATGACGATGATTTATCGCCAGAAAAGAATACCGGGGCAAGGTCCTCACGAGTGCCAGATAAGGATTTCTCGATGGGAAAGTGCATGACTTGCAATTCGAGCGTTACTTGGCCGAAAGAACTTAATGCGTTTAGATGCAAAGTTTGTGCGGCAGTCAATGATCTACAGCCATACGTACCGGCTCCGAGCGATGGGCACAAAATGAGTGGGGGTGGTAAGTCTACGACTTATTCAGGGCTGAATAAACCTCAAGTTCTTAAAGGTATGCTATGAGTGGGGTAAGCTATTGTATGTCTCATGTCTGACTTTCATAGTTGCGCCATTGTCCGTTGAGAAAACTCGTCGACTTGCGGAGAGATGCATAACCACGTACCTGATCAATCGACTGAAACATGGGGGAGTCGACATCTCGAATACATCATCCACTTCGCCAAGATCACCTACCTTTGCAATGACAGAATCTCCACAAGAATATGAGCATCCTAGGCACTTCACAAACCAGTCCAGTTCACAAGCAGTTCCCATTAGACCTCCCCCTCCTGGGCACGGAAATAGTTCTGGGAATCGCATTGACTTGGACATTCACAAGCAGCCAGGTCTACGCTCCATGCCATACTCAACTTCTTCCCCTGGCAGTTGTTTCGGCGCCCACATGGAGAAACGTGATCAAATGGGCTCTGATATTTACGCTAACCCCTTGGCTATTCAACCGCCAAGTAGAAGTCCTCCAAATCCACCAGGCAAATTTGAGGAACCTATGCTAGGAAGACAAGATAACGTCGCCAAAAATCTCTTTAGACCCTTGGAAGAATATATCATAGCTTCATTTAGCCAATTTGATTGTATCAATACTTCATTCAGTACTACGCGACAAAATCCCATTCCTAGAGCTAGAAGTCAGAGTGGTCTAAAGACGTTTATGGCCACCATTCCAGACGAAATCGACCCACAGTCAGAGACGCCTCTAGAAGAACTTGATCCCAGAATGCTGATGTTGGGAGATATTGCAGAGAATGGCTCTTGGTGGACTGGAAACCAGAAAGATGCTGGGACCCCTGAGAAGACTCGTGCTCAACAGTCAGGAGACTCAGTACGTCAGAATCCTCATTGTGATCTCACCACTGTCAAATCGCCTCGTATCGACTGGCCTGATATCAATGAATGGTACCACGTCGTATCGAATCCGGGAAGAATTTGGCATCGTAAACTAGAGGAACTAATATCACGTCGATCTAGCCCAGTCGCGCAAGCGCCCACTGATGGAGAGCTTGTCGAGATTGAGGATACGATCACAGAGGCCCAGTCGTATCTTCAGAGAACTGTATTGAAGGCTACAGAGGGCCTGTTAAAACGTCCCGGACGTCCTTTAAAAGAGCCCGATAATCTTCGCTTTCTTTTGATCATCCTAGCTAACCCTCTTCTGTACCCTGGAAGCAGTACTCTGCCAAGAAATACAGGACACAAAGTTCCGTCGAATGTTCAGAAAACCGAAGCTGGTGATTTCAATGTTCCTAAAATCAGAGGACAGCCACCTTCTTCCAAACCACTGCCGAACGTGACAAAAGGAGCCTCTGGCCAACACTCGGGAATCATCAAACGAATTGTAGGATTACTTTCAAATACTCCGAATGAATGTCACCATCATATAGTTTCATGGTTTGCCAGATATCCAGAAGGCCATTTCCAGCGTACCACAGAATTGGTCGGCAGCTTTGTCACTTACAGGCTTACCAGGCAGCATGGGAAGCCTCGTGAGGTCGATAAGGCTATTCCTACGTCCGGCTTGATTCCTGAAATGAGTGCTACTGCATCTCACAATAATGTTGCAGCTTTTCATGCTGCTCTTCAAGCTGGACAGACAACTAATAAGAAAAAGGAAACGAAGCCAAAAGCTGTTGTGTATAGTGACGATTGGCAAATCAAGGCAGCTGCTAGGGTAATGGCACTCCTTTTCTCGGCTAACAACAGTGGGCTACATAGGAAAGGCAAATTACTTAGTAGCTTTCAACCGCCAGCTGATTATTCGTCGAAAAGTACGGAGTCTAGTATAGGAACTCCTATTAGGGCTCTGGCTGGCCATGGTCAGATGTTACCGACAAGCCACTTTTACAATACCTTGCTTGATTATTCCGATTTAGTCGCAGATTTTGAGGCTTGGGAAAGTAAGCGTAGCAAATTTGCCTTTTGTCAATATCCATTCTTTCTTAGCATTTGGGCAAAGATCCAGATCATGGAGCATGATGCTCGTCGTCAAATGGAAGTTAAGGCGAGAGAAGCGTTCTTTAACAGTATCATGACACGTAAAAATGTCAATCAGTATCTTCTTTTGAAAGTCAGACGAGAGTGCTTAGTCGAGGATAGCTTAAAGGGAGTGAGTGAGGTTGTGGGCACTGGTGGCGAGGAGATCAAAAAAGGGTTAAGGATAGAGTTTAAGGGTGAAGAGGGTATCGATGCAGGTGGGCTGAGGAAAGAATGGTTTCTTTTGCTCGTGAGAGATGTTTTCAATCCTGATCATGGTATGTATTCTCTCCGATGTGGATCAAAGCGGTAACTAACAACAAGTAGGCATGTTCTCATACGACGAGGACTCTTGTTTCTGCTACTTCAACCCTAATAGCTTTGAGACGACCGATCAGTACTTTCTTGTTGGGGCTGTACTTGGTCTGGCTATATATAACTCAACTATTCTCGACGTGGCGCTGCCTCCTTTTGCTTTCCGAAAATTGCTCGCTGCCGCCCCCGCTGCAGCACCCGGTGCAACATCACATGCGAAGCCCTCTATGACATATTCTTTAGAAGATCTTGCCGAATATCGGCCAGCTTTAGCTCATGGTCTGAAACAACTCCTTGAGTTCGACGGAGACGTTGAGGCCACCTTCTGTCGGGACTTTGTAGCAGATGTTGATCGCTATGGACAAACAATACAAGTGCCTCTCTGCCCTGATGGCGACAAAAAGCCAGTGACGAACTATAACCGGCGAGAGTTTGTAGATCTGTATGTAAGGTATCTTTTGGACAATGCCGTAGCTCGGCAATTCGAACCTTTTAAACGCGGGTTCTTTACGGTGTGTGGAGGAAACGCACTATCACTCTTCCGACCCGAAGAAATCGAGCTTTTGATTAGAGGCTCCGACGAGCCTTTAGACATTACCTCTCTGCGCGCAGTATCCGTGTGTGAACATTGGGGCGCACCGAATGCAGCCGAACGCGAACCCGTCATCCAGTGGTTTTGGGAATCCTTCCAAAAAGCAGATCCGAAGGATCAGAGAAAACTTTTGAGTTTTATCACCGGCAGTTCTTGTATTCCGGCCATGGGCGCAACAAGTTTGGTTATAAAATTGAGCTGTCTAGGCGATGATAGTGAGAGGTTCCCTGTGGCGAGAACGTGCTTCAATATGTTGAGTTTGTGGAGGTATTCGTCCCGGGAGAAGTTGGAGGGGAGACTTTGGAGAGCAGTGCATGAAAGTGAGGGTTTTGGGTTGAAGTGAGGGTTTGGAGGGGTGAGGAATGAATGTGGAGTGTGTTGGTGCAAAATGATAGGAGTAGGAAAAGGGGGGAGGAATTTTAGATAGATCAAGTGATGGTTATGGTTGGTGAAGGTGGGGCGTCTTTATTTTGTATTCAATGGAACCCCCAGGGTTTTTGGTGTCGGTATTGGCGTTGCATCTCGATTGTCGGATAGGAACTGGACAATTAAGAGTACACACATGAGGGTCTTGGAATTGGACTGGATTGGACTTGGGGCAAGATCGCGCCTACTACATAAGAAGCAAAGTCATTCAGTGAGTGAGGCTAGATGAGACGGGATAATATTTTTTCGATGATGATCATCTTAGATATACTGTATCACTTCTCTTGTTTAACGTGTGCGTGACCGTTTTATAACCACCTTTTGCCAAATACTGATGCGTAACGACCTTTTGTCAATACTTTAATGTATTCGTATTTCGTTTTGGTTTTCCCATCATGTGAGTGTTCCTCCTCAACGCCTGGTATTATATATACAGCATATTCTACACCCCATATCCATCCATCATATTTCTTCCCATCGATTCCTTTTCTCTACTCTCTACTCTTTACAACTCAGTTGAAGCAGCAGCCACCTCACCTCTCGCCTGATCCAAAATCGCCTTCTCAGCCCGAATCCTCTCATTAACAACCGCGCTCAACCTCGAATTATGTTCTCTACTCAATTTACTAGCCGCCAGATCCCGTAACATCTGTTTTTCTGCATCAGTAGGTAAAACTTTCTTCGCTTTCGTCAGCTCCATCAGATCATAGAGTATGTCGTTGCCGTCCCGGTGTTTGCATTCGATAGTTTGGGTGTAGATCGTTGGGGCGCCGGGGGTGGAAGGAACGACTGGGTTGGAGGTGGCTGCTTGGGAGGGGGTGGTAAAGTGGATGGTTAGGGCTGCGGGGACGCCGGGATCGTCGGTGCGGTTGACGGTCATGGGGATCGCGGGGTTATGGTATTTGAGGCGGGGGAGACATTTGCGCCAGAAGTGTCTGTGGAAGAGAGGGGTCAATCGCTGGGTTGAATAGGTGGGGGGATGGAGGGAGAGGGGTAGAGGGGATGTAGATGGAGAGGAGGGGATATATACCGTGGACCGAGATGTCCAGATAACCCATAGGCAAAATCCAATTGTATCCTTGTTACTTCTGACGGGAGAATTGCTGCGCCAGGTCCTAATCGTATGTTAAGTAACTATGCGAAAGCAAGAAAGTCAATTTCAAGTCTTCATCTAACAGTTACTGTGATGGGCGTTTCTTTACCTTCTATTTTGTGAATCATATTAGCGTTTGCGACCATACCATTGCGAGATGAATGTAGAAGTACTTACAGCGTTAAGCTTCGACATCCGCTTTAATATGTTTACCATGTTGAATATTTGAAGGTCGACACAGTAATTGAAAGGTACTACCAGTATATAAAATCGTGGGGTGAAGTCTGGAGGAGCTTTAACTTGTAAATATATTTCTGAGGTTTTGAGACTACAGTGGGTATTTTAACCCCTGTCATTTGGAAGCTCCGACCTCCGACCTCCGACCTCATTTATTTTTTGAATGGGAGAAGGGACAACTAAATTTATTTTTTGGTTAGAGGGAAGAGATAATCTGCGTACAATTCAAAAACGATGCGCATTCCATTAAAGTGATATGTCTCTCTCTAATTCTGGCAGACTTGCTTTGAGAATCTCAAGACAAGCAGAATGTGTAGTTGCTGAAATACCTACATTTCTTTGCCCGCTACTCGCGCGAAGCTTGCACCCTTCAAAGCTGGTCCACAGCCAACCACGAAAGAGCGTTCGAGCTCAGCGAAGATATGTTCAGTCGCACGCTCAGTCTCAGGCCCAGGAAGTTCCGGAATCTTATTCTATTGCCTCAGCCCAAGCTTCAATGCAGTTGCCTTCACAGTGCGCTGGATGCGGTGCCTTCTCACAGACAACTGGTGATGTTGAAGCGGGGTTTTATTCATTGACAAGGAGGTCAGTTAGGGAATATCTTGGGACTTCATACACGGCAAAAAATAGGACAGCCACAGCAGAAGATGAGGTGGTCAAGAAAGCCCTAGAAAATGTCGACAGTACGATTCTCGAGACTTTGGGGATGGAGAAACCCGCAGATACAACTACATCCATGGAACCACCAGTATGTGACCGATGTCACAATCTCAAGAACCACCAAACTGGGGTTTCCATATATCATCCCTCTGTACAAGTTCTCCAACAAACGATATCCGAATCTCCCTACAAATACAATCATATATATCACATCATAGATGCCGCGGACTTCCCCATGTCGTTCATACCTGCCCTGACCAAAACGCTGCATGTGACACCTCAGAGATCGCACAATCGACGTTCGAAAGCAGGGAGATTTTACAGTGACAGAAAAACGGAAGTGGATTTTGTGATCACCCGCTCGGATCTTCTAGCACCCACGAAAACGTTGGTAGATTCTATGATGCCATATCTAACGAGTGTGTTGAGGGATGCTTTGGGGAGGGCGGGAAGGGGGGTTCGCTTGGGAAATGTTAGGTGCGTTAGTGCGGAAAGAGGTTGGTGGACGACGAAGCTAAAGGAGGATGTTTTTGAGAGGGGGGGTGGTAATTGGATGGTGGGAAAGGTCAATGTGGGAAAGAGTCGGCTTTTTCATGAGGTGTTTCCAAAAGGCAGAGGAAAGAATGAGGTGATTGTCGGTAAACCTTTGCTCATGGATGGAAGGACTGATGATAATGTTACTAACGGCGCTCCTTCGCCTATGGTTTCCTACAAACCGATGCTGATAGAATCAGGAGAGGTAGAGGTAGAGGAGGAATTAGTAAAAGATGAATCGGACGATACAATGCCACTTCTCCCTCCGGCACAACAAGAAACAGCATATCCAGCAATGCCCCTTGTGTCGTCTCTTCCTGGTACGACAGCATCGCCAATTCGAGTGCCTTTTGGTAATGGAAAGGGAGAGCTTATTGATCTTCCTGGGATATCCCGAGGCGAACTCGAGCTTCATGTTCAGCCAGAGCATCGGAGTTCGCTTGTCATGAAAAGTAGGATAAAACCAGAACAGAAAGTGATGAAGCCTGGTCAGTCACTAGTACTCGGCGGTGGCCTCATCAGAATTACACCCACAGATCCAGATATAATAATGATGGCTTATTCGTTCATATCTATACAGCCAAACCCTCATTTGACGTCGACTGAGAAGGCGATCGTCATGCAGAGTAGAGGTAAAGAGCCATTCATTGATAATATAATGCTCTCTGGAACGGAAGAGAAGGTCGCTTCAGCTGGGATTTTTCCTTTGAAATGGGATGTAACGAGGGCACGTATAGGACCAGTCACCAATTCTATCATTGATAGGGGCAAAGTGGAACAACTCCCATTTCAGATTCTTTCCACGGATCTCTTGATCGAGGGGTGTGGATGGGTTGAGCTTGTTGCACAAGTTAGCAAGAGGCGTCTCCTGAAGGCAGACGCAACTAACTATAACACGGCAGAGAATGCAAGCTGGGGATGGGGGGACGAGAAGGAAGTTGCAGATGATATGGCATGCCCGTCAGTTGAAGTATTTACTCCTGAAGGGAAATTTATCGCTGCTAGGAGACCAATGAATGCATGGATGCTTAACGCTAAGAAAACGTCGAAGACTAAAGCTAGGCCACCGCGTAGTATGAAAGGTGTTGAAAAGTTAAGGAAAGCTAGGATGGGTGCAACAAGAGGATAAGGAAAGGAAGAGCATAGCAGCCGTCATTTTCATGTTGAACAACACACCTCCTCCCAATACAGGAAATGAAATTATATACCAAATGTATTCTCTCAACTGACACATATCAAAAATGAGAAAGGAACGTCCTACCTTACAATTCTCTCTTGCGAATTTGACATGAGGATTTCTTCATCTGTCATGACTTTTTTCAAGTTTTTTTTGGTGTCCAAATAAAGCAGTGTTGTAAGACATATACATGTACTCCATCCTTGCTGATCTATCTTTCCCATCTTTACTCGATTATATTACACTGCATTTGTATACACAGTACCTATGTTTTCAACCAGATAGAAACTTACACTGAGAGCAACTGGCATGCCTAACAAATCGTCCCAGATGTACATGAAGAATACAAGTCTTTCTTAGGGCCAGAATATTGTGGGATTATGACTGCAAAGTATATGCATAGTATAGTAGACTAGAACAAAAAACTTTTTAAAATCACAAGGGAATAAGTATAGGAAGAAAGGACCGAATATTGTATTGACGATGAGAATATTGTATAGGTCCTCAATCTTGAGATTCCCGAATAAAACTCCCTATCCATAACTCCATAACCCTTATACTTTATTTACCCTATTACTCCACTATAAGATCGGATTCTCATATACTACACAGCCCAAAGAGTACAAGCTACTATCTTTGACTAACCCAATCAAACATACTCGAGTAGTGTATTCGAGAAGCAAAGCTCGAGTCTTAAATCGATTATGGGTATTGCGAAACCGAAAATGCGGAGTGGGCCAGTAGCTTTTTCAAAAAAGGAAAGATAAGAGTTAGCTGAATTTCGATCTTTTTGAAGAGGATTTACCTTATGGCTATTGTCTACAATAACCCCATAGCAAAATAGCGTATACAACTGCAGTAATGCAGAAGAGAGCGAAGAAAAATGCCTTGTAGTGAACTTGGCGTTCTGCAGCACGATCTGCTAGGTTTGCATTACGCTCAGCACAAGCTGCGCCGAACAGAGCAATCATTCCCTCAAATACCTCCTCGGCCTTCATGATGTCTTCTTCTTCTTCATTATTAGCAACAATTCTCAACAATAACTGTAATAGTAATAATAACAATACTAATCACAAGTATAACTCAAAAAAAAAGTTCTATAGTAGTATCTTGTAATATTTAAATTATCCAAATATCTAGCGAACTTGAAGAGGGAAGAGGAGAGTTCTAGAGACTAGTATACAGATATATAAGACACTAAAGGTGAGGAAGGAAGGAAGGAAAAAAGGAAGGAATGAATGAAGGAAATATATATGAATTGGTCTGAATCTGAATCTGAATATATATTGTATATTGGGTATTGAGTGGTATTGTATTGAATTGTATTGAATTAAATTGAATGTATATTAAGTACAAGTATATAAGTATATTAAGTATAAATATGTTTTGTTTATATTTTGTTCATAGTGGTGGGGTTTGGGATTTGGGGATTGCGGATGGGGAAGGAGAGAGGAAATGGTGTAGGACAGAGGGGATGGTGCAGGATGGAGATGAATAGGAGAAGTATGAGAGGAGATGAAGATAGGGATAGAGATGGAGATGAAGGGGGAAGAATGAGCAAGAGGTATGAGTTGCATGAGATGTAAAAATGTAAAAATGTAAAAATATAAGAGATATGAGGGATACTTTTCCCAGTCTTCCTTGAAGACTTCAATTTCTTGTTTTTGTAAATTGGGGATTGGGAATTGGGGATTGGATTGAATTGGGATTGGATTAGATTAGATGTTTGGTCATAATTGTATATCATCATATCTCATCGGCTATATAAATGAAGATCAACCATACCTACCATATGAATGAAGCATTATGGTTCCAGAGCACATTGTCTACCTCCTGTAGATACTATACATCCATAGCAATCTCATAAATCTTTTTAAAAATGTAAGATTACATATGCCACATAATATACACACACACACATACACACACTCACCTACTCCCCACCAATCTACCACAACCCATACCCCTCACCACTCCCCTTCTGCACTGTCTGAGGCCTCAATCTCGCCGCCGGTACATAAGGCCTCGCCAAGCGTTCAGGAATCTCATCCACCCTATCCTCCTTAACCGCCACTGCCTCTTTATCCGCCGGCACCACCGACAGGACCATATTACCCTTCGCATTCACAAATGCATGTTTCAACTCCACATACGTTTTCGAGCCTCCAATTTTCTCAGGCTCGACATACAACAATCCCCCAATCGGCTCGCTTGGTCTGGCGAGACTAAAACCTCCACCACCAGGTCGCAAATCAAACACTGGGAATCCCATGGGAATGTTGGCCACTACACCTCCAACACCAAGAACGGGGTGCGATCCGTGTGCGTTTTTGGGCATGACGATTCGGGCTTCGATGGGTGGGGGATATTGTTGTGGCCCGTAGAGCGCGTGGTTGTAGATCCAGCTGCTACTTCGTCCGTAGGATAGACCGGCTGAAGGATGGGTTTTCGGTGGACCAGATTCCGCATATGGAGATGTGGAAACTTCGACGGCGACGGCGCGTTTGCGTGGGACTCCTAATATATCATAATCGACGTCGCCGTCGCCGTCGTCGGGTTTGGGTGCGGGCGAGGGCGCCAGATCGAGAAAGGCGCGGACTTGCCGATTGAGCATCGTGGGATCTCGGCGGACTCGTCGGATGTATGATGATAATTGTTCTTCGGAAATATCGTCGACGGAGTATGTGATATTGGGGAGATTCACCAGGCCTTCATCATGTGCATGCACATTCTCACTAGCTTCCGCACGAGCTTTCTCACGAGCCTCACTCGTTAGATTCAGCGCACAGCATTCTCTGAGAAATTGTCTAAAGTCGGTGACTTTCGTGCCCACCTCGTTTGCCATATATTTTTGGAATTCGCCCTTGGTGAGCCCCGCGAGCCATGGGCCTGAAAACTTCCAGCGCGTGTCTTCGCTGCCCTGGCCTATGGATGCCAGGTTGAGATCATCGTTTCGAACGACCGTCGAGTCGATAGTATCTTCAAAGACACTGCGGTGACGAGGAATTAGCTGGTCCCTCGACGGCTGGTCCATTCGACTCGGTTTCGGCGTCGAAATTGGAATATTCATTTCCTGCCATTTCTGCAACGTCAACGTGTGATCGGCGGCTGAATTAAACTCGGTGATGTGTTCAAAGGTATCGATAGCTTCGACGCGGATGACGGGGGTAGATGTGCGCATGGTGGCTCGCAATGGCAGGGGACGTTTGAAGCCCCAATCGCCTTTGGCGAGCGAGGATGTGGGCGTGGTGATGGATTGATGGATGGGATGGGGGAGCGTCGCCGTGTCGGAACCGAAGACTGCTTGTGAAGAGAGTTTGCCGTTGGGTCGGGGGAGCGAGGTGGGAATCGCGAAGACTCGGGAGGCTCGTAGGAGGGCCCCGCCGGGCGACATGCGTGTTGATGCCATGAGGGAGAATTCGAGCTCTGCTGAGCCCTGGAGTGGGTTATGGCGATATTGGTTGTATCAGTCCCTGTAAACAGCTCGTCCCCTGAATCGTAATCTGCTTCCTTCAATTATCGTAGCTGTTGTGTGCGGGGAACAATGGCACATTCAAAAAAACACTTATGGCGGGACAAATTATTGAGGTTCTCGATAATTTTCGAGATGGCGCTAATCCGTTTCGGGAAATTCATGATGTTCAGATTTATCAATGAAGGTGCAAACAAAGGCTTATATCAAATCAACAATATAATGTTTCTGTCTAAGTTCTAGATTCGAGATCAATTCAGCCTCAAAGCTTAAAGTTTCACCATATCAAAGCATTCAAGGTATCACAAGTATATTCAATACATCCATCTACATAAAACAAAAATATTCACATCAAAGACGCGCATCACCATCACCATCATCTTCACTCCAGATCAAGAACTCAACCCAACCTCTCATCTCTATCCTTCTTCCTCCCAAGATAAAGATAAAATAAAAAATAATCCCAAAGCTTGTATTAATCAAGAGATCAGTGTATCATGGAGATCTGCATATTTAGAGGCTGTTCACGATTTTGATCTGATGATGATGATGATGATGATGATGATGATGATGATGATAATGATGTTGATGATAATAATAATAACAGCAGTCGGTTTATCACTCCAACCAGACCAGACCAGACCACAATATCCATACAATAATTTGAGTGCAAATACTATCTTTCGAATGTAAATTCTAGGTGATTTAGAGAGCGATACCGAGATCGATATAATATATTCACTTAGTACGTTGGAAGTGGAGTGTATGGAGTAGGTAGTGAAAAAACCCAGAATCTCAGGCGTGAATCTTCCAGATGTGCACTATGAGAGAGATTCACAACTATCCATTGAAACAAATGAATCAAAAGTTACATTGTCGTTTATTTCTATAATCTGTTAGTTCTACTTCCACCACCCTTAGCCCAAGTTAGTTAATGCCTGCAACTGTTCTTAAACTTCATTGAACACCTCAAAGCTTATCCCATCCCAACAAGCTAATTCTCACCGTCGTTGGTGAAGTATGTTTCTCGTGTTGTTGAACTGCTTCTATATGGGTATCAACTGGAAGTTTGAGAGCTGTGCAATCCCTTTTTTCCATCAGTCGATCACCTCCAAGGCTCCAACAAGAAGGCGCAGCGAGTCTAACCCTCTTATTCGTAATTTGGCCATCAAGATATCTTCCACTCTCTAGTATTTCCATTCGTATACCTTCACTTTTTAGGCCTCTGAACTCATACCATTCAAAGAATATGACGGTGTGGCTTACTTACGAAAAGTAATCGCACAGTCAGTAGTAGCTTATCGAACTTCTGTCCGTCGATCCCCAAAATCAATCTGAGTAATTATGAGTGATATGTAACTAGGAAACCCTCTTTGATACACCCACTGGGTAAAAAGAAGGAAGCCAATACCATCCCCAGAATCGATTGATGCCCAAACATCCTATATATCTACCAACCAGGTATATGTGTAAATGCCAAGGGACATGAAAACAAACGAGGTGGTGACGTCCATCAGTTGGAAAGTGTAATTGGAAAGTGTAAATGTAATATTCTCCGCACTCTTACGGAATCATCACACATGTAAGATTGTCCCTGGGCATAAGCTGTGGAGGTCAGCGATGATCAGCTTAATGCTTACACTGGCAAAGGCGTTTTTGCTGACCTGCAGTTTGGAGTCATCATAAACCAATCCTCGAATAGCGGAAACCTCAGGATCAAGTAATGAAAACCAGTGTGTAAATCTTTCCATACTCACTGGACGGTTGGTTGATCGGTTTATGAAATCGCAACACTGCTACTTCCATCATCATCATCATCATCATCTGATGAAGAACTTTTGATATATCAAGTAAATATCATATACCAGGAAACACAGGAAGTGTAAATGACCCTTCCATAGCTCACAAATCTTTTGGAGGTCCAATCCCCAATATTAATACTCGAAGATCGACATCTTCCAGTTGTACGTACGAAAATGTTCTGAACACGTGCTAAGCATCATGAGTTTGAGTTTGCCTTGAAGATTCCAAATTGTGACATTACACAGCCTTTTATCTGAAGCTGAACCGTTGGATAAAATAGGATTCTTGTAGTGGATCAATGTTCGAACATTTGAATTTAACAAGTAGGGTTATATGCCACATAGCGATTCAATAGGGCAATGCCGTTTCTCTGTACTCGTAAACATATGTGGGGTGGTAACATGCCTAAACGTGGCGATGGAGAAAATTGATAAGGGCAAATTTATCAAAATGTGCCGGAAAGAGATCTTCCTTTCCGAGGCATTATTATGTTGGGTTGCAGATCCTGTTGAAGTATCTTGCCGTCGGAAGGATTACAATCTGATACATTACCGAAGGGTGGAATGGGTTCCGGGACTGTGCCCCGAGTAGTGTTATTTGGTAACTGTTGGCCATCACAACATGATTCATCCATCAGATTGCCTATGAGAACCTTGGTCGATGAAAATGGTACCACTTGAAATCTTTTGGATAGTTCGAAAAATGTGGTTCGCTGTACGAAATACCCCGCATGGATACCAAAAAAACGATCACTCTCGCATGACTAGTAGAAAAATATATGAAATTTGGCGAACCATGGCAAATACCATCATCGTAGACTTTGAGGCCATCAAATGGGCCAGTGCCGGTATTTCCTTTTACAGTGTGGCACACAAGAAAAGGGCAGCTGCATAAGATCTGGTCGCCTTTCTCTCAGTGAAACATGTGGGAGACCGAGAACGTGGCACTGATTGGAAAGGAGTGACCACAAAAACCTGCTCAAATTTTTCGATATCTTTCGTTTGCTTTCAACCAAAGAAGTAATCATGGATGTTAGAAAAATAAATTCAATGCTTCTCCGATGCAAGCGACATATCCCAGGCAGTCGGGCAAGATCGTGAACTTCTTTGAATTCGGGCACTTGACAACGAATCACATGTGGCTCTGGAATGTGGGTGGTAAATGTGGCGCCTATTAGAAACACAAATGGTAAACTGCCACACTTGCATGGCCGTTGTCATACGTACAGCCGAACCAAGATGGTCCGTAATCTGATGGAGGATTGAAATTTCCCTGATTTTCACCGTATCTTGCGATGTAATAGAAATAAAACATAGGTCTGGATCGTTTGCCCCGTAACTTTGCTGGCCTCGTGTTCCGAATACTTTTGAGTCTTTTCAAAGACATGTACGAAACAATCATGGCTGAGGCGAAATGTAAACGTATACATTTCAAGAGTTTTTAAAGAATTGGCAGTTGGAAGCAATTGGATGTTGATATGATGATATGATTCCATTGGGGAGAAACTTCTCATGGTAAACTCGTAGGGCACCAAAATGGAGTAGGTTGAGTGGAGTGACGGCCATGCATGAAGGCGCGTGAAATTGATAGGTTTTGGGTTTTGATGATTTATCCAATAACCATTGCTTAGGGCAACTGAATCACACTTGGGGTCAGCACAACCTTTGAACTAAGCCTTCTCCTTCGGATAGCAGAGTCAGCTTCTCTTGTTGCTATTCGTGTTGAGGCTGATTATCTCGGTAGGTAGAAATGTCTTTTTCAGATGACCCGTGTAGGCAGAATGAATTGAAAGAAGTGGCCGTTGTGATAAGATTCGACAGAATAGTTACATGTAAAGCTTCATCATCCAATCAATTGAATGAGTTGAGGTTGCATCCAAGGCTATGTAACATCATCGAGAGCGAATCGAAAAGAATATCAATTCTGATAGAATTTGTGATTGAATGAATGTGTCCAACGAGGATTAGAGTACAGAAGAGTACAGTACTTACTGTACTTACTGTCAGAGTTTACAGCTACTGTATATGTCATCGTGCACACACAAACTGCCACGAAGGAATTGTCGGTGGAGAAAGGAATTGACCAAGATGCGAAAGTAAGGAGTTGAATTGGCAGGCGAATGAATGACTTAAAAGAGTTACTCCGGAAAGTTATCATTTCTCTTGATCCAGATGATTGCACAAAATCACCCCAAAATTGATCCTCCCTTCCTCCCCTTCCTTCTATGCCCCAGAAATGCCCCCAGAAATGCCCCCAGAAATGCTACCAGAAATACCCCTTCCTATGGCAGTGAATTAATTGGAAATGGATGCAACCTTTATCACAAGTGGCTTGATCTAGACATTTTATTAGAATGTTTTTTGTTCTCATAATGAGATTCTATAAGAATGATGAGTAAGAATGAATTACTCTAGTTACCATAATAAGATTTAACCTAGGGGGTAAATACTCGAGTAGTAATAAAAGAAGAAGAAGAATAAGAAGAAGTTCAATGAATCTTTGAATTCCCTCTTCCTACTATAGCTCTTCTCATCCGATTTTATTATATTATATTTTATTCTTTGCTGTGCCTCTCTCAGTGCCTCTCAATCATTTTTATTGACCACCCATCCATCCATCCATCCATCAAGGGCTTCCTATATTCCTGTCTCAATCCCGCCCCATCCCATTCCATACAATAAAGAATAAATAAACTTGATTATCTCCACCGCTACTACTCAACTTATCCATTATCACTCCACAATCCAAATCCTATTATCGAATTATCAAATATCGAAAGGTACAAAAGTATCCACGTTTTATCCAAGCTGTGTCAACTGTCTCAACTGTGTCAAGTACCCCTCCCTCTATCGCTCGAATCACATCAACATCAAGGCATCAAAAGCATCCCACTTAGGAACAACAACATCTTTCTCCATATCCTTCTAGAAAGACTATCATTACCAACACGAATAACTAGGAATACATCCTTGATCATATTTATGCCAAATCATCCATCCATTTCGAAACATCACGTTATTGATGTACCACTTGGATTCGATCAATGTTGATTACTTTTCTTCCAAGACTTTAAAAACTACCTCAACACGCGCCCAATATTCACTCATATACATATACATACCCAGATATAATTATCAGTTCACCATCTTCAATATACACTACATACTTCTCCTCTTTGACAATTCGATTATCGTTATACCCATATCAAATCTACCATCCATTCGAGATGCCGGAATACATGAGAAGATATACTACCGATCACAGTACGAGTAGTAGAGATGCACGTCAAAGTGATGACTCCTCTCGAGAATCCCAAAGCACAGCACCTACCTCTATCTACAGCAGTCCTCGACCATCAATCCATCAATATCACACCGACCGACCTATTCTTTACCAGAAGAATAGTATAGATTTATCTCCTGATGACATATCTCCTGCTGCAACACATTATCCTCGATCATCCCAAGAAACATATGCCTCAACTTCTGCTTCTCAGGAAGATCTCTTTGAAGAGCCCGAGAGTTATGATCCCGAGTATGAAGTACCGGAATATAAAGAAGTGGTGGAAAATCACCTGAGACCATCCACTGCTCAAGATTTCGCCCGGTTCTTTCCCTCAACCAAACGCTTATACATTCGTCATGACGATACTTCCTATGATGGAAACATGAATCTTCGCGTCGACACCGGAGTTGGACATGGAGAAGAAAAAGAAGTCATTCAACTCTTTCATCTACGAATGCATGATCTCAAGAACCGAGAATTCAGTCTCCGTCGCTACGAGCGCTCAAGTGGTCGAGAAGTATGCCACTCGAGGAGAAAATACGCCAAACCCGCCACGGAAAGAAGACCTTCCACATTAACCCGTTCCGTCAGTAACGCCTTTGCGAGTATTCGCAAACCAGCTCTCTCACGAACCAACTCTACTTCTTCCCATACCCCCAAGTCCATGGGAGGAATCATGAGACACGATAGCGGCTATGCATCCAACTCGGAATCCGACGACGACATCGAAGCATTCATGGCGTCGAAAAGAGCAGCCGCCGCATCCATGATCCCCACCAACACCACCAAACTCGAATTCTCCAACTACGCCCAAGTAGACGTCAAGCGACGCGGAGCCAAATCTTCCAAACGATATGAATTTGAATATTGGGGTCACTCATATTCATGGAAGAGGATTACGGAAAAAGACGGAGAAGGGAAAGCTATTTCCTATCATCTATTCAAAGGGGATTCCGGAGCGGCTGTTGCGCATATTGTGCCAGAATTAAGATCGCCGGCACAGATGCGAGAGGAGGAATTGGTGGGGGGTTGGGTTCCGCCGTGTCAAATGTGGATTAGTGATCGGAGTGTTTTGACAGCTGTTACGGATGTTGCTGAGTATGTATTTCTTTTCTTCTCTTGTTTATCTTCATCACAACCACTATACAATTCACTATACAATCCAATGATAGGATATATATCTAACCCCCCCTCCTCCCAGCATAATCATATCCACGGGCCTCATAGCCCTCGTCGACGACAGCATCAAACGACATTTCCACCCCAAACCCCACTCCAATTCCCATTCCCATTCCCATTCCCATTCCCATTCCCATTCCAATTCGCATTCCAATTCCAATCAACATACCCAACACGCGCCCCGCACTCCTCTTAAAATAAATACGGACAAGGAATTCGTGGGTCCGCGCGCAATAGTCGAACATATGTTTAAGAGTAATAAGAGCCGATATTCGGGCGGTGAGAGTAAATTTGAGAGTAAATCGGTGGAGGAGGAGAGGGAGAGGGAGAGAAAGAAGTGTTCGCCGTTGAGATATGCGGTGCCGGTGGGGGGGAATGGGAGTGAAAGTGGGAATGGGAGGAGTTGAGTTGAGTTGTGTTGAGTTGGGTATTGGGAGGAGTGAAGGGGAGAGAGGTGAAGGGAGGGGAGGAGAATTATGCCTGGAGATAGCGATGGCTATTTGTTGATACAGATTTGGATCACAGCACTATCTATGGTTTGCGGTTTTTTGGGATTTATGGTTTTATGGTTCTGGGTTTTGGGTTTTGGGTTTTGGGGTTTGGGGTCTGGGCTTTTATGGTTTCGGAGTGAGTTGGATCAGGTTATTGATGGATTGGACTGGAATAGGTTATGGATTGGATCAGGGTTAGGGTCAGGGTCCTCAGAGGAGTGGATAATTTTAATCTTCATGAATGGATAATCAATGAATTAATGAATGAATCAATTAATGAATAATGGGTTTGGGTTCGGGTTCGGATTCGGGTTTGAGAATGCAAAGGATGGGATGGGATGGGATAGGATAGTAAGGAAGGAAGGAAGGAAGGAGGGAGGGAAGGAGGGAGATAATAGGTAAACAAATCAATGAATGAATGAATGAATGAATAGAATATACAGTTCATAATCGATTTGATCTATCTACTTTGATAACTATTACAAGTAATACTATTACATTATTATTCATTCTCTCTCCTCTCCTCTTTTCTCCTCCTCTCTTCTCCTCTTTTCTCTCCTCTTCTCTTTTCTCCTCTCTTCCCCTCTCTCCTCTTCTCCTCTTTCCTAACAAAATATAGATATCTAAACAAAATCAATCTTGAATAAATCCAGCAGTGCCAATACCAGTGCCAATACCAGTGCCAATACCAGTGCCAGTACCAGTGCCAGTACCAGTGCCAGTCTGCCAGATCAGATCAGGGCGAGCATAGCATAGCATAGCATAGCATAGCATACTACTATGAGCATGAGATATGTATGTATTTTGAAAACTATTCGAGTAGTTTGTTGTCAATGTGATAGTGACTCGGATATTGCTGTGCTTGTGCTGTGCTGTGCTGGGTTTTACTGGGTCTTACTACAGTAGTAGATTCATTATTTCGTATTCATAATATTTTGTATTTATAAATATCAACTCTTTGTTTCTCTCTTCAATAGCTTCTCTCTCATAGCTCATAGCTCATAGCTCATAGCATCCATCCATCCATCCATCTATTCATCCCTCATCCCATCCATCCATCAACCCATTAATAAAAATGAAAACGCCATTGTATATCATAACACATCATATCACACCATGCCGCTATCATCAAACCAAAGCAAATCAAATCAAATAACCTCCCTCATTCTCGTTCTTCGTTCTCTTCTCCATCGGAAAAATAAACCAGTACACCTTAGCGAAACATCAACTATCCCTAACTAACCCTTACCGATTGCCGGCAACCGAACCGAACCCCCTATTCCCCTATCCATCCATACTGTAGCATCTAGATTTAGAGTCTCGGCTAAGCTAAGCTAGGCATACACTAGCTCACTCACTCACTCACCACGCTACCTCAGCGTTTCCCACTAACACTCTGCCCACTTAAACTCTCACCCACCCCCACCTTTCTCGAATTAGCACTCCGACCAAATGCCATCACATCAGGACTAGCTCTACCACTTCCTCCACTCATGAGATTTGCCTCTCCTCCTTTCCTCTTTTCATTCGGCGTCACGCTTCCACTTGCATTTCCCGAAGGAGGACTATTGGTCCTAGTGATAGCAGCACCCCCATCACCACCTCCCACAACTAAATCCCCGCCCCCTCTAACCTTTCCCACCACCATTCCCTTGGCCACACTCTTCACTATGGCTTTCCTACTTACTCCCGTCGCATCAATATAAACCAATCCCACATTTTTAAATCCGCCACCGATGTTTCTCGAAATATCACCCGCTTCGGGTCCATATTTATGTTCTACAACTGTAGTTGCGGCTGTGGATGTGGAAGCCAGGAGATTACGGCCCGCTTGGTCGATGCCGTCGGCTATGGTGGAGAATGCCATCATGGATTTATTAAGGATTCCGGGTTTATAGTTATCAACGGGTTTTCCATCGGGTCCGATCCCTTTGTGGGCTTTTTGCGAGGCGTTGTGTTTGGCGAGGGAGGCGCCGATATTTTGGGCGTATTTTGTTACTTGGCCTACAGTTTTGGCGGAAAGACCAGCGGCGCCTTCGGTGAAGGTATGCACTCTACGAATGTGAGCGTGAGTGGTGGGATTAAAGGTCATGGGTTTAGTGGTTGGAGCGGATTTGGAGGTGTAGCTGTCGGCTTGGTATTGAAGGGTTTTAGAGACGTAGCCGGAGGTGGTGACGATGAGACGGGAGGCCATGGCGGCGCTGGAGACAAGAGTGGAGGATTTATAGGCGGGATGGAGGGCCATTTCGAGGTAGGCAGGGGAGGCAGGGGAGACGCCTATGTTGAGAGAACCGTTTTGGGGGAGGGTGATTTCGACGGGATCTAGAGATTGTCAGGAACGTGAAGGGAAGCGGGATCAAGAAAGATGGGAAATTACGAATGGGAATACACACCTTTTGATCCTGGTTTCATTTTAGCATCTTCAACCACATGAAATCCTTCTCCCAATTCTCCAACCACACTGCCATTTTCTTCATCAATCAAAACAATTTGTCCACCAGCATGAGAACTAGCGCTTCCAGGAACATAAGCTTCTCCCGGTCCAAAATCCGATGGATTATATGGAGGCAGAGGCTCTTTTGTAGATTTAGGCTTGTCTTTTCGAGGTCGAAATGATTGTGGCGGCGGCGCTCGCTCGAGGAAAGCTGTACATTGTGCCAGTATTGTTTCAAAAGTATCGACATCATCTTGACTAATTTTCGAAGCTCCTACAATTGGAAATTCGATTTTGGTAAAGATGCCACTGTCGGATCCTAAGTCCCATCGTGGGATAAGGTAGCTACTGGGTGGTTGATGGTATATTTGTGCTGTAGCGGGGAGGGGTAGGTCTAGCTCAGGTGGAAGATGGAGATGAAGGTAGAAATCTTCTTCTGGAGCTTGGGATTGAGGATTTGCGGTTGAGAGACCAGAGAAGGGTGACGAGGTGGGCACCATTAATAGGGAGAGGGTTTGAGGACCATTTGGTGTGAGGGATTCTTCTTTGCCATTTTCGATATGATATGCATTGATACCATTGATGGCATAGAGTAATTTAGGATCCTATATGAGATTAGAATCTGCGAGTTGATAAACAGGAGAATTGAATCTTTGGGCTTACATTATGTCCCGACGCCATCTTGGATTCTAGTATGAGCAATACTGTACGATATCCAGATATCCAATAGCGTTTGTAAACAGTGAAGGATCAATTAACTTTCTACCTCAGTGAGTATCGTAACTTTGCGATATCACCTTGTCCAAATGGGGAGGTAATTTGATGAAGAGAAGCAGATGAAGATGAGAAAGAAAGAAGATGGAAGGATTTAATTATTCCTCAAGCAAAACGACTTAACTTTCTAAAGGAATGAAACTAATCATAGCTTCTAAGGGGGCGGTTATTTAGAGTCTCTTACATGCTTCAAACAACAGTTTATAGTTGGTGTCAAGCTGGGAGCCAAGAGAAAATCCGATAGAGCCAATGACGATGACGTATAAGGTCTGGGAAAATCAGGGCGTTTACGATTGCCCCTCCTTCTATTTTAGAATGAATGAATGGATGAAAGAGTAAAAGTGGCTGAGGTAAGGAAGTTATGAATATCATCATCTTTTCAATTCTTCTTTACAATACAAATAAATATAAATACGAGTACAAGTACACAAGTATCCTATTGTTGTATAGAAGTCCAAATACAAGATACAAGTTGATAATATCACACTTTGTAACTCCTTGGGATTGAGATTGAAACCGAGATCGATATATCTTGGGATCACTCTCCACAAAATCAATCTCATATCTTGATAACGAAGTGATGATCTTTGATGGCTGAAAAGGGGTGGCTGGATTCATTTTATATAAAACAGAAAAAGAAAACAGTAAAAGATGCTTGATTCAGTAATTCATATTTGAGTAGAAGATGATACTAGGTATATATATAGGTAATGATTATAGATCTTGATTATTTGTTGATTTTTGATAACTAAAAAGGGGTGGCTGGATTCATTTTATACAAAACAGAAAAAGAAAACAGTAAAAGATGCTTGATTCAGTAATTCATATTTTTTCTATCCCCTCAAACAACTTCATTATATTATCAAACAACAAGAACTCAAGATCTAGAATAATAAATAAATAAATAAGTAAGCAAGCAATAAATCAAACCAACTCGAAGTAAGATAATATCTCATATATCCCTTCTTCTATTCATTCTATTCATTCCCTTCTTCAATAAATTCCCAATCTCGAGAATCGGAACATAGGAGATTTCAGAAGAGAACAGGGACCACCAATCTCTTCAGCTTCATCTATCTTCATCTTTATCTTTATCTTCATTCTGCCCAAGGAAATCATTGGAGGAAGAAAGCACTCGATATTTATTTAATTATCTTGATGTGGTTACTGTTATGTTGTGTGGTATGGTGTAGTATAAAAAAATCGAGAAAAATCTTGAATCCCCGAATCTTGCAGATGGATAGTTACTCAATAGTCTTGGTATTTATTCTATATTTTTATCTTTATCTTCCGATACTCGAGTATTATATATTGCCCAGATATGCAGTTGGGATATTCATACCAAGTCAAGCCAAGCCAAGCCATGTATGCTATGCTATGCCAGTTGTACCTATACCGGTATACAACTGGCATCGCATACCTTGAGATTTAAGACTTGAGACTTGAGATTTGAGCATGGGGAACTCGGTGTATGGGATTTTATATAGAGGAATCCCAGAGGGAGGAGGGAATTCTGGGGCTTGTCCCTTTTTAATTATATACTATTATACTGGTGTTATATTCTCCATTCTCTTGGTTTGATAGCTGAAGGGGAGGAGGTGATATATATATACTAAGTAAGACTCCATCCATCCAACCTTACACTCGAACATAACATCATTACTCGAGTATATCCTCTTGATATAACAACTAAAGTACAAGTAAAGAGAATACAAGGTTCTAGATTCCATCGAGGCTTATACAACCTTAAATATATCACATCCTTGAACAACTACTGTAACTCCATTATCGAAAGATGCAGCCAGCCAGATATGCAAGAGGAGAGAGGAGAGAGAGGTAACTTAGCTAATTAGTTAACTATTCTCGACTCGAGTACATATAATATGCACAATCGTACCAATATCAACGATTCGTCCAATTGAGTTGATGTGATATCCTTAACCTTACCTAGGTATTCATATGTATAGAGTATACCTAGTAAGCAAGAAATTGGAACGGTTATGTATAGTAGAAGAGTGCAATTATTATTAGGTTTTTATGTTTTTATATCAACACCAACGCCTTTTTGGGATTGAGGGGGAGGAGTACCTATTAGGTAAGCAGCCAGTACCTAGGGGTTGGAAGATCAGCATCCATCTACGGAGTACCTTATATATCATCTATCTAGGTACCTAAGCATCGTGAAATATGTATGATATTCTTTCCTCAAAGTATTTGTACTGGAGTTTACAGTATATGTAACTCGAGTACAGTATATGATAGCTCGGATAGTTCAAGATAATATCGATATTGTATAGGACAGGACATGATCAACAAAATTGATATGGGGAAGTTACACATGTATGGTTTTTAATACCTATGCCAGTGGTGACAATATAATATCGACTTTCATATACAGTAATGCAGGGATTTCCCTCTGTCCCGAATACGTTGAACAATGTAGGTAAGGTACTCGAGTAGAATACTTTATCGTGTACAAAAGGTACTGTTGATGGGTAGGTAGGTAAGGTTACCTAGGTAGGTGTTTTCGAATCCAAACGATGATCTGGATTTCCCCGTATCACACACATCACATCTAAAGTAATAGTAGTGTGATTATATCATTATTAATAAATATTAGACCAGGGGTATAAGAAAATCAAGGATTTATAATCTAGCCTAAACTCATATTCCTAGATATGTATTTATATACCGGTACTTAAGTACTATTTATATAGATATATTTACTTAAATAAAAGAGAGAGAATAAGTAAATAAGTAGTAGATAAACTATATCTAATCTAGTACTCTCGAACTCATTCGAAAATCCGAGAATCTCTCGCGCCGAAGCGAGTAAACTTTTCGAATATAATATGAATTTGATATATGAATATGAATATAAAGTAGATAATAAGTATCTAATAGATCAGAAAATATATATAATATACTAGTACTATAATACTATATTATTAAATATTATCTAGAGATATTAGATAGATAGAAAGTAAGTATATATATAGCTATTTGGAGTTAGAAAGTAATAAATACTATAGATTAATATACTAGATATAATAGAAAGAAAAGAGAAAGAGGAATAAATAAATATTTATTTAATAATATAAGAAATCGAGAATCGTCTCTGAATATATTTATTTTAATAGAAAGATAAATGAATAGATAAGAAAAAGTTATTATATTATATAGAAAAAGAAAGAAAGGATTTTATATTAGCGTTTTTTTGCTTCTTATAATTATAATTATAATAATAAATAAGATCGATGAATATATTATTAAATAGAGAATAGATTGAGTAAATAATAGGAGAATAAAGTATTAGTATTATAAGATGAAAATAAACAATATCTAGATTATATATATAATAGATAATATATCTCTTTATATAATAAAAGAGAGAATTTCTATTCTTTCTATAATATATAGTTTAGACTAGACTATTACTATAACTATAAGCTGTATATATCTAGATAATATAACATACTTGGAATATATAGTATCTAGATAGATATCTAAATCAAAATCATTTAGATATAAATAGATATCTATTAAGTATCTAATTCCATTACAGCTTAATCCTATTAGAAAGATCTAGAATCAAATCATTCTACTTATCAATAAACTCACTATATATAACTATATTATCATTTTTATTAATAATCGGATAACAAAACAAACTCCTTCATCCGGCCGAGATCGCGTTCAGTTTGGCTCGGATATCTTTTTAGTACTAATCACTCTACTTACTCAATTCATTATTCTCAGTCCCTCTATCACTTATCCAAAATGGCTATTTTATAATAAGTATACTATTGAAACCATAGCCATAATATCTAAAGGAAAAGAAAAGAGAAGAATTAAAAGAATGAAAAAGAACAAGGAATTTCGGACCATTATAACAGATGATACACTTCGGCTCCATCTCTTCCCGTTCGTAACTCGACTCACACTTCATGCTGATTGATGCTTATGCTTATTGTCAATCCAATCCAGCAATCAATCTATCTATCCATCTATCCATATTCATCAATCATCTCTGTACTGTATTACCTAAACAACAATTAATTGTACCTATTCGGTGTGGTATACTCGTAGGTTGGTGTACTTGTCAATTTATTGCGAATTCCTTTTACCACTACGAGTACACCACCTAAAACTCTTTTCGCACCACCAACTACCAATCCAATCCAATCCAATCCAATCCATCACCCATCACCCATACCTATACCCATTTCACCCATCTACCACCCCATCTCCCATTTTCCCTTTCCGTTTTCCGTTTTCCGTTCCAAGTTACCGCAAAGGCCCCAAGATCCACACTAAAATCCAAACTTCAGCGAAAAAGTTACCCTTCACTCCGATCACCCACACTGCCCACACTGCCCACACTAACTCACCCACCGACCGAAAATCAAAGCCATTTCGTTTCGCTCCATCATTCACATCCCGTCCTCATCCGTGAAATCGAGAACATTGAGAAAGAAGAATCGACATCGATATCAACATCGACAACGACTCCTCAGCATATTATAATACATATATATATACTAATCGAGTACATATATACATATTATATACATACAAACCTCAACAACAGCAACAACACCATCATCATCATCATCATCATCATCATCAACAACAACAATAACCACCTGGAAAACCCATTCAACCCAATCCAACCCAACCAAATCAAACCAACCATCTGCCATTACCATTATACCCTCGAAACAAATAAACACACCACCTACACAATATCCTATTATTTGTTGCCGAGAGACAATAAACGGTCAATTATCAATTAGATTATAATTCCTTCAATTTATTATTCAACTCTTTCACTTCTCTTCTTCCAACAAATCAATCAATATCCCCTACACCTGCCACCCATTCTTCCTCCTAATTGTCCAATCATTTATATCAAAGTTACTTTGTATTCCTTGAACCGGAAACTCGCATTGCATCTGCGGCATTCGCTTCGGTGTCACACCAAAGGTACTTACAGCTTTGAAAGGGCTACCAAACACCTCCCACCAAATCTGCAGCAACCCAGCCCATCCATCCATCCATCTCTCTCCTGAATGAGAAAAGTAACTTGATTTCTTAAATCTTTCTAGACCATTTTGAGAAATAATAAAATCCTTCCACCAACAAGTTCAGGGTCTCAAAGGACCCCCCCAACCGCAAACATTCCCTCACCTCACTCTCTCGCCGCGATACTATCGCCTTCTGCACCACCTGATTCGGATTCGGCAGTTGGTGTTTCGCGATCATCAAGTCCTAAACGTTCACACGCCGAAGCTTTCTCTGCGACAGATCCGACTTATCTTCATCCCGCTTCACCTAAACAACATCGTCCCAATATAACTTCGGCCGGAGTTACCAGCCCCGGCGCATTGGGCGCCAGTGGCCTAGGAGCTGATGATGGTAATGGTGGTGGCCGAGGTGGGATAGAGGAGAAGAAGCCAACAAAAAGTAAGTTGATCGTGAACCTATCACCTCACCCCCCACTCCCCAAATCATATCGTCATGCTGATGTCTTTTTGTGTACAGTGGTACGATCTAGTATAGCTTGCGCCCGATGTAGACGGAGCAAGGTAAAATGTAAGTCACCTATATATTTTTTAAACTCCAACGCAAGGCTTTGACTAATCTCAAGCTCAGGTGTCAACAATGGTGTCAATTCTATATGTAGGGCTTGTGAGTCCTCAAACAGAGAGTGCACATATCCTAGTGCCGCAGCTTCCACGCCCAAGAGACCCGACCCACCCACGGGGATAAAAATTGAAGGAGAGAGCGATAATAAGAAGCGAGTTCGAAAGCATGAAGATTCTGGTCGCAGAAATAGTCAACGAGCAGGCGAGGAACCTTTGGAGGCCTCGATCTTGACAAGAAAGGTGTGGGATGAGATCTATGATATATTCAAGTTAAATTTCTCGACGGAGATGCCTTTCCTACACCCGCCATCGTTTCGGAATCGCATGCGCCAAGCATCTCACCCACGAGACCCTTCTACACTCGTCGATATCCCCGCCTTTCAAGATGCTAAGATTTTGTTGTTAGGTGTGCTCACGCTCACGGCCCGGTTCCATCCCGAATTAATTGCATACCATGCACCAGCAAATTCGCCTCGACCAAATGATCCTTTGGCTGCAAGTGATTATTATGCAACTGCCTTGACCTCAACCATCTTCGGTGCCTCGGGCAAAGATTTGAGTACCCCTACGACCGAACGAATCCAGGCACTTTTGATGCTTGGTCTCTACGAGTGGGGTCAAACCAGAGGCCTGAGCGCTTGGGTGTATGTTGGTATTGCGACTAGACTAGCACAAGCAATGGGCCTACCTTACGAGGATGATCCATCAGCCAGAACTTTCAAAACCGAAACTGCAGTCACTGCTAGTTCAACTTCATACCGACCCGAGGTGAACAAGCATCCAGCACGTGATACTGCGATTGAGAAAGAAGTCAGAAGACGTACTTTTTGGAGTTGTTTCATCATGGATCGTATGCTTTCAGCTGGAAAGGCTAGACCTACTATGATTGAGTCTAGTATCCTACGGGTACAATTACCATGTTCTGATGATCAATTCTTATTCACCCAATCCGTCCAAACCGGTTATTTGAATCGAGAATTTGAGCAGGTTACTTTGACGAATGCCAAGATTCAAGAAGGTGGTGTACTAGGCAGATACTGTCGTTTGGTGGAGATTTGGGGTAAACTCTCAAAGTGGAGTCTTCATGGAGGTCGCCGAACCGAGTCCCTACCCCCATGGGATGAATCAACACAATTCTACAAACTTTCGCACGAGCTGGAAGATTTCTATAGCGGCCTACCGGAAAATCTTACCTTTTCCGAGGACAACCTGAATGCACATTTGGAAAAACGAAATGCGACCACATATGCGAGTTTGCATACGCTCGTCTCTTTATGTCGAATCATGCTTCATAGGGAATACATACCTTTCATCCCTCTTCGGGCTGATAAACCCTCAGGTCCATTGGATGAACCAACATTCCCAAAAGAGAAATTTGACATACCACCAGGGTTTTGGGAACAAAGTGCCGATTCGCTCTTTTCATCGGCAAGAGACATTGTTGATATCATGAGGACTTGTCAGGACAACAACGCTCTACCAGAATCCCCATTGTTTGTATTCGCTCTGTTCCATTCGGCATTTACGGGTGTTTACTCTGTTCATTTCTCACAAATGGACCCCAATGAATACATGGGTGAAAGTCGATCTGCTTTACCCATCAAAATCTTGAAAGAGATGGTTCCACGATTAACCATGGCTAGATTTTATCACAAAAAAATCGAACAGATGGTGAGCTATTACAGAAAGGTAAAGAACGAATTCAAGAGATACAAGAAAGATGTTTCATGGAAAGGTGGTGGATTGGAGGAGTGGAAGGGTTTTGAGAAAGACTTGAAGGAATTTGGTAGTCTTGAAGATGCTGCTGGAGGTGACTCTCATTCCGACGACTATCCAAACCGCTCTCGATGTAGCACCAGCGATCTTGGCTCCACTACTGCTGCTAATTCTAATAGCGAGCCAATGCAAGGTGTTGAAGGGACAGGATCGAGACCAGCTGCCTGGGCTCCAATTAATGCTGCGAATCCTAACATAAATTTGGAGATGCAACAAGGTCCTGGTGGGCCCTATATCCCAAGTGGAGCTTATCAACCGAGTCCTAATCAAAACTCCAATCCACCTAGCTTGATTAGTCCAGGGAATGGCGATTCGGCATCGAGTATTAATTCTCCTTATAGCAATCAAGGACAAGCCCAAAGTTATCCTCAGCTTCAGCAAATGGGTCCTTATCATCCTCCAATGACCCATCAACCTCATAATATGGCACCACCAGGTACTCAAGCGGGATGGAATAGAGACCCAACTGCTGCCACCACGTTACCTTATGCTACATGGATTGACGATTTGGAAAGTATTTCAATGAATACTTACAACATGGAAAACTTTACTCAATCCTTTGGTGATGCAAGTCAATCATGGAATGCTGCACAATTTGGAGCACCACCTCAGACTAATTGGGTAGCAGCCGTCGAACGAAATACTGGTGCGAATTGGAACTAAGGACTTTTTATCGGTATATCTTATATCTGTTAGTTCCAAATGAGATTAATGGTGAATGTATCAGGTGGAGACGATCAATGAATGAGATTATTCTCCTCATCAATGTTTCTTATCTTGAAGGAATGGAATGGGGGAGTGGGGAGTTGGCTGCTCGGAATGATTTGAATCTTCTCCATGATGGTCTTGGGGGGTTTGATAGGATTATGTTGAGCGTTTAACAAAAACACACCTTAGCAAGTTTTTTTTTTTTTTTTGGTTTTTTGACCCTTATTTTTTGGGGGATTGTTTTTTCTGATTTCTTTCTTTTTATATAACGACAATGAGAATGAGAATGACAATGACAATAATGGATTTGTTCGGAGCTAATTAGCTATTGTCTCATCCCTTCTTTTGAATTTTGTTGTTGTTGTTGTTGAGGTGAAGGTGGAGATGGAGATGGAGATGAAGGTGGAAGAGGAAGAGGAGGAAGGTGAAGAGGAAAAGGAAGCCGAGAAAGGCTAGGAAAATTTGGCACGGATGAAATGTGACTATGAATGAGTATGATTATAAGTATGGGTGCCCATGGATGGGTATTTTGTTGTTTTTGTTGTTGTTGATGTTTCTTTTATATACATATGTGTGTGTAGGTAGTTTGTGGGTAGTTTGTGGGTGTGATGTGGTATGATAGGATAGGATAGGATATGATAGGAGAATGGGGAAAGTAAGGGAATGGGGGTAATGGGAGAATGGGATGAGTAGGGTTGTGATGGATAGGATGGATGATGGTGAGTGAGAGAGGAAGGGAAGGAAAGGATGGGGTGAATTGGTGAATGGATGGAAAGGAAGGGATGGGGTGGATGGAAGAGGGAGTTGAAGGGGATGGAGGGAGGGGGTAATCATATATCAGATCTAATGACATATTTCAAACTATTGTTTCTTCTTACTCGAGTACTTACTTGGAAAATGCTTTGAGTTGTGATGAGTGTTTTATTTTTGAGTTGTGATGATTGGTTTTGATGTGATGGGATGGGATGTGTGTGATGTGTGTGATATGTTGGGTATTGGTTAGTTGGTTGTGATGAATTGGTCGGGGGTTGGGGATTGAATGGGAAGGAGAGAGGAAAGGGGAGAATGGGGAGTAGGGTGAGGGTGACGGTGACGGTGAAGGTAGGAGGCTGAAGGTGTGGGTGAGAGATGAAAACGGGAATGTGGGTGAGGATTGGTTAGTTGGTTGTGATGAATTGGTCAGAGTTGGGGATTATGGATTAGGGATTGAGGGTTGAATTGGGTGAATGAGGAATGGGGATTGGATGGGGATTGGATGTGGTGAAGGCGGGGGTGAAGGTAGGAGGAGGGTGAATGGGGAATGTATGGGGTGAAGGCGGGGGCGAGGGATTTTGAAATAGAATAGAGCGGAAATGAATTGAGATGGAATGGATTGGGGACTGAAGGGTTGGATGGATGATAAATATTGGATATTGGATTATCGATAATTGATAATTGCCGTGAGTGAGTGAGTGAGTGAGTGAGTGAGTGAGCGAGGAGATTGAGGAGATTGAGGAGATTGAGGAGATTGAGGAGATTGAGGAGAGGAGAGGAGGGGTGCGGACTAGCGAGGTATGTATGGTGATGTGAGGGGGGGGGAGAGGAAGAAGGGGAGAGGGGAGAGGGCCTATACCCTGTCTACGACTACGAGTATTATCAGTAGATACATATCGGTATTCTGATCGTTATACCCGAGAAACTTACGGTAACGGTTAGTAGTATAGTAATGGTTACACAAAATCCAACTTAACTGGACTATCCAAAGAAAGAGGGCAGATACAACCTTAGTTACAGGATCCAATGATCTGATCTTTTTATATATATATACACTTAATACCCTGTTTTATGTACTATACTATATACATCACATTTTGTTGCTATTCAAAGTTGTAAACTAGGCCTGGCATCATTAGCCATCTCTCTGTCTGTCTGCTTAATACTGTGATATTGCCCTCCTTTTGCTGTTTTATTTTACTTTTCTTTTTTGATCTCTCTTAAGTTCATGCAATTTTTGACTATTACCTACCGGTACTTCTTATCTAAAGATCGTTTCTGAAATTCTTTAGTATACTTTCTTCAATCTACAGAAACGAAACAGATTCTCCTTGTATACGAGTATGGGAATACAAATCATCTCTTCCATCTTATTCTCAAACAAAACTACATCAACCTCTTCAGTCCCGGTCTCGGAAACTCTCCCCAGTAAAGAATCTAGAGCTCCTCATAAACCTCCGAATGGAGAACTTCTTCTGGCTTGATCTTGATTGAGTGTTCTGGAGGGATTCTTTATATTTGTCAATACATGGTAGGCATTTGGTCTTCTCTATCTTTATAACACTTGCTTGAATTGACCATGTAGGGAAGTAACTGCGATCTACGGGGACTTCCAAGCCTTTTACGAATGCAATGTATTCTCAAATGAGTCATTATCTGCTATTCTCTGGATCGGAAGCGTACAGTCTTGCCTAGTTGGCTGTCGTGGGCATTGTTACTCGAGTACTGGCCCACTTTTTGATCGAGGCTATCTGATTCTCATGTAACTCATGATTACTGGATGTTTCCTCCTTACCTTACCTTTAGGATGACAATGACGATGACGACCAGCCTGGTCACGATATACTACCAAGTATATCTCGCACAGGGGACTTCGTCGGTCTGGGCGCTGGGCGCTGGGATATGTTATATACCCATAGCTCTTTCTCATATCGACACAATCACAAGCAAACTCGCTTTCGCCATCAGATAGATGTGCATCTGCCAGCTGCAGCATAGATAGGTATAACCTATAACCTTAGGCTCGCTCCTTCAACAAGCACGTCCTACTCTCAACATGAAATGGACTTAACTCGAGGAAGGCAGCAAGTATAATTTTCCCCATCATGTTCCAGAAACAGCAGCCTAGTCCGATGGGATGCGCAGTTCGTGCCATTACATTTGTTAATCTAGGTATCTCCGCATTAGCAATTTTATTATGATGTTATAGTATAGCATTGCGTTACTGCAGTCCGCGGAGCTTCTAGTTTCTTCGGTAAATAGATGCTCGCTCTTTAGAGATTCTGTTTGATATTGATATTGATATCAAGGCGTTCAGAGAATTAGTAATTACCATTCGCTTTTTCCGCACTTGCTTGGTTCTGCATATTATATCGATGGCTGGCTATTGGCTTACCTTACTACAGTACATCATCCCCCTTTTACATGGCATTGTTAAATCGTTTGCCGAGTCCCTCTATGCTATTCCATTCCATCCCATTCCATTCAAGTCAAAGCTACGCTTAACATTTACGATCCGTCACCAATACAATGCAATGCGGGCTCCTTTTTCGGGCATGTATACACTGGTACCATTCCTATCAGCCGAGAAACTGAGAACTAAACTCTCAGAATCCTCACATTTTGCTCGTTTCCAGGAATGGTTATTCTTTTCTCTTTTCCTGCATCGCTATTCGCATCATACATACATAGCTAACTTCACTGTTTTGATTTCCGTATCATATAGGATTTTCTCTTGGGAATAATTGCATTAAAGACAGGTTTAGCATCAGTGGTCTGTCTCCCATCAACACACTCTCCCATCTTTGAAAGTAATTGGTGACCGGTTAGGTTTGGCCTGGAGCACGGGAACCGTGGAGCCGTGGGTGTTTTGGTGGGATCGCTATTGCTATTGCGGGAGCTTTGGTCGATCCCAATAAAGGCTTGGATTTACTTCACGTCCAAGTAGTTGTTGGTTTTACAGTACATGTACAGTACGAAGGCTCTGGCGGCGTTGTGTTGTGTCTACTGGTAGGTAGGTGGTACCTTATATACTCTTCTCAGATATGATATCGGCCAGTTTCGTGGGTTGATCATGAACACTGTAATTATGCATATAAAATTCATGACAAAGCTTTGGAGTTGTACTGAGTATCTTGATGTGATAGTCAGATCAGATTCAAGGGCTGTGAGGTGAGGCAGGTAGGTTTATTGTAGATGGTTTTGTTGTTTTTATATACTCTATATTTAAGCTAAGCATGAGCACAATTTTCAAAAGATGGCTTCCAGAGTAATTTGCAGCCAACGATTATCAATTGAATTGTTAGATAAATGATTGCACTTCCTTCATATGCTTTGTGACTGCCAGATGTATACTATACTCGAGTTCTGTAGTATGTATCGTGAAGTACCTATTGAACTTTGAACAAGACATATAAAGGTTGATGACAATCTTAATCTTGTTAAGATGTTGGAACTTGGTAGCGCTGAGTGAGTAACCTGAGTTGATCTTAGCGGTTCTTGACTTTGACTTTGACTTAGACTTAGGCTCGGGCTCGGGCTCGGGCTCGGGCTGTCCCTGATGATGAGTGCTGCACTGGACTATTGAGTTGCCGGTAGATCACTATAGCATTTGTATTGATGGCTTTCGTAAGTACTATGGAAGTTTGTAACTTGTCAGTTATGTTTGTTGTACGAGTGGTCTTCAAATAGGTAATTGATATTCTTGAGTTTGTAAATCTAGTATATATACTGTAATATAATCTTTATATCACAAAGAAGATAGAAGATAGAAGATACAGTATACATAAACATATATATCGAATATAACAATTCTATTTCAGGAGATGATCATTTGAGAAGAATCTCGGACCCTCTGAACTTCCTGTTTATTGATAATAAATATTTGTTGCTCGGATTATTGCTCAGATATCATATTTCCGAATTGGTAGACATGATCCCTGTACCACGGACTCTTTCTACAATTGGTTGGGAAAAGTATAAAAAGGAATACAAGAGTATTAATAGGAAGACTATTATATAATTCATTGTTTGCATATATATCAATTTTTGCTGTGCATTAACAAACCACAAGGCTCCGAACCCACGAGGGCCACGATATCCAGGAAAAGGGCGTTAGATCTAGCGGTTAGATACAGGAACGCGAGTGATGGGGAACATGACCCAACTGCAGCTGGAGTGGGAAGTCTGGGAGAGGGAAGAGTGGATTCTGGGTAGGTGTGTGATCCATATTGTCATACCGGTGTGTTTGTGTTGTGTGGGGAGAGCTTTCTTATTAGAAAGGGTTATGGGAAAATGGTTCTAAGACCAATTGATCGACAAAACAATCTTTTTCAGAGTCCTGAGCGTTTTTCATAAGGTGATGGTTAGTTTATTGTTCTTATGTTGGTATAGGGTGTGGAATGATATGCAAAACTAAGATATGATCAGATCTTTATTCAGGGACTTATAGAGAGGGGTTTGAAATTGTGTTCATTGATCTTGGTAGTATTTACTAGAATGAAGGGGAAGGAAGGTAGAGAGGTTCGGTTAATTGATGAACCTAGTCATTCATTACTCATACAAGCAAGGTGGCTTCAATGGATCAATAGATTTTATTTCCGGTACAAAATATGCATTGCATAGGTATATACATATATGAAGCAGTAGTTCATCACATCATTTTCATTTTGATAGAAAGGTGGCTCAGCTGCGCACATCACATTCTTTTCGGAGGGAAGGGAAAGGTGGTGGTTATGTACCGGTATTTGAATGTACATTCTCTTGAATCTCTTCCCAAGAAATGTCAAACAATTCGTTTCCGTCCCATCAATCCCTTCCCTTCTCTTAATTACCATGTCATGAACCATCATGCGTAAGAAAATATTAGTGGGCCATTGTCCAGCCTTGTACTTGATTCAAAAATGTGATTGATAGACATTTAAAAATTGCCGAGAATATTTACCCCTTCTCTCCCAGCATTTATATTATTGCTCTTATTTTATGAATTGTTTATCCCGACCCCTTGTTTTCACAGTAGACCTATCTGGGTAGCTAGTATCGATTCGGATATTAAAAATTGTGATTAAAGGCGGATTTCAAAACATACTAGATACGAATGGTTATATCCTATTGGATGATCTGAGCCTAAAAAGTGACAAGATGCTAGGCGAGAAGTAGCACAGTAACACGGGGTAAGGAAGAAGTGTGAAAAAGGTAATGATAATCCTTGTGGCTTGGGTAGACAAATAAATGGATCAGAAAAAAGGGAGAGAGAAGGAAAAATGAACAAGAGAAAAGTAATGTTTGGAATAGTTTCATTTGCTTCTAAATTGTCTTTCCTTTTTGCTTTGCTGGCTATTGTATTGTAAGGGAAAACAGTTCAATTGTTGTAAGATCGTAACTACAACTACACCCACAGTAGATTTTCATCCTATTCCACTTCATCACATCCTTTTGGTACACTGTATACATCCATCATCCTATCCGTAAGTTGCTATTGTGTACTCAAACCATATTGTGCTTGTGCTTCATCAATCTACGAGTACTTGCATTCACAATGTACACTAACTAACCTTCTCCCTCTCCCATTGCTTCTCACAGTCCCTTTCCCTTTAGCTTACTATTTTTTTTGGTTCCTGGTCTATACTACGGACGTTCCCCCTACCTAACCTCTATAATTCTAGTAAACTTATTACTCCTGGCCCACACGCCTACGTTCCACAACTTGAAAGTATCCACTAAAACCTCTCATCCGCGCCCTGAAAGCTTTACAAGGCCCCAAGGCAAAGGTTTCTTCAAAATCGAGGCCGCTTCGATTCATCCATTCATACATTCATCCCATCCATTCACTCATTCATTCATTCCATCAAACCTCCTCCTCCTTCTCCACCCATCACATCACCTCACCTCACCTCCCCGACCTAACCTCTGTCTCTCTTTCTCTACCTCCCACCCCGACAACCTCATCAGGAAACTTTAACAATCTAAAACGAAATTGTAGCTTACTCGCACAATATATCCCCCGGACGAAAGATTGTCAACATCTTATTAATAGTGAGAGCCTTCGGAGGCTTATGAATAATGGTCGCTCGTAGATGATTTGGTTCGATTCGAAGTTGTGAAAGGAGGATATACCGGTACTCAACCAAAAAGCAATCGACGATATTTCGTCACGACACTCCTTTAGGACTCGCGATTTACTCATTTACGATTTGATACAATTAATTTTAAAATGTGAGTCTATATTCGTTCATCAAATAATGAATTTGTTTGTTTGTTTGTTTGTTTGGAAAGGAAGTTGTTGGGTGTTGGTTTAGATTAGACCAAGGCCCTTTTTCCCTTTTGCGATTGAGATATCATAGATTTATTTTGATCATTCATGCAATGGAATACAATTCCCGACGAAGTTGAGATACTGATACTAATGGCAATCATCAATAGACACAGATACACTCTTTGACATTTATTGTCAATTACACTCGTTATTATCTATTCACCCTGACAGTTAGTCTTCAATCTCATCCAAACTTAGGTGGTGACCGCCACGGCCTCCATTCACCAACGCCATCGCCATAGCCATTATCGTTTTTGACTTTGAGCTTCAACTAATTTATATTCAGATCGAACTACACTTATACTTTCGCCCAATACTTTGAAATTCTAATATCTCAATAATAAACTCGAAATAAATTGAGATACATCTTGCAATTATGCGTACACCTTCGTTATTCTTGGCCTCCTTGGCCGTACTTTCCTCATTTACTTCCGCAGAAGGGGACCGACCAAAATATTACTTTCCACGAGAAATCAAAAGACAAATTTATTCAAATAACACGATAACGAGCTCTACGGCAGCTGAGACATCACATACAAAGGATGAATCTTCAATTACGTCCCGTCTCTCATCGACAAGTCGTTCACAATCTGATAATGGGGTTCAAGATACGACTACAAATAAGAGGGCATCTTCAAGTAATTCGTTCTTCGACTCGCTCTCATCCATGTTAAATTTAGGATCAACACCAACATCGATACCTTCATTGAGTTCAACTACGAGTTTCCCTTCTAGCAGTACATCCTTGACTACATCCGTCGTAAGTGAGGTATCTTCAAATGATGTCACGACTGTGGTGATTATGAGTACTGTGACTTTAGGAACTGGATCCAGTCCTATTCCCGTAATTTTACCACCAACGAGTTCGATATCGATTTCCTCTATTCAATCAACTTCCTCCCTAAGTTCTTCACCCTCGAGCTATTCATCCCCACCTGTCGCATCAAGCACATCAGTTTTAAGTACCGCATCAAGTTCTAATGCTGGAATATCTGGTGTCTCCACCGGAACAAGCCAAACCATCGTAGCAGTCCCTACAACTGCTAGTTCTCAAAGTTCGACTGTGGATGAAATAGCGGGAGCATCAACTGGAATCTCCAGTGCTTCGATCGCCTCCAAACCAGCATCCTCAAGTTCTTACGTACTCGTTGGAGTCTCATCAGCCACCACAAAGTCAGAGGCTGTACCTAGCAGTTCTAGCAGTGCCGGAATTGATCTCTCTCTTGGATTAGGCTTGCTAGGAGCTTCTCCCGGTGTATCCACAGCATCGAGCGCCACGAGTGCCCAAAGTGCTTTAACTTCCGAAAGTTCTGGTGTTTCTGGACCATCAACAGGTACTCCCCATAAATCTATCGAACTCAGCGCTATCGAACCTTCAACCATAATTTCGAGTTCAAGCCAAATTGCTGGAATTTCTGGTGCATCTACTGGATCCGGATCATCGGCAACTATCCCGATCTCAGTCCCAACGTCGGTTGAGACTCCAATTCAGAGTTCAAGTGTTTTAGGCGTTTCTGGAGAACCCACTGGTACTGCCCCAACCCTTATTTCGAGTGCTTCTCAATCCTCGGAATCTTCAGCAGCCTACTTATCTCCATCTGGATCATCCCAATCTTCCAGTGATATTGTCGGAACTGATTCAACTGCAAGCACAATTGTATCTCCATCATCAATCGCATCGGTAGCTAGTCCTTCAAGCCCAAACCTTTTGGAACCAATCGTCGCTTCTACAGGTTTGATCCCAGCAATCGTTATTCTTCCTACCACAAATTCAGGATCTAGTTCTCAAAGTGTATCAATAACTTCAGCTGCTGCTTCATCATCTGGAATTACGTTTGGTCCAGGTGGAATCTTATCTGGCTCAAGCTCTGTGGTTGGAAGTTCTTCCGATAAAAGTGACTCTCCAGTTTCCGTCCCAACTGCCTCATCATCTGGTTTATCACTCTCGAGCTCAGCAGCCACTACTGCGTCGGCCTCTGATTCTTCTAGTGCCTCTGGTATTTTGGGGTCTATTGGAGGTGCAGTAGGTAGTTTGGTTAGCGGTGTGACTTCAAATGTTGGAACAGCAGTTTCTCAAGTCACAAGTGCTATTTTGCCATCAGATTCTTCAGTCTCAAGTTCAATTGTTGGAATTACTGGACCTTCCACTGGTATTTCATCTGATAGTACTTTGGCTGGAATTACTGGTCCCTCAACCGGCGTCCCAGATATCGTAGCCTCAAATACTGCATCTACAGTTATCTCAGTACCTACAAGTCTGGCTGGAATTATTGGTGCCTCTACTGGTATCTCAGCACCCTCAATTACGGTTTCCGGAATCAGTGGGATCTCTACAGGAACCGCTCCAATCTACAGCTCGGCAGTCGCCTCATCTTCTTCCGGAGACTTGCTTTCATCTTTGCTCGGTGGTGTTTCATCTGAACTATCTTCTGCCACATCTGAAATTCTCCCAACTTCTGCAATCTCCCTCACAGACTCTAGTGCCTCGGCTTCGGCATCATCGGCAGGTATTATTGGAGCTACTACAGGTCTATCCTCTGCCACAGATGTGAGTGCTTCAGCCACATCTGCAGGTGTTTCCGGACCTGCCACTGGTGTCTCTAGTGGATCTGCATCAACTACAGTTCCAGGTGGTTTACTCTCACCTCTTGTATCTGGAGTCACATCTGATTTAGCATCTGTAACTTCAAATGTTGGGTCAAATGTTGGGTCTATTACATCTGCTTTGAATGCCACTATTGGTTCTGTAACCTCAGATTTATTACCAACCTCGACAGCTATAAGTTTGAGTGATTCATCTGCTGGAATTACGGGTCCAGTAACAGGCATTAGCTCTACCCCAACATTGACTGGTCTTATCCCTGGTGTTACTTCCCTTCTTGGATCCGCTACTTCAGACCTTGGTTCTATAACCTCAGATTTATTACCAACCTCGACAGCTATAGGTTTGAGTGATTCATCTGCTGGAATTACGGGTCCAGTAACAGGCATTAGCTCTACCCCAACATTGACTGGTCTTATCCCTGGTGTTACTTCCCTTCTTGGATCCGCTACTTCAGACCTTAGTTCTATAACCTCAGATTTGTTACCAAACTCGACAGCTACAGGTTTGAGTGATTCACCTGCTGGAATTACGGGTCCAGTGACAGGAATTAGCTCTACCCCAACATCGACTGGTCTTATTCCTGGTGTTACTTCCCTTCTTGGATCCGCTACTTCAGACCTTGGTTCTATAACCTCAGATTTGTTACCAAATTCTACAGGTTTGAGTGATTCATCTGCTGGTATTACGGGTCCAGTGACAGGAATCAGCTCTATCCCAACATCGACTGGTCTTATTCCTGGTGTTACTTCCCTTCTTGGATCCGTTACTTCAGACCTTGGTTCAGTGACCTCTGTTTTATCATCAGATCTTTCATCTGCCACATCTCTTGTATCCTCGGATCTTGGATCACTCACATCAAACAGTGCCGCTGCCTCTACAACTTTGGGTGGAACTGGTATATCTGCATCAGCCACAATAACTTCAGGAATTGCATCACCAACAGGTCTCATACCATCTATAATTTCTGGTGTCACTTCTATTATTGGTCCTTCCACAAATCTTTCGTCCACAGCTGCTGGTTCCACTACTCCGTTAGTCAGTATGATTTCGAGTATTCTTGGATCTAGCACTAGCAGTGACTTCTCCGCCACGATTACGAGTGGTATTTCCAGTGCTACAGGTGCTCCAAATGCTACAATTATCACTTCAGGAACAGATTTTACATCAAGTACTTCGATTAGTCTTGGATCTTCGTCAATTTCGGGGACCATCCTTCCAACCACAGCGAGTGGAAATGGGACCTTAGCTTCAGTATCTGCAACTAGTCTCTCCACCAGTATCGAAACTGGATCTTCTACATTCAAGTCAAGTTCAGGAACAGGTGTGACTTCCTTGCCAACTTCATCCCAAACTTCCGGCTTCAGTGGATTATCCAATATCACAGCTACCTCAATTTATGCTTCTTCAGGTTCTGCCTCACGCCTATCAAGTATCTCAATTTCGGCCACAACGACTGCGAATACAACGACAACTCATATTTCTTCAACGGCAGCCTCATCAGCAACTGTGACATCCGGAAGCTCGGTAACCACTGCTCCATCCACAAGTGTTTCCTCAACGACGGCCTCTCCCACTCCAGAAAGTACAACTTCAATTGTTAAAACCGAAACCCCTAGTCAGACAACGGCCCCCCTCACAATCTATCCAACAGCTACAAATAATGCTACATCAATGTGGCTTCCACAAACTATTATTGTTCAATCATCATCAACAAATCAAGCTTCTGCTACCAATACTGCACTTGCGACCACTTTACCAAAAGTTATCACTCCCAGTGGTTCTATTGCAACAAGTCCAGAAAATTCCACATTAATTCAACTTGGTTTCCTTTTCCAACTTAATTACGCATTTGTGGTTGCCAATCCACTTTCATCAGCACAGATCTTTCAATATCTCCCAGTGGGTATCGCAAGCGGGTTAGGAATTCAAACAGATCAGGTTGTCATGCACAGTCTCATCCCTTATAATACACAATCCCAATTGGAATTCATTACCACATTGGCACTCGCTTACATTCCAACCGACTTGGTCAGCACACTTCAGCTTGACTTACATACTCCCACCGCAGCCATCTACAATAATCCCGATACTTCAGTTAGTACGTTGGTCAGCTATATCAATCCTTCCATTCCATTGACACCTGGTTCCACCCTTGAAGGTGGTTCTGGATCTGGTACGGATAGTTCGGGATCTGCAGCAACTACTAGTTCGTCTGGGGATAGTGGTGTCTTTAATACGGATGCTCAAAACACATCTCCCAAAGTGAAGAGCACGACTGCCGGGATCGTTGTTGGAGCAGCAGGTGCCGCCGCGGCATATGGAGCTGCCATGTTCTTCATCGCTCGCAGATACAAGAAACGCAAGCTGAGCCATCGTCGTTCAAACTCCCTCACGAATCCTTCAGAGATGCGACAATCTGGTGGTGGTGCTTTTACCGGGGGTGCGTTTATGTCTGGTGGTCGTCTCACTCCGGGCGTGGGAAGCAATGATCGAAATAGTGGAGGAAGCGGAAGAAGTGCGGGCAATTCGGCTCGAACCCAACAAATCTCGGCACCAATGATGGCGGAGAACTCGCTGGGTTGGAATTGATCTTGATATTACATGATGCTCATTTTAATTCCTGACTCACGTCATATATCCTCGAGTATATGATTGGCTATCTTTTACCGCATTTGCCTCACTGTATCATAGATATCTTCCAAAAATCTTCTCAGCATGTCTGAATACGAGTTTACGCTCACCATTTTCAATTTCCTTTTCTTTTCTTTTTCTGTCACACGTCTATAAGGCGTTGGGTATCGCTTTTATACCCACTTTCTGCGTTATATATAACATCTTTTCCCATTCTTGGAGGTGGAAATTTGTGATATGGATGGGAGGCTTTTTATTCATTTTTGTGTTGGGGTTGAGGTTGAGGTTGAGAGATGAATGTTAGGAGAGGGGAGGGGAGAGGAGAAAAGAGGGGGGGGGGGGAGAGAAGAAATGAAATGAATGAGGAAGAAAAGAAAGATATCTGAGAAATAGAGGAACGGAGAGGTGGGGAGATAGGGGGGTAGAGGGGTTAAACCCTTTTGTGTATATTTACGATCCTACGAATGCGGATTTTCTTGAAAGATTTTAAAGATGTTGAAGATGTAATTGATAGTAGATACCTAGTGTTATGTGATGATATGATTTTTGGGAGTGTATAGATAGATGTACTCGAGTAGTAGTATTGGTAATGGTAATAGTAATAATGGTGGTGGAGGAGAGAAGCGACAGATGGATTGAGGGACGTGAGGGAATGTATATGAGGAGAAGAGACGATTTGAAATTATACTTGTAAATAGATAAGATGTGAATGAGAATTTTATGTTTATGTTTATATGTTTATGTTTATATGTTATTTATGTTAGTATATTGTTTGTTTATGCTTTATACAAAATAAGGATAATTTAAAGTGAGGGGCGAGCGAGTTTCCCCTACATGTCTCATTATAATCGGTTATCGCTAGACTCTATTCGTAGTTCTAGACTTTTATTATTGTTTATCTTACGGACTTCTCGGCTTTCATCTACTCGTATTGTTTGTCAATTCTTTTGCTTGAGAAGGTTTATGTTTGATAGTAATGTGATTGATATACAGTAATTAGTCAGTACTATGGAGACAGAGGTACGTACATATATAATGTATTTTTAGTGATGGGTTTGTTGTTTATTATTATAAGTTCGTAAGTTCTCCATTTTCATGGCTGTGCAGTATATACAAACGTGGCTGGGAAGAGAGGAGTTGTGACTCGTTGCTATGCCAACTGGTCCTCCCGCCATTCGAATTCGTGGAGATGTGATCCATTTTGATGCTGCTCTGCCGAAAAATATCGGTGGTGCCTACATCCTTCTCTCTCCACTTGTCTATCATTTTGAATGATAATCAATCAAAAGCTAATTGAATAAATAATATATATTTTATTTCGATATTGAAAATCAAAAGAAAAGAAAACATAATTCTGAGACGAGAACTCGAAAAGATTTGTTCAATCGATTTATTATTCAATCCCTAATATTTACATCAACAATTCGCTTCCACCCACTCACCCACCTCAACTATCAAAAACCCATTTATGGAAGTGTAAACATTCCCATTCGCATTCCCAAGAATTGGATAGGCGCATTTCTGTCGCAAATATACGAATCAACATTAATTTAAAAATGGACCGGTCAAATACTCCATCGATGCCTCCGATGTATTCAGAAACATATGCAGATGAATATGATCAAACACCCGCAGGACACGATCAACATGGCTCAGAGATTAGTTTGTTGACTTCCTACGATGAACCCGATATCCGTCCGTATGTACCACCACTCCTCGCACCGCGAGCTCTTAATCCATCTCCCCGGAAACCCCTGGCAGCCGTGACGACCCCAGAGCATCTTGCGTCTCTCAAGGAAGAAGAGGAATCAATCTCAAGTTGCAAGTTGCAAACGGAAATGAAGATGCCACCGACAGCTATGGATGCCAGTGATCCCATGGATATCGCGCATCTGTTGCCCGTTCTTCCAAATGGTCCCTCGCGCCGGAGATCGCTGAGGCTCCTTCCTGTTCATTCTCCTTTATCTTCTCTTGAGTCGCGTTTGAATGTTTCCAAAAGCTCACATACAGCTCATGTTAGGCCTTCCTCGGATCGTAGATCTTATCAAGCTTCGGTTATGTCCACGGATACATATGATGACCATCGAAGACCTCCGTCAATAAACACATATGATGACCATAGAAGACCTCCATCGATGAACACATACGACGATCGAAGACCTCTGTCAATGAACACATATGACGACCATCGAAGACCTCCATCAATTATCGATACCGCACCAGATCTACCACCTCCCGAAAGCGCATATCGTCCATATTCCTCCCTACTTTACTCCCCATCAGGTCGAGCCTCCCCTACACGAACTTGGTCTCCAATACGAGAAAGGAATTCTTCGGAATTCAACGTACCGCCCCCAATGGGCTACCACTACGAACCATCGGAACTGAATGGAAGCCCAAGACCTGGCACGCCTTCAACAGCTTATGGAGGAAGTCCAAGAAGGCCATTACCTCCGGCTCCTTTATTTGCGGCTCACGGAGCTCGTTCGCCATTCGGAGACGACGCAACGATTCACATGCCACTCGAACACGATCACGAAGTATTAGATGATGATGTTTTTGGACCGGGAAAATCCGATCCAAGAGAAACTATGAGGTCAAGGCAGTCATATTTAACTCTGACGGAAGATATGGAAAGCGCAAAAGACTACGAACATTACGGACCAGCACCTTCAGGAAAACAAGAACGAAGGGGTGCGAACAGGACGACTCACACGAAAAAACGAGAAGTTAAGCTGATTAACGGAGAGCTTATCTTGGAGTGTAAAATACCTACCATTCTTTACAGTTTCCTACCTCGGAGAGACGAAATCGAATTCACACATATGCGATACACAGCCGTCACCTGTGATCCGGATGATTTTGTATCTCGAGGATACAAGTTACGACAAAATATGGGAGTCACGGCACGGGAAACCGAACTTTTCATCTGTATCACCATGTATAACGAGACGGAGATAGATTTTACGAGAACCATGCATGCAGTCATGAAGAACATTTCCCACTTCTGTTCTCGATCCAAATCGAGAACGTGGGGAGAGAATGGATGGCAAAAGATTGTGGTTGCCATTATTTCGGATGGAAGACAAAAGATTCATCCACGGACACTGGATGCTCTTGCGGCCATGGGTGTATATCAAGATGGGATTGCCAAGAACTTGGTCAATGGGCGAGAGGTACAAGCTCACGTGTATGAATACACCACTCAGGTCTCTTTGGATTCAGACCTCAAGTTCAAAGGTGCCGAAAAGGGAATTGTACCTTGTCAGATGCTCTTTTGTCTCAAGGAGAAGAACGCCAAGAAGTTGAATTCGCATCGTTGGTTCTTCAATGCGTTCGGAAGAGCCCTCACGCCTAATATTTGTATTATGTTGGATGTGGGTACCAAACCGGGAGGAAATTCACTGTATCATTTGTGGAAAGCTTTTGATACTGACTCTAATGTTGCTGGTGCGTGTGGAGAGATCAAAGCTATGAAAGGAAAAGGATGGTTGGGACTTCTTAATCCTTTGGTGGCGTCCCAGAACTTCGAGTATAAGATGTCGAATATTCTTGATAAACCTATCGAGAGTGTGTTTGGTTATATTACTGTTTTGCCTGGTGCATTGAGTGCATACAGATATCACGCCTTGCAGAATGATCATACTGGTCATGGTCCTTTGAGTCAATATTTCAAGGGAGAAACTTTGCATGGTCAAAATGCAGATGTCTTTACTGCGAATATGTATCTGGCCGAAGATCGTATTTTATGTTGGGAACTGGTTGCTAAGAGGGATGAAAGATGGGTCTTGAAATATGTCAAGGGTTGTACTGGAGAAACTGATGTGCCAGGTAAGTCATACTTTTATTGTTACTCGGGATTTTTGCTGACCATATCTAGATACTGTTCCCGAATTCGTATCCCAAAGAAGAAGATGGCTCAATGGAGCTTTCTTTGCAGCTGTTTATTCTCTGGCCCATTTCAAACAAGTATGGCATACGGATCATACCCTTGGACGAAAGATCCTGCTTCATATCGAATTTGTTTATCAATTCATTCAACTTCTCTTCACTTACTTCTCCCTGGCCAACTTCTACCTCACATTCTACTTCATTGCCGGTTCGCTATCGGTAGAGAATATGGATCCATTCGGCCATAACATCGGAAAATACATATTCTTCGTCTTAAAATACGTCTGTATCCTCCTTACGGCTACACAATTTATCCTGTCAATGGGAAATCGACCACAAGGAGCACGGAAATTATACTACACGTCTATGATAATCTACTCGATAATTATGGTATATACTTTCTTCTCCACTGTTTACATTGTTTACAGAGAAGTCCATGACAACGCCAAAAGTCTCGTATTGGGCAACAATCTCTTCACCAATCTCGTGGTCTCTCTCTGCTCAACGCTTGGTCTCTACTTCCTCATGTCCTTCCTCTATCTCGATCCTTGGCACATGTTTACCAGTTCCGGTTCTTATTTCGCCCTCCTCCCAAGTTACATCTGTACCCTCCAAGTATACGCCTTCTGCAATACGCACGATGTCACATGGGGAACCAAAGGAGACAACGTCATGTCCACGGATCTCGGAGCCGCATCCGGCAAAGGCCAAACCGTCGAACTCGAAATGCCCTCGGAACAACTCGACATTGATTCCGGCTACGACGAAGCTCTCCGCAATCTCCGCGATCGTCTCGAAGTCCCCGTGGCCCCCATCTCGGAATCCCAACAGCAGGAAGATTACTACAAATCGGTTCGTACGTATATGGTTCTGGTCTGGATGATTGCGAATGGTATCTTGGCTATGGCGGTCAGTGAGGCGTATGGGCCCGAGCATATTGGCACGAATTACTATTTGACGTTTTTACTGTGGGCGGTGGCGGCGCTGGCGCTCTTTAGAGCGGTGGGGAGCACGGCGTTTGGCATTATTAATTGTATTGAGGCTGTGGTGGAGGGGAGGATTCGTCTGACGATGAAGGTTCCTAGTTGGATGGGGGGTTGGAGTAGCAAGATTAGTGAGGGGGTTAGTAGTGTGGGGAGTGCGGTGAAGAGGGGTTAGGATGGTTGGGGTGAGGGGGAGGGTAATGGGTGGAGGCGAAAAGGGGGAAGGGGGGAAAAGAAAGCTAATAAATAAAGAGAGGTGGCGGGGAAAGCTAAAGATGAAAGATGACAGAACATGTTTTTTTGATACCATGGATGGGAATACAGAGCGAGACCTTATACCACGGAAGGATCATACCTCGGAAAATAGGAAAGGGTTGGATTGGATTGGAAAGGGATGGATGGGTGGAAGGAACTTCTTTTGATTTCTTGATTTTTTGAATTTCTTGTGTGTGTATTGGGTGGGATTGATTTGGTGTTTTCTGCAGATTTGGGATTTCAAGGGAAGGGAAGAAAAATGATTTTTGAGTGAACCTGAGTGGTTGGTGGATTGATGGATTGATGGATTGATGGATTGATGAAATAGTATAGTTAGTAATAGATTGTATAATACAATATGATGTTTATATCTACGTTTATATCTATATTTATAGAAAACTACTCTTATATTACTAAAAGTGAAGTCATTTTATTTTTATACTACAAAAATCAATCAAAGTTAATTAATTTTTATATTGTTTAGAAGCTATTTATTCTTTACTAAGAAGTATACTAAGTGTACGAGTAAATGAGTATGTGTTCAAAAGGACCTCGAGGCAGTCATTCAAATGGTGCCAGGAAATCACTTAGTGTTACGACTGTGACTTGAATGTGAATGTACGGGCATTCATGGGTTTCATGGGTTTGGCAAGTGCCGACTATGGAATATCACAAGGGTATCTTTGACTTCTCACCACCATATCTAGAGATCACAATTGAGGTTAAAAGATTACCCGAGGCAGCGACCAAACATCCATCCACCAATCTCCATTCCTCAGCATTGAGTCGTCCCTGGCGCCTCAATGTTTTCAGCTCTTCTAATATCTCATTCTCGGTCCAGAGCTGTATAGCATAAGCCATAGACTTTACAGCGGCCACATCACTGATACGATTGACCTGCATAATAGTATGTACCAGGTTAATCATTTCTTTCGCTCTTCCCTCGAGAAATTGCTTTTCTTCCTTGTCGTACGAAGCTATATCATTGGCAATAGAGATTTGGTCACCGAGATAACCGAGTAGGCGTCTAAGTTTCGGGCTCTCCAGATCTACCTTTGAATGTAGAGAAAATTTGGTGCAAGCCCATGTGAATCTGGTTAACACAATCGTCAGAAAAAGGTCGGAGATTGGGAAGTTTGTCATCATCTACCCGTTCGCAATATCATCAAATCGATAATCAAGGTATTCCCGTGCAGAGGAAAATGCTTCAGGGTGTTCGTGACGACAAAACTCAATGAGCTTTTGAAGCACTTCCGCACCTCCATTCCCTCCATCTTCCTCGTCTCCCTTTAAGAAGCCCTGTCTAATCTCATGCATTCGTTTTTGTAGCGGAGTGTCTGCTATAGATTTTGTGACATTTCCTTGGATACGTCCAATGAAGTCATCTCGCACCTGGATGGTCTTTGAAAATAAGCTTGGTGCCTTACATAAAAGTACCTGAAAAAGTACTCACCACTTCTGAGGATGCGTTTTCCCACATGTCTAAGTATTGTCAGAATGGATGAACTCAAAGATAGCTGAAATCAGGAATAATGGCTTACCTACCATCAAAAATGAAAATCAATATCACGCTTTGAGCCAGAAGTCGGATCCGTCTCTCATCCGCATCCGCAAACATGTAGATGCTAAACCGACCATAAGTATCCAAGACGGAGCTTTGGAGTTGACGTTTGGCAAGAGTAGCCATCGATTGCCCGTTGGTCAATATGGCGTCCTTGCAGTATTGGTCTTGAGCAAATAGCTCGAGTAGCTCTCTAGTTGCCTTCTCGTTGGCTTCCCAGTGTATGCTTTGTCGAAAGGTTCGAAGCCCAGTGTGAACGGGTAGATTGACAGCTCCAGGGTAGATGGCAATTCCATTGTTCTTGGTGTCTCCCTGTATCTCGGTGAATTCTAATTTTAGTACTTCATTGAGAGCGACTTGCTGGGCCTGTAGCCACTGGGGCTTTTGAGGGAGGTAATCGTATATGTATCTAATTGGACATATTAGATTCGCGTCCGGTCCGGGAGTGAAATTATCGAGATTAGCGGGGACTTTTTGGGGGTTATCCGTTGCCATGAGCTTTGATAGCGTGGTTCATGGTGAGCATATTTTTTTGTAAATTTTGGGAGAACTACTTCACTAGGTTGGAATCAATGAGATGATGAGCAGCTGAGAAAATTTTGTCCTCCAGGTCTTAAATGTCTAAAGTACTTGCTCAAACTTGTTGATAATTGCTTACCCGATTCAAACTTACCCACCAGTCGTTGCGAACGATGGGCAGCGTATAAATGACCACGGGGCTCCTTGCTTCATTTACAAATGGAATGCTACAATCTCCATCCGCAAAGTGATGTGCGCGGCGTAGACGATTACTGCATATGACTTTTGGGAAGGTGCTCCGATAGACCATGAAACTTTATGTGGAGCACAGAAATGAGGGGATTGTTAGCGAGATATTTAGCAACAATACTCGTACCGAGGCAAAGAGGGAATTATCATCTAGTTCTGTTCTACATGATGTGGTCAAATATTACAATGTGGATAGCTCGATGTCACCGATCGGAGACAGTGGAGGATGGGACTCTCATCATGGGAGAGATAATGATAGAACGGAGTCAGAGGGGGCTCAACCTAGAGCTATGTATGTACTTTGGTTTTCGTTTTCCGTCCTTCTTCTAGACCTTCACAAACCTTTATAGATTTTTAGGTTTAAAGTTGTTTAACTAAAACTTTTAAGTAAAGCTTGAGATTGTTCTTATTTTTGTTAGATAATTATTCAATAATCAATAATCATTTTGAAAGCTTTACTTGAAACTTTAAAGCTTTCGTAAGAGCTCAATATGTTTCTATTAGATCTAAGGACCGAAAGATTGCACTGTATTTGTGTGTGTACCTCTTAATATCTTAAGTAATCTGGCCTCATACGGAATTTGTGAAGCCATATTCATGACTAATATCTGATAATAGTGATATACCGGTAATAGTTTTAGGGAAGATGGCATCTATTTCTCATATGCATGCTGTGAACCGATACTCTTCGCATCAAGATGCTTCTTCATGGTAGTCCACGAATCATACTTCCTTCACGTTCAACATCAAAGTTCCTTCTTACAATCTCTTGGAAACTACTTTAACTCTGACCCCAAGACTATTCGGATGTGGCTCCCCGATGAAGCAATCTTGGACAGATTCAACGTCGCGTTTTCGCAACGTATCATGAAGCTGGAAGTCGTACCTTCTGAGCAATGTAACCAAAACCACATATAACTCAGTGTAGGCAAATCTTAATAAGTTGGGATACGTCAGTCTCGGTTAAGTTCAGCGTATAGGGAATAATGAGAGTAATTATCTCAAGAAACTTACCTCATCCCCTGACACATCCGAGTACCCTTCCCAAATGGTACAAAATAACATTCGGGGGGAGGGTTTTCTACTAACCAGCGATTGGGATCGAATTTGTTCGGATTCTCAAATATATTAGGATCAAGCAAAATGTCATGAGTCGTCATGCTTGTAGGCGTCTTGGACGAAGTTAGCGAGCTATAGTTTTTTCTGGCTACGAAAGAAAACAAATGCAATACTTACCATTGCTGGTATCTTCCAATTCTTGTAGACTAGCTCATCGTGAGCCATCAAGGGCATTCTTGATGTGATCATTGCAGATATTCGCAACGCTTCCTTGACAGTCGCGACCTAGTATGGAAATTAGTAGCTGAAATGAAACCAATAGATGGCTGTATAGTAAGTACCAAGTAGGGATACTCCTCTAGAGCCTTCGAGGATGGTAAGATGGAGGCATCAGGCATTGCTATCTCTATTTCATTCTGTAGACGTTTCAAAACTTGAGGATTTGACAGTATATAAAACATGGTGATGCTTAGAGCACGAGATGTGGTTTCGGATGCTGCTGAAATCACCACGAGTGCCTCATGAGCAAGGCGTTCTTCTTCTTTCTCGTGAGCGGGCAAATTGCTTTTTGATATACATTGAAACAGAGCCATGCCGGAAGAATCTTCCCGACTTTTTGGCTCTTTTTGGCTCATCTGCTGTTGGGATATAAATCGCTCAGCAAAAGATCGCATATCCTATAATGAGGAATGACATGTTAGTCTAGATAAGTGAATAGCTCTTAAGAGAATGTTTACTCACAGCGTGATACTGCACTACTCTGGATAATTCAGGCATGAAAAATCGGAGGATACTGATAGGAATTTGAAGAGCCACGGTCATCATCCAAGGAAACTGCTTCATCAGCGGTGTTACTCTAGCAACTGCGCGAATTGTTGCACTCCAGTCGACTGCGAGTGCCTTGTTTTCCTGGAGATTTTTACTTTCCCCGAGCGCATATCTTGAGATTGTATCTGTAGTGAAGGCCAAGAACGTAACGCGGAGGTCAATTATTTCTTTCGTACTCAGGAACTTTTCAAATTGGTCTGATAGAATTCGTACTTGGTCCAATATAAGAGGTTGAGCATCAGAGATTGCACTCATAGAGAACAGGTGACTGTTGGCTCCACGTCGTTTTCGATGGATATCGTGCTCAACCGTACCAAACGCTACGTCGCGTGGTTAGATGAAATCTTGAAGCACGAATTTCGAACAAGTACTCACTGCCCAAGGGTGCGCCAACCATATTTGCAGCTGGTGGGTATTTGTCTCTCCTAGTGGGATTACTGGCATACAGTGTGTCAAACCAGTCAGGATCTTGTATGTGGATCTCGTCAGGATTTATCCTGACAATGGGTCCTGATCAATTAGCTTCCATCAACGACGACATTGAGTGTATTGTCAATCTTCGCTAAGCAGCAATGACTTACCATATATATCGTGCATTCGCTGTATCTCCCAGGCGAACTGGCCCCCATGACCTTTAATCAGGTCGAAGTAGAACTCATACCATTTTGTGAGAGCCGTGAGCTTAGGACCAGGAAATTTGGCCAAGGGATGTAAAAACAGACGATAGACAGACAAGACCGTGACATAGCAGATGGCAGTCAAAATGATGGCAGTCGTGGGCCCGATTATGCTAAATTGCTGGAAAATCATTGAAGCGAATATACAAGTGATTTTTGGAAGATAGATGGGGAACAGGTCTTTCTTTTACTAAGTTTTGAATTTCTCATTTCATCATTTCGTTCGAATGTTCCGGATACAGCATATAACATTTTGAATGAAGAAAGCTATCCGAAAACAAAACCGGCTGTTGACATGTGGTCACTGGTTAGTTCAACATCATTTGCTTCAGTATGAATTAGGGTGGTAAGAAGAAGATCTTCTGGCTAAGAAATGGTTAGGGTAACATCAAATTGCTTTTTCGTTGGATCATCCGAGTATTAATACTTGCATATCATTTACAGGTTCCATATAGACTGATATAATCCTCATTTTATCCACTTATTTTCGATATCCATGTCATTATGTCATCTTCTTCCTATCTTCAGGCCGGCAAAGTCAGAATCTAAACCTGTGCCGCAATTAAATTTATTAATGTACTTCGTACCGGTGGCTGACAGCTTCAACAGCCCTGCAGGCGAGGGAGCAAATTGCAAAACACAATCATGATCCCAGCTTGCATATTGTCACTAGCTTGAGGGGGTGGTAATTAGGGGGCGGGTTACATCAGAAGTAAGAGAGAAAAGTGTGTAAGATGTAAGATTCAACATCTAGAGTAAGAGAGCTTTAGGAGACTAATATACATATAGAGCTGGTAGCCAAAGCGAGTACCATGTCAATGTCAAGAAAGCAAAAAATTAGGTCTTGAGGTACAAAAAGGTATTCTGGGTTCGCAGCATATACGCGCAAGAATTAAAAACCGAAAATGGCTCTCGAAGTTCCCCGAGAAACGTCACCCTCCTACCGTGGGCTCAACCGCCGTGGAGGAAACGTCGTTATCATCGTAGCGGTCTTCTGGACGATAGCCACAATCTCCGTTGCACTGCGAATATATGTCCGTCGGTTAAAAAGAATCGCGTTCATGATCGAAGACTGGCTGGTGGTGGGGGCTTTAGTATACGATTTCTTTCCGGGTATTATAAAATATCGACTGACAACTTGCAGATAGTCTTTTATGGATTTGGGAGTGGAGACATAATGTTGGTTGTTTTTGGGGGAAGTGGATGGCATGTGGATCAGTTGAACCCAGCGCAGCTTAAGACTGCCCAGAAGGTAGGACTTTCTCCCCACCAACCCACACTCCGCAATTAATGAAAAGTAACATCGATTCTTAGGTCTTACTTGCAAATCAAATGCTCTATGGTGTCGGGCTTGGATTGATCAAGTGTAGCATCACTATCATGTTAATCAGGATATTTGCCGTCTCGAAATTCAGAATCGTGGGATACTTTGTCTTGGCAGCGTGCATTGCATGGGTCATAATGACAATCTTGATAGCTTTTCTTATCTGTCGTCCGTTGGGCTACAATTGGAATCTTCAGCCTACAGCTGGACACTGCGGAAATACAATTTCAGCCTATACAGCCGTTGGTATTGCAGATATCATCACAGACATGATGATTCTCTTACTTCCCCAGCGGATGCTTTGGAAACTGCAACTTCCAATGGCAAATAAGTTAGCTCTGGCAGCTTTGATGTGTCTAGGTTTATTGTAAGTCTTGAATCCTTGTTTAAGGAACTCATGAATTAACTTGGGACAGTACTATTGGTATGAGTATTGCACGTGTGGTAACAATTCTTAATACCGATTTCTCAGACTTCACTTACAACCTCTACAATTACATCTGGCCTGTGATAGAGTTCGGGGTTGCTATCTTTGTTTGCTGCGGTCCTCTGTTACGGCCCCTTTTGACACCCCTTTTCGGGGCGCTGGCCTCAATCAGAACTCGAATGGGGTCGAAGCAAGAGTCAAGAATCCAAAGCTCGACAATCAAGCGAGGAGGCTACCGTGGATTCAGTCATTTGAATGAAGACGGCTTGCCCCTTCAATCTGTCGCAGAAGGAACGCACACCAACGTTGCAAGCGTCACTACTGATGCGCGGAACGACAAAACAGGCAGTTCGGATGATGCTACATCTTCTCAGAACAAGGGCATTGTGGTCGAGACTGCCTGGGATTGTGTATAACTACCAGCATTTTTTGAAGTTGAAACTAGAGATGCAGGTCCATCTGACTGTCAGTTATTCAGTTGATCGATTTACTGGACTGACTGACTGGGCCTAACCAATGGGCTGACGGTTGGAGGGGAGGGGGAAAGAGAGTGCCAGAGAAGCAAGTCTTGAGGGTTATTAGCATGACAATAATGATAATTAATTCACTACCCTAACAGGGACAGAGAAATAATGAATGTAAAAGATTTGCAATCAAAAAAGTTCTTTGCTTGTGAATAATGATGCAATACCGTTTTGACCCGACAAACTGAGATTCGTCCCAGACCCAATTAGTCTAATTATAGAGTATGGTGATGGGTACCATACTGTATAATTAGAAGAATTACTGGCATCAAAATTTATATCGAATAGATTTGTACCGGGATTCTATTCTAGTTGCACCGGTAACCTTATAATTTACCATTTTCAGCGACCTTTTGTGTAGTGATACCGAAATTTGACTTTTTGGGAAATTCGATATAACCAAAGGGACCTTATTGGCTGGAATAGTCTAATAAGTCTCCGATTAGTTAAATAAACACACCAGAATCTTCTTTGGAACGGATCCGATTAGTCGAATTATTCAGTCCGGGATAATACCGGTCTCCCCGTTTAAGCGATTCGAAGCGACCAAAACCTAGGCCTGGTAGAATTTGAGTGTAACCTCAGTCGGGCGAGTTCAGATATTATAAAGTAATGAAACAGTACTAAGGAGATCGCTAACATTATGGATGCGACTACCTTATAGGGTAGTATTCACTATAATAGCCCTGTAGTGTTTATACATCAGTTAAATCAGAGCTTAACGAGCCTGTAAGAATTAGCTTTATATGTAAATTCCAATCTAATTCCTGACAATTACGAGTAATGAAATTACAGGTACTTATAGCCCCATTAAGCACTCATTTTCAGGGCTTGGTTCGGATTGACTGATTAATTTATAGTATATTACAGTGTATATACCCTGTCAGGCCCTACAGTCGCATCTATGCTGTTGGCGATCTCTGTACCCAGGTTGCATTTGCGCGGTGTGGAGACATCATGCAACTGTCACCGATTGACGCCTAGATCTCCGCACCAACCATCTCCCACTATTGACCCCACCATTCTCTCCAGGATTGGCGGCCTACAGGGCCACATGGGGGACTAATCAGCTCATGTAGAGTCTCATCACAGGGAAATATCTCGATGCGTGATAATACACATAATTACAAATACTTGCAAGCGAAAAAGAACAGTCATGTTGCAGCGAAACTCGTGCTGCGCCGCCAAGCGGATGCATTGTTGCAGCGATGATCGTGCTGCGCGGTCAAATGGATGTACCCGAAATGCCGCATTTCCAGACTCCTTGTATATCGAAGAAGAAAGAGGGCAAGTAGAGATCTCAGTAATTCACGGTGATGATGTACTGTGCCACTATGGTGAAGTAAGTTGAGGCCCCTCTACGATATAACTGAACGGACAGATCGCCTGGTGACCATGGCTAGCTAGTTCACAGATCACTAAGGAATTATGGCAGAAACTTCGAACTATCATTACATTATAATCGGTGGCGGTATCGCCGGCTCGGTAGTCGCATCTCGCCTTCATGAAAAACATCCCAGTTTGTCCATTCTTCTCATAGAAGCAGGACCAGATGTCTCCGACAATCCATTGGTGACCGACTCAGCAAATGGACCATTTCTCGTAGGATCTGAACTGGACTGGGGCTATTCTACAGTCCCGCAGCGTCATCTTAACAATAGAGCTTTGCCCAACAACGCGGGGAAAGCTCTAGGAGGAGGGTCAGCCATCAACGCAGGTAAGTTCAAATTCTAAATTAGCCATCAATCGTAACATTGAGATACTGAGCTTCAATCCAGGCGGATGGATACGTGGCGATGCAAATGATTACAATGCATGGGGAAAGCTGGTCAACGACCCCAGATGGAGTTATGCTGGATTTCTCCCCTATTTTCACCGCACGGAACAATATCACAAAGCAGGACTAGACACCCAGCACGGCTACGAAGGTCCTCTCTACACCCAATCAGTTTCGTCTACCGACCGGAACTATCCCTTGCGCGAAAATATTCGAAAGGCATGGGAATCTATCGGCATAAATTACAACGCCGATGCCAATTCCGGCTCACCACAAGGACTTGGCGAGCTTGTAGAAAATCGCAAAGATGGCCAAAGACAAGTTGCGAGTACAGCATATCCACTTACCGGCGTTCAAGTCATGACATCGACCTTGGTGGCACGTGTACTCATGGACACCCAAGGATTGATACCGAGGGCGACGGCCGTTGAGCTTGCAGACGGCAGAAAAATTGTCGCTACGAAAGAAATAATTATCTCTGCCGGTGCATTCCGCACGCCTCAGATCTTGCTACTTTCTGGAATCGGGACAAAAGGAGAGTTGGCTATCCATGGCATCCAGCAGATAGTTGATGCGCCATATGTCGGAAAGAACCTCCATGATCACATGTCAGTGGCTCAATGGTGGAAATTGAAAAACCCAGAAGCAGGATACGCTCTTGGATCCCCCCTATTCAACAATCCCAACTTCAAGAAAGGCACACCTATGGACTGGGTCGTCACATACACAGTTCCTCACGAAGGACTCAAAGCCGCCTTGGCCAAAGATGAGGGGATAGTAGATGACATGCATCCGCTTTTGAGCCCAGCCCGCTCTCATGTAGAATGTTTCACGGTCTACGTTGGGGTCAACAAATCTGATCCCATTATACCTATGGACGGCAGCCATGTCACGACAGTTGTGCTTGGTGGCCTTCCGACTTCGAGGGGAAGTGTCAAGTTGGCATCGACTGATCCGACTGCAGCACCAGTCATTGACCCAAATTATTTTTCAACGGAAGCCGATCGATACGTGTTGCGCACAGGACTAAGAAAAATAATGGAGGCCATGTTGAGCACCGCAGAGGGGCAGGCTTTGATAGAGACGGAAACTGTAGCAGCTGGAGAGAAATCGTTGGATTGGAAGGCCGAGGATGCGGAGCTTGATGAACGCATCAAAGCACGCGGAAAGTACGTACCAGTTCTCTCCATCCAATAAAAAAAATACACTGACTGGCTTTCTCCATAGGACTGTGTATCACCCTGCCGGGACTGCTGCTATGGGCAAAGTCGTAGATAGCAGTTTGTGCGTATATGGAGTCCAAGGACTACGTGTCGTTGATGCTAGTGTACTTCCATTGCCTATTGCGGCTCATTATCAGGCTTGTATTTATGCTCTCGCTGAGCAGGCCGCTGAGATTATTGGAGCCAGCTAGGAACTTTTTGGCAAGTAGATGTGCTTTTCAATTCTTGGAAGTAAGACGGGCAGGTAATGCGTTGCGGTGAAGAATCTGGAATCTTGACCGATGCATGTAATATGCTATTTCATCTTTTGGATGTAAGATGGCCCATTCGAAAAATTACAAAATCGTACTGTCTTGGACTTCTTCACAGCACCGTGAGACTCGTGTTTGAATAGAGAGAGCCCTGTAAACGCATTTTGATCATGCTGATTCTGATTTTGAATAGGGTGAGCATAAATAAGCATGTGTCGATATGATATTATTCCCTGCGTCTATCCTGCAATGCACTGTAAAGCATGCTGGAAAGGGGTGCAAGCCGATAACACAATAACGTGGAAAATTTCAAAAGGAAATGTGGTTTACATGGGTCCCATGAGATGCTTAATTGCTTCGCTGTGTTTGTTGGTGTATTGCGGAAATAGTGCAGAAAGTAAACGTGGCTCACATAGACCCCCGGATATGTTTAACTGCTTCGAGGCAGTATATAAGCCAATGGATTTCAAGCCTGTAATTAATCGATCCATTCTAATCTATCCCTCTATTGAATGTTACGGTAGACCTTGCTGGACTGACATGATTTTGATTTTGTTCACTGCTAGATGAATCAGTATAAGATGAATGTAAATCGCCGAGTCAATTCTTTCTCTTCTATGAGATCAAATCATGCAGTTATTTCTCCCAATCATGCAGACCCATTCTCTTCCACGTTTGCTCTTTGTGCTCACGTCAACGATTGCATGCATCCAAGCAAGGAGCACATCTCGGGGTCGCATGCCATCTAGTGGCTTTGGCATACCTGGGGTCGACGCATCGTATGATTATGTCGGTAAGAAGGCTTCACCCATTACACTCAGACAGAAGACATATATCTAATCACATACGACGTCTAGTAATTGGTGGAGGCACTGCTGGTATCACAATTGCCTCACGGCTTGCTGAAAATCCCAGTGTATCGGTGGCAATCGTCGAGGCAGGAGGGTTCTATGAGGTAGACAATGGAAACTTCAGTGTCGTTCCTGGCCTCGCATTATCTGCTCCCTTTCTTGGAACCGCGGTACCTTTCCAGCCGCAGCCTCTCGTGGATTGGGGACTCGTCTCAACTGTGCAGGCTGGTGCCGGTGGACGGCAGATTCATTATGCCCAGGGGAAAAATTTGGGGGGTGGTTCGGCGTTGAATTCAATGGCTTTCCATCGGGCAACCAATGGCACGTATCAGCGATGGGCAGATATTGTGGGGGACGAGTCATACACTTTCGCCAACCTCTTGCCGTATTTTATGAAATCGGTTCACCTGACACCACCTAACAAAGCAAAGCGCAACACCCATAACGCGACGACTTTATATGACCCAAGCGTTTTCAGCCGTTCTGGTGGACCTTTGCAGGTGTCCTGGAGCAACTGGGTCGACCCTCCTTTCACGTGGTTCCAGCAAGCTTTCAAAGCAATTGGCCTACCGATTAGTCCAGTAAACTTCAACAGCGGCATTCTCTCTGGTTTTGCGGCCTGGATTCCCTCGACAATATCTCCCAGCGATGCTACTCGCTCATCCTCGCAAACTTCTTTCCTGACTCAATCAATCGAATATCCGAACTTGGTCGTTTACACTCAGACCAAAGCAACCCGTATACTGTTCAATGGCACTGTTGCGTCGGGGGTTTCTGTCTCTACACAGGGGGTAAATTTTACTTTATCAGCCAAGAAAGAGGTCATCCTCTCGGCGGGAGTATTTCATTCACCCCAACTTTTGATGTTATCAGGTATGTTTTCCAAACCATCTTCCATAACACAACTTGCAATTACAAATTAAATAACTTTTCGCATCATAGGTATTGGACCAAATGAAACCTTGTCACAATATAACATCTCTGTTATATCTGACCTTTCTGGCGTGGGTCAGAATTTATGGGATCAAATAATTTTCCCTGTCGTCCACGCAATGGATATCCCGACCAGTGCACAACTCATTACGGAACCTCAATACTCCCAGAAAACCTTACGACAATATTTGAAGCATAAAGCAGGTCCTCTGAGCGCAGAGAACGGTTTCATCGCATTCGAGAAGATTCCAGAAAGTCTCCGAAGCAATTTCACCGCTGCGGCGCTCTCAGATCTGGCCTCGTTTCCCTCCGATTGGCCGGAAGTTGAATACGTCTCGAACAGTGGCGTGGGCGTGGGTTACTTGCTCGCGACGCTTGCAGCTTCTGTATCGAGAGGCCACGTAACGATGAGTAGTGCAGACGCTTCCGTTCCACCAGTAATCAACCTAGGATGGCTGAGTGATCCAAACAATACGGATGCACAAGTGGCTGTTGCAGCAGTAAAGCGTATACGAAAAGCTTGGGCATCGATTTCCGCAATTACTACAGGCCTCGAGCTAGTTCCAGGCCCCAGTGTGGCAAGCGATGTAGAGATTTTGGCCTATATCCGTGACTCTACGTCAACGATATATCATGCAGCTGCAACTTGTAGCATGGGAAAACTTGGCGCTCCAGGCGCAGTCGTAGATTCTAAGGCTCGTGTATTTGGTGTTCAGGGATTGCGGGTGGTAGACAATTCCGTGGCGCCTTTTGCCGTGCCGGGACATCCACAGTCTACTGTGTACATGTTAGCGGAGAAAATAGCGGATGTAATTCTAAAAGGGAAGTGAGTTTGGGAATTGAGGTTCTTCGATGTATATAGACTTTCTTGCATATGAATGCATATAACATCATTAGTACTGCCCGAACATAACCATAGTCTGAATGTTATATTATACATACTCACTAGATCTGTAATAAACTGATAGCGATACCACGTCATCGAAAAAGATAGAGACTTTATACTTGATCAATCTACTTGATCACCCAGAAGGATGACCTTCCAGCTAGTCAGTCACTCGCAATACCTCAACGCGCGAGCTATTGATTTTACAGCACCATCTTGAACTCTATTCCGATTCTTCAACAATACTCGCAACAACCAGACACACTCACACTCACTGCCACAAGTCTTCGACTGCAAAACAGTCTTGTTGTTACATAAGAGCTATCCCCCCATAACACGAAGACATTTCAGTCGCTAAAAGACCCATTTCGACTTCAAGCTTGTCGAGTGTTAAGTTTTCAACTCTTCAACTTCGATGCCTCGTGCATACATACTCATCATAGCATGATATACTGAGTCCGGCTGTCCAAATTTCCAAGAATTACGACTCGGAAGAAGAACGATAGTTGTGCATGAATAAGAGGGCTTGATATTCAAACCATCGATGTCAGAGGCGTTTGGTGTTTAGCGCAAATTTCCTCTTTTAGACATGCACCGAGACCTTCAAAAAGCGGTCACGTGCACACTGCAGGTCCGCGCTGTGCGGGCATACTGGTGTTACAATCCGGGTTAAATGGAAGATTAGGTATGGTACATGTATAACTTGGGACAGAAGGTAAAACTTCTCTTTCATTTGTAGCTTTATAGATTATAGCTATGCTATTCTATCCCACCTGTGCTAATTATCGATCACTGTTACTTTGAGGCATAGCTATGACTTTACAGAGAAAGCTGTTGAAAGAGATACAGGATAGTTTATACGATTTTTATGATGGTGAGGAGTGATATTGAAAGGGATTAGTAGGAGTAGGGATAAGATTAGTGATGGTCCCCTAGCAGATAAGAGATCGGTAGCAGAGGTGTTACAACAATTGGTTGAAGATTGAAGGGAGTGTAGAGATAGTGGCTGCACTCGAGAAAAGTGAAATTGTGACGTGCTTTGATGCTTCAATACGGGTAGAATTAAGGATGCGGATGTTGGAAGTAGATGCATAGACATCCAGGCATATACTTATTTGTGTAGTACCGTGCAGGGAGTTGGTATGGAGTTAGTAACTAAGCTAAGTTGGTGATATGATCTAGAGCCCGCAAAGTGTGTTCTCTAGAACCCTGAAATGCAATTTAACATTTCTGGAACTTAAAATCCTAAAACATAGATTATAGAACATATAAAGTCTTTGATAACTACTCGCTGGAGAAGCCGGAGAGGTAGAAATTACTTAGCGGGAACCTAACTCTTCATATTGTTGGTACCGATCAAGCATGATGCAAATATATCTCCGCTTGACACCATTGGAGTAGGTAGTGCAGCCAAGGTTATCAATATCTGAGCTTGTAGATCATTCCAGACATTCTGCGTGAACTTCTCAATGGGGAAGCTACCCACAGTAACAAAGAACGACATAATCACACAACATTAATGCGCGTAATATAATGAAAGGTCCCGAACTTTCTGGGCACTTCCATCTAACAAAACTTGGTTCGCTGTATACCACCGTGTACTGCACTTTGGTGGATCTAATGCAGGACTTTACGAAAACGGAATCTCCAAGTCGGGACGAATCACATGACTCGGTCCTCATGCGAGTGTGACAGCGGCAACCGAAATGACAGATAGAGAGTGAAAGACCCCGCATCGTAGGCAGGTGCCAACTCAAATGACATTCATATAAGATAGCAGCATAAAATGAAATGCTGGGGAGTCTTTCCTATCCGGTCCGACTTGGCTGCCGACAGCGATCTTATTGTCCCGATATTTCAGCCAAAACTTAATACCATCATAAAGCCTTACTTCGATTCAGTATATAATAACGCTTGTTGGGATCCTAGACCTCCAGATCGGTCATTTCTTACGGAATCTGATATATCGTTACACTGAAAATATGCAGGATGTCAGATTGTGTAAAATCAATCAAAAGATAAACTGCTGATATTCCTTACGGGATATATTAACACCAACAATCCGATTCGTAGATGATATGCAGTTAGCAATAGAGTATAGAGTATAGAGGAGAAGGCAGGTGGGATTTTGGTGAAATATTATTATAGCCTTGCTATGCGAACAAGTGAAGAGTCAAAGTATGTGACTTTTGGCTTTTCGTCTCCAAATTTGAAGCAATTATAGATCATACAAATGCATGATATAAGACCATATTCGGAATTGTGGGAGAACCGCCATAAGCTAGACGTTGTAATTCGTGGGCCAATATGAATGGGAGGCGTCATATCTTCATGCCGACTGGCTAACTTGACTTCAAGGTACCACAAGCCCGGCATTATCTGCATTTGAAAAAATACCACTCGGAGTATAACGACAGCATCCATCGAATCCTGAAGGATGATCAAGCCCTTTTGACATTGATTAGCCATCAAATATTTCCCACGATCAGCGGTTAATATTCATGGTAAATCTGATCAGTTCTTGCTTGCCATTTGTTTAGTATTGGTAGCCATCAATCAGTATCCTTATCCGAGGAACCGGCGACCCTCCCCTCCCCCCGTTTCTCTTACATATTTCCCTTACATATCCCGTGGGATGCCGAGAGTTCTCTGACCTCACGGAAGAGTGAGCTTCGAGTTCGTTCCCCTCCCCCATGGAGAGTTGAGTTTGTGATAGAACATCAAGCATTCATGTGTGGGGAAAAAAGCAAAAAAACGATATAAAAGTAGCTAATGTGGAGCTTATTGATTTTTGGCGGTAGATGCGATAATTCAAAATCATATCATATCAATGATCGGCCTGAGAACTCTGAGTGAGCCGTACCAGTACCGGTACTGTATGATTTGTCCATATATCTAGGACAACGCAAACCCTGGCAAAATAAAATGTAGATGTGGTGCGATTGATATGTACTAGAGTACAGTATGCTGTATACTCTCAGGTATGCTGAGCACACGAATTCGAAGAACTATCTAGAAGAAAATAGTGAGCCCAGCCTGCTTGTGAGCTTGCCATTCATTCATTCATTCATTGCATTTGTTCATGGACCCATGGTTGATAAGCCCCACTGTCGTCCAAAATAATTACCAAGACCGGAACCTTCCCAAGCATTCCCCGCGCCGTTGATCTTCTAAAAAATTGCATAAAGGATTCACTCTCCCCTTTCCGAATTTAAGTTCATTCTTCACATGTCATATTTGATCTCACGTCTAAGATTATCATCTTCAAGAATTCCAATTCAAACCAAATCTCAATACCGAAACTTCTCTCGCACAAACGTTATTATGGGTGTTAATAAGACTATCTTGAAGGAAGGTACTGGTGCCACTCCCAATGTCGGAGACACTGTCACCATTCAGTACACCGGATGGTTGAAGGATGAGGCCAAGGGAACTACTCTCGATGAGAAAAAGGTTACCCCACCGTAAGTACATTAAAGCAGATGCCCATTCTCTCTTTCCTTCACTTCAATGCTGTCTCCATTCGGTAGCTAACAAGCCTCTTCGCAGATTCGATTCTTCTGTTGGCCGCGGTGCCTTCGTTGTTCAAATCGGTGTTGGTCAAGTCATTAAGGGTATTTTACCCCGCCATCCAATGAAAGTGACGTTGGATGCTTATTGACTGGATAATATTAGGCTGGGACGAGGGTGTTACCACCATGAAGGTCGGTGAGAAGGCTACTCTGGACATTACACCGTAAGTTACACTCGCCAATTGCGTTTTAAAAATGCGAAGCTAATATATTTTCTCATAGTGATTACGCCTATGGTGCCCGGTAAGACCCTTCGAATCCCCCCACCATTTCTCTTTCCGTGCCGTCTCAACGGGCTCTACCCTCGGGAAAAGACGGCTATACCATGGAAGAACGGAATTGCTGACCCTCGGTTCTATAGTGGTTTCCCCCCTGTCATCCCAGCTCACTCGACTCTTCTCTTGTAAGTCTCAAATTTGACACACCAGATCTACAGGGTCTTCCACTAACAACAATACAGTGACGTTGAGCTTCAGAAGATCAACTAAGTGCGCGATATCCACAAAAGTTTTCAAACCTAGACCGTCGTAATGACGAGGAAGCTCAGGCTCACGATGAATGAATGAACGAATACATAGTGGTGGAAGCATACATGAACCGCCCATAAAGTTGAGAATGAATGCCACGTTGTTTTCCCAGAACTACCACGCATTTGGCCCTTTGTGATTGACTCTCAAATCTATAAGTGATACATCAGAAGTGAACAGACGAGATATTTGACCGGCGAACCTAGATCTCTAACCACCTTTAAATACCTAGGATCTATAAGATACAAAGGTTGGTTCAGTATAAGGAGGGGCAGTATATCTAGCTAGTATGGACTTTGAAGCTATCTGCTACTAATCGGGCATGATGAGTGATAAGCCCAGCCTTATGGCTCGGAATGACAAGCAAAATAATCTGTTCATCTGCTCAGGCAAATTAAGTGTCCAGATGGATCCTCCTGAGATCATTGGTAGCGAAAAGCAAAAGCGCATATCCTTTGGATGGCATAATCTCCATCGCATACCATTGAATAAATGGGCATTAAATCTCAACAACTGAGTGACAATAAGATGGCATGTCTATATATAGCGTTGCTCTCAAATACTGATACGTGCCGACTAGTAGAAAAAGTTCCTCTGCCAGATCCAAGTCTGACTCTAGATGTTTCCATTAGGTGAATAAGGAAGGATTGTGTGAGGCGAAAAGGCATTTGATACCCGTAAGCAACCAGCAGCTTCCAATTCTTCCTATCAACAATATTTCTTGAACCCACCCACCTCCATCTCACATTCACCTTACCCACTCATTATTAAATCAACAAGCAACAAGCAGCACGCAACAGACAGATAAATCTTAGTGAATTTTAAATTGTTAGATCCCTTCTCGAGAAAGTTATCAGCGTATCGCCCAGACTTCACAAGGCGGCAACCCCACAATATCTATCCAACATCCAAGACCCAAGTCAGCCTTAAGTTGGTACAACCTACTCAAGTAGTGGACCAGAGACAATCCTTCTTCTGGAACACTTATCAAACGTCAACATTTCATCAACTATTGATTTAAACAGTGCTGGCAAGCTGGGGAAACGTAAGCTCTCCAACGCGGATTCTCAGAGGCCAGATAAAAAGATCATGACGGTAGGTGAAAGCTACCCCTCCAAAATAACAGCTCTTATGAGAGATTCAAGCTCTACCAAAACAATTTTTTTTATACAGCATTGCACGAACTAATACTGATTTATCTTCTCAATAGGCCACACACGCAAAAGACATGGATATGGATACCCAGATGCAGGTGGACGAGTCGGTGGTAGGCCATACCGAGATCGACGAATCCCTCTACAGCAGACAACTTTATGTTCTAGGACATGAGGCCATGAAGCGCATGGGTGCTTCGAATGTGCTCATTGTAGGACTCAAGGGGCTCGGTGTTGAGATTGCGAAGAATATCGCTTTGGCTGGTGTCAAGAGCCTTACCCTTCATGATCCTGCGCCCGCAGTCATCTCCGATCTTTCCTCTCAATTCTTCTTACATCACCAAGATGTAGGGAAGCCTAGAGCGGAAGTGACCGCACCCCGCGTTGCGGAACTGAATGCATATACCCCAGTTTCCGTGCACAAATTTTCGAGGTAATTCAATTTGGCGCGGTGTTATTATATACCTTTGCTAACATTAGCTCTCGCGCAGCTTGACAGATGACCTCACTCAATTCGATCGATACCAAGTCGTTGTTCTCACCAATACCCCTCTCAAAGACCAAATCGTTATTGGTGACTATTTACATAAGAAGGGTATCTATCTCGTAGTTGCGGACACTTTTGGTCTCTTTGGATCGATCTTTTGCGACTTTGGGGACAAGTTTACAGTTCTTGACCCGACAGGCGAAGCTCCACTTAGCGGCATTGTTGCTGGAATTGATGACGAAGGCTTGGTATCCGCTTTAGACGAAACGAGACACGGCTTAGAGGATGGGGACTACGTTACTTTCACCGAATTAGAAGGATTAGAAGCTTTGAACAGCGCCGACCCTCGAAAAGTCACAGTGAAGGGACCATACACTTTCTCTATCGGGGATGTCACAGGACTTGGTCAATACAAGAGGGGCGGAATGTACCATCAGGTTAAAATGCCGAAGTTCATTAGTTTCAAACCATTGTCAGTTGGTTTGAAAGATCCAGAACACCTCATTTCCGATTATGCAAAGTTCGATCGTCCCCAGCAGCTCCATGTCGGATTCCAGGCTCTTCATGGATTCCAAGAATCTCAAGGTCGTCTTCCGAGACCGATGAATGAAGAAGATTCCCAAGTCATTATTGGGTCTGCCAAAGCTTTTATCGAAAATGAAAAGATGGATATTGAAGTGGATGAGAAGCTGATCGCCGAGTTAAGTTACCAAGCTCAAGGTGATTTGAATCCCATGGCAGCTTTCTTCGGCGGTCTTGCAGCTCAAGAAGTATTGAAGGCTATTTCCGGAAAATTCCACCCAATCAACCAATGGATGTACTTTGATTCTTTGGAGTCCCTCCCTACTAATTTCAAACGAACCGAGGAGACATGTAAGCCCACCAATTCTCGATATGACGGTCAGATCGCTGTATTCGGAAAAGAATACCAAGATAAGCTGGCCGATATCAACCAGTTTTTGGTGGGTGCTGGTGCCATTGGCTGCGAAATGTTGAAGAATTGGGCCATGATTGGTTTGGCCACTGGCCCCAAGGGTAAGATCTTTGTCACTGACATGGACTCTATCGAGAAGAGCAATCTCAATCGCCAATTCCTCTTCAGACCTAAAGATGTTGGAAAATTGAAGAGTGAATGTGCTGCTGAGGCCGTCCAAGCAATGAACCCTGATCTCAAGGGGCACATTGTCACTATGCGTGACCGAGTTGGTCAAGATACCGAACACATCTTCAATGAGGAATTCTGGCATGAACTTGATGGTGTTACTAACGCCCTTGACAACGTTGATGCTCGAACCTACGTTGACCGCCGTTGTGTCTTTTTCCGAAAGCCTTTATTGGAGAGTGGAACATTGGGTACTAAATGTAACACACAAGTTGTTCTGCCTCACTTGACCGAGTCATATTCCAGCTCTCAAGATCCCCCGGAACAATCTTTCCCAATGTGCACCCTCAGAAGTTTCCCCAACAAGATTGAGCACACCATTGCCTGGTCTCGAGAATTGTTTGAGTCATACTTCGTGAAGCCAGCGGAAACGGTCAATCTATATCTCACCCAGCCAAATTACCTCGACTCCACCCTCAAACAAGGTGGTCAAGAGAAAGCAACCCTAGAGACAATCCTGGAATTCTTAGTTGAGGATAAACCATTGAGTGTTGAAGATTGTATCAAATGGGCCCGTCTACAATTCGAAACCCAGTACAACAACAACATTCAGCAATTACTGTTCAACTTCCCTAAGGACTCAACCACATCAAGCGGTACACACTTTTGGTCTGGGCCAAAACGTGCTCCAGATTCATTGAAGTTCGACCCCAAGAATCAATACCATTGGGACTTCATTGTTGCTGGTGCCGGTCTTCACGCTTTTAATTATGGCATCAATACCAATGGTCTTGGCTCGAGCACCGTTCAAAAAGTCCTCGATAACATGATCATCCCCGATTTCTCTCCAAGCTCTTCTGTCAAGATTCAAGCTGACGACAGTGAACCAGTAAGTTTAATTCTCGTCTTGTAGCGCCTGAAAGTTTTTCTAACGATCTTAGGACCCAAATGCTGCAAATGGCTCATCCTTCGATGACAGCGCTGAGCTCCAAAATCTCACCAATAAGCTTCCATCGCCTAAGTCAATGGCGGGATTGAGACTATCACCAGTCGAGTTTGAAAAGGATGATGACACGAATCATCACATTGATTTCATCACGGCCGCCAGTAACTTACGTGCCGAAAATTACAAAATTGAGCTTGCCGACAGACACAAGACAAAGTTCATTGCTGGCAAGATCATTCCCGCTATTGCAACAACTACTGCTCTTGCCACTGGATTGGTAATAATGGAGTTTTACAAGATCGTTGATGGAAAAGATGACATCGAGCAATACAAGAATGGCTTTGTCAACTTGGCCTTACCTTTCTTTGGGTTCAGTGAGCCTATCGCTAGTCCAAAGGCTACATATAAGGGTCACAGTGGAGACGTCTCTATTGACAAACTCTGGGATCGATTCGAGGTTGAAAACATTACTCTTCAAGAGCTCATCGATGACTTCTCAAAGAATAAAGGTCTCGACATCAGTATGTTGAGTTCAGGTGTCAGTCTTTTGTACGCCAGCTTCTTCCCCAAGGCAAAATTGGCGGATCGAATGAAATTGAAGCTTAGTGATCTTGTTGAACTTATCTCCAAGAAGCCTATTCCAAGTCACCAAAAGGCTGTAATCTTTGAGATTTGTGTCGAAGATCAAAGTGGAGAAGATGTAGAAGTTCCTTATATTATGATGAAGCTGGGCAATTAATGATAGAATGAAAATGGATGGGGGTAATACCTCTCTCTATGGGATCATGAAAATTAGAATAGCGCGGGGATTATAAGTTTCAGCGAAATATAAATATTTTACCAAAACAAAAGAATTAAATTGTGCCAAAAATATTACATATGTCTACTCGTAGTGCTCGATTGATAATAATCCATTTGGCCTTCAATTGGATTTTCAATAGGTTACTGTAAACTTTAGTAAGTGCTTTGTAGTTGAAATGTAAGCAATTGGTAGGGATGGGATATCAAATCAATCCTTACCCCGTCATCACACCTTAAGCTCTCCATTCTTTCCTTTGTACTAGGTATGTAAATCATCCTCAAGAGTATAAAGAGCAATAGACATAACCTCTTATTTTCAATTGACATACTCAAGTTCATGCTTCTTTCTAGACTTTGTCAGATATCTAAGCAGCTTCCAATCTTTTCAATATTGACAATACAAGCTCGAGCTTTTGCTTCTACGAGTACTGCTTCAACAGATATGGTTCGTTATTACTGGGTAGCTTCTAAGCTCTCGATATGTAAATAGTAACTAACATGCGAATCGTACAGGCCGAACAAAAGATCACAAATTGGGTAGCACCTAATGATAAGTCAGGAGAATTCAAGAGAGGACAATCTCAATTCCGAAATTTCATCAAGAAAGGAGGAGAGTTTCCACCGGAGAAAGGAAGATATCATCTCTATGTAACTATCCCTTTCTCTGTGTTACATATTTCTCCCCGCTAATCACAATTCGAATTACAGGTATCATACGCATGCCCGTGGGCCCATCGCGCATTGATCGTACGCAAACTCAAAGGTCTCGAAGATATTATTCCATATACAAGTGTACATTGGCATATGGCAGAAAAGGGGTGGCGATTTGCGACTGCGGAGGATAATGATGCCCCGGGAGAGAACGTTACTTCTTCTCCAATTGAAGGGCACAAAGGATTCACACATTTGAGAGATATCTATTTCCAGGTGGATCCAGAATATACTGGGAGATTCACGGTTCCGACTCTTTATGATGTGAAGCAGGGAAAGATCGTTAGTAATGAGAGTAGTGAGATTATTAGGATGTTCTATACTGAGGTAGGTTTGAGTTTTGCTTTCTCCTGTCAGTTCCCATAACTTAGGGTATTGTCACTAACATCGAAATAGTTTGACGATATCATTGCCCCGGAATACCAGAATGTCGATCTCTTTCCTGCGAATCTACAAAAGGAAATTGAAGCTACCAATGAATGGACATACAATGACATCAACAATGGAGTGTACAGATCTGGTTTTGCTACCAAGCAGGAAGCATATGAGAAAGCCGTTACCCAACTCTTCACATCTTTGGATCGGGTAGAAAAACATTTGAGTGAGAACGAGGGACCGTATTATTACGGAAAAAATATTACCGAGGCGGATGTCAGGTTGTTCACTACGATTATTAGGTTTGATGTTGTTTATGTGCAACATTTCAAGGTATGTGCCTACCAAATTTACCGTTCTAAATGATTGTGGCAGTAGCTAACGAGTACGAAAGACAAATCTTCGGGATATTCGATCAGGATACCCATATATCCATAAGTGGTTGAGACACTTATACTGGAATTCTCCAGCATTTGGAGAGACAACTGAGTTCACTCACATTAAGAACCATTATACGAAGAGTCATACTCAGGTATTTACCCTCCTTTTCCTCCGAGAAAGCGAATTGTATGCTAATTTCCAATTAGATCAATCCATATGGTATTACTCCTGTGGGACCCGAGCCACCTATTTTGAGAGAAGATGAAGAAGTTCCAGCTGTGAAATGGGCTTTAAGTTCGAGGAAATGAGTTGATGGGAGATATCGCTAGGGATGTGGTTGGGTGTGAAGAAAGGCGACAGGTAAAAGGTAGAAGGTCTAAGGCTGTAATAAATTGAGAGTGAATCCTGTTTTGCAATATTGATTAACACAAAGCTTTCTTAAATTTCAATTATATAACGATTCTTCCCTCTATCCATATAAAATTAGCTCCATACACACTGCCCTGCTGTCTGTTGTTTGTTCGTCGGGGATTCATCGGTTGAAATCATTCTGCTGGCACCGATCAAGGTCTAAATAATACAGTAGATATAATTATATAATTGGCCGTAGCCATTAGCTACTAACTAGCCAGATCAATTAAATCTCCAATCAGCCAGATGCTGCGAGATATATCATATCATGATGACATGTATAGGTATAGGTATAGGTTTTGAAAAGGGATAGAGATGAGGGGTTGGAGTTTGGGGTTTAGGGATTAGGGGTTAGGTTTTGGGGTTTGGGCTGAGAAGGAATAGAGATGGGATAGAGAGGGAAGGGGGGGATGAGAGGGGGTAGAGAGGGGGATGAGGAGGAAGAGAAAGGGGGTGGAGAGGGGATATAGAGGGAGTGGAGAGGTGAGGGATGAGGGAGTGGAGAGTGGAGAGTGGAGGGTGGGAGTGGAGAGGGGAGTGGAGAAGGAGGGGGCGATGTTGATTATGAGATGAGAAGAGGATGAGGGATGAGAGATGAGGGGTAGATACAATCTATACCTATATCTATATCCCTAACACTACTCGTAGTACGAGTACAGTACAATACAGTAGTATAAATAATCTTCAATATTCGAGTACATAGTTAGTACTCGAGTAACCTTATATTAACTAAAAACATCCGAAAACATAGCTCGATTACACTATCTATTTCAGAAAAGTCAATGAGGAACTACGAGTATATACAAAGTACTAATCTTACTATACTCGAGTAAATATTTTCTTCTTTATTTGATCAAGATAAATATATAAACAAGCGAGTACTTGTATACCGGATTTCTCTATCCCCAATCATTCTTTTATTTGAATATTTAGAAAAGGCAGATACATGGTTATCAGGGTTTTTGTAATTTTTGTTCTCGGATTTGAGATGATTGTTTTTATTCATCTACTTACTTGACCATTCATTCATCCATCTATTCATCCCAGCATCAAAGAATCCACCCCAACATTAAAGAATCCCACCTAAACTTTTCCTTTTCCTTCCTTTCCTTTCCTTTTCCTTCTTCCTTCAAGTTCCCTTCCCTTCCCTCGGACCCTCGCAAACAACTCACTTTGAAGCTAAACCAGCCTTACAGATAAAAAAAAAATAGATACATAATTTATCCACATCCATATCCATGCATAACCCCATCCACCTTCCCCCTACCCCTCTCTACTCATCCTCAACCAATACCTCCAAACATATTCATGCCATTTTCACCAAGTGACTCCCCTTCCATCTCTTTCCTTCGCACCTCCCTTCCCCCATTCCATCCCATTCCATCCCCTTCTACATTTACGTCTACTTCAACTTTCTAAACCCCAATTTCGGCAATTTAATCCCAATTGTAAGTGCAAACGCCACCACACTGACCACCAACGCAAAGATATACGCTGCCCTCAATGCCTGCGCATACGAATCTATCACTTGATCTCTATAGTGTTGTTCCAATCCCGCTACTGCTTGGACTGAGGTGCGAACTGCTTCTATTACCTGTTGATTTTGTTAGTTGAATGCTTAATGCTTAATTTTGAGATTTGGGTTTCGAGTTTCGGGAAGCGAGGAAGGGGGTAAATAAATAAAAGGGGTATGAGGGAATGATGTGAAGATGTCAAAACTCACCTTCTCTTTATCCGGCCCCGAAACATTCTCATTCAGATACCCCACCAACGAATTTTGCACAATCAACGAACTAACCGCCACCCCCAAAACCTGTCCCATACTCCTCCATAGCACCAGCGTCGTCGTAACCACGGCTTGTTCTCCCTGTTCACTCACCGCCAATACACTCATAAAAGTACTTGGCATTTGGAATCCCTGTCCCATACTCGTTGGGATTAACAACAGTACATATGCCCAATTTGGCAGATTGCGATTCATAGCTACTAGACCGATTGCTCCAAGTATATAAAGTGTTGCACCTAAAACGAGCGGGGTTTTCAAGTTGCGAGTCCAGGTGATGAGGAATCCGGTTAGGGTACCGATGGCGCTTGCGGCGATGGAAGGGATGATGAGACGAAGACCGGATGCTGTAGGGGATTCGAGGAGCACGGCTTGGAAAAAGAGAGGGATGTTGAAGAGGACTGCGTTGATGACGAGACCGCCGAGAGCATTGCTAATGATGAGGGAAGATCGGGGGTTCTTGGTTAGGAGTGAGAGGGGCATGACGGGTTGGGCGGCGTGGTATTCGGTTATGACGAAGAGGGGGAGACAGATTGTGGTGAGGGCTATACAGGTGAGTATTATAGGGTGTGTCCAGGGATAGATGTTGCCGCCGAGGTTCTAGAGGTTGTTAGATTTGGGTTGTTCGTTAGGAGGAGGGAGATTTGAGGAGGTGTCTTGAGCGGGAACTTACTATCGCTAGGATGAAGAATGTGATAGTAGCCATGAGTAATAGAGACCCTTTGTAATCAAAAACACTCAACGCTTCCTTCAGGGTTTTCTTTCCCCTATTCAAACCCAAATCACTCGGAATGACAAAACACGAAACAATCAAACACAAAATTAATCCCGGAACTTGAACACCAAATTCCCACCTCCATCCAAGACGATCCGCAATAGCACCACCCAACGCCGCACCTGAAGCCGCCCCAATCCCAAAAACAATGTTCAGATACGATTGATACGCGCCTCGAATTTCAATGGGTATAAGATCACTTGTAATAATAGATCCCATTGACATGACACCCCCAGCACCCAAGCCGCAAACCGCTCTGGCAGCAATGAAACTCGTCATGCTTTGAGCAAGAGCACACCATATAGTTGAGAATAAGAACAAGATCATTGAAAATATATAAGGAGGTTTTCTCCCCATGGCATCTGACAGACGCCCGAAAACCGGTTGAAAACTTGTGGATGTGAGGAGAAATGCCGTGGATAACCATGATGCACTATTGGAAGAATGGAAATATGAAGTAATAACAGGATGACTCGAAACCATGATGGTGGAATCAAAAGAAGATAATGTATATGTTAAGAGGACACCGCCGAATATGAGCCAAAATCTTTTTACACCAACACCGCCTAAAAATGGGGATTTGGATTCTTCATCGATGTCATCGTCCTCAATGGTTTCTCGAATACTCCTGATGGAACCAGAGATTGATTTCCTTCTCGTGCTCACACGACTGGAATTTCTAGATCCTCGTTTGGTAGGATGATGAATTCGAGAACTCCGAAGCATAGATGATTCTTGGAGGTTGGTTTCGATTCCTATAGCTGTAAATGATGTTGTTCTCGATAACATGAGGTCGAATTCATTGGGATCGGCATCAGTTCCTGTTGAATCGCCATCATCATCCTCCAATGGTTCTTCAATTGTCGGTGTATCGTTGCCTGCAGGAAACAGAAGTGGTGTATTCTCTGTTGCAAGATCATTCGTGGCATTCTGATCGCCAGCTTGATGATTACTTTCCATCATGATGTCGAATGAAAACAAGCCTAAACTCAACAGTCAAGTCAAATCAAACAATCAACAAACACAAACACAAACACAAACAACACCCATATATAAACCCTCAAAACCCGACCTTGGAGTCACCGCTAGATTGATCAATCATTTTTTTTCTTTCAGGCCTTCTACAGCCTCCTACAAGGTAATTGCTGACTGAAATCTCGTCCACTTTCCTCCAGAGGTTAGAGGGAATGGGAAATATATACCCTGTGACCGTTTACATGTATATACCGCAATATCGATACGATAAATAGCCCAAATCCATTTAATATATCAAAGAATTCACCGAGTGAGTCAGTCCCACTTTCATATATGCACCTAGAGGATTCTTCATGCATATTACACCAGTTGCACACAACAGATGGAAGATATTTCGTGACGGGGGACCTATTAGAGGGGAGCATTAATGTTACTTTCAAATTCGTATATTGGGTGGGTAGGAACAGAATCTGAGATATTGATCTGACTGTTCAAGCAAACGAAACCCGTAGAAAGTTTATTGCTGATTGAAAGATCATGTGTGATGAATTGGAATGTAACCTTTCTTACATGTAGATCACCAAGTCAGAAAGGAGTTCAAAGGACTCAAAAGGGAGTTTGTTGATGCAGCTACGCCTTTCTGCAAACATGGATTTGTTGCAGACCTCGGGTGCTGTTGTGTTCTCGGTAAATATTCGGGACGGTCCCGAATATTAGTCATTATCGATAAGTGATGCGATAAGGGATGCCGGGGGAGAGAATATCACGGAGCTTTATCAGACTTAAACAACAATCTTTGACTAGATATTACGAGTAAATTCATTCTTTTGACAATACACTTACAAACAAACATATCAAGCTCCTTAAGACCTCTCTATCTCTCTCTCTTCCTCTCAAGTGAGCCCTTCACCATAACGGTATCTCCCATTTCCCCTCACCACCCACCCACTATGCCTCAACCACCCCTCCGCATCGCAATCCTCGAATGCGACACTCCCCTCCAAAACACCAACTACAAATACGGTGGATACAGCGGAGTATTCACTTCCCTCCTCCAACGCGGAGCCTCCTCCCTCACCCCTCCTCTCCCCGAATCATCTCTCCAAATAAGTAAATATGACGTTGTAACCGCGCAAGAATATCCTTCTCTTTTCTCTATAGATGCCGTTCTGATTAGCGGATCCCGTCATACATCCTTTGACTCCGATCCTTGGATATTGAAGCTTGTGGAGTTTGTGAAGATTGTTTTGGCGCAGGAGAGAGTGAGGGTTGTTGGGGTTTGTTTTGGTCATCAGATTGTGGGGAGGGCGATGGGGGTGAGGGTCGATAAGAGTGATAGGGGGTGGGAGGTTAGTGTTACGCCGGTTAAGTTGACGGGAAAGGGGAAGGAAGTTTTTGGGTTGGAGAATTTGGTTTATTTCCCCGTTCCTACTACATGGAAACGATTGGAGCTAATGATTCAACAGAACATATTTCAGATGCATAAAGATATTGTGTATGAATATCCTGAGGAAGTGGAACAATTGGCATATACGGATAAATGTGCAACGCAAGGAATGTATATCAAAGGGAGATTAATAACGGTACAAGGACATCCGGAGTTTACAGAGGAGATTGTAAGGGAATTGCTGGAGGCGAGACATACTTCGGGCGTGTTCGACGACGAAACTTTCAAGGATGCAATGGGGAGGGTGAGCAAGGACCACGATGGTGTCAAGATCGCACAAGCTTTCCTGAAATTCATCATGGAAGACTAGGCATGTATTGTATTCAAATTGGATACTCTGCTAAAATGAGAAGCTTGCATACCCTCGAACACCCATGTGAATACCCTATCCCTGATGCTGCAACAGAGGCTCAACCAGCTCCTATCACCTCATTCAACATTCGACACAAAAGGCTCAGCCAACTCCTATCATCTCATTCAAATTTCAATGTAGAGAGTCTTACTGGCCACCTATCCAAGTCTGCCTGAGCTTGAGTTCGCATCGAGACTTCACTTATCAATCCTTGAAGTCTATATTCCACATATTCCGCTGCTTCTCGCAGTGCCTTGATACTCTGCACTAAAAGACTCTGATCCACAAGATGCTTTTCCGCTTCCGACATCCTGTACTCAGCAGGTGGGAAAAGCTTGTTTCGCCTGTTCAACGCATCGACACAGTTGTGCTCGGAAACATTCCGAAAGAATCTAAGTTTCCAAAGCGTAGTCCAAGGACAGTATTCAGATTGGACCAAATGCTTTTCGATATATCCGGGATCGAAAGTTATAGGCTCTAGTGCACGAAAATCCCCTTCGTCTCCTTCGGTACCGTCGTGGTCTACCTCGTTGTAAGATCGCTTTGGACAAATCTTATCTAAGAAATCGTCGCCTTTTATGCCTATCATTCCTAGACACCTCCTACCCTCTGCAGCTTGGTCCATCCATTCAATACCACGGGAATTTGCTTCAAGTTCCCATTCGTTTGAGGGTGGTTTCAACGCATATTGTTCTAACTTTGATCGATTTGACTGGTTGAGTCGGTGAGAATGGAGATCCACATGAAACATTGACTCTAGAGACAAAGCTTGACTATCCCGCCTCGTCATACTCTCTGGGATTTTGATAGCTAGTATCTGGTATCCAATGCGACTCTCCGAGTTCTGAACTTGCAATTGAACGAACTCGAATCCATGGACGCCATCCCATCAGCATCGAGCTTTATTCCAACACGGATAGAATTGGAGCGGGAATAGCCGGCCTGACGTAAGACCAACTCCAAAAGATTCTCCGCTTCCGCTTCTTCTGGTGTCCTTTGCCAGTGACGATACTCTCGGACGTAGTCGAATCGCAAATTGGCAGCCATGGTGTTCTCGCTGTCCGTGTCGTAAATTATCCTCCGTCGGGTAGAATTCACGGTAAACTCTACATCCTCACACGCATATTCATGTTCATAATGGAACGTAATGAGGGCCTTCCGTGATGGGGCGACGATAGTCTCGGCAGGACTGCCAAGCGGCTTTAGCCATACGATGGCAAATTCGGTACTACGAGTATTAATTTTATCGTCCTCATCATCAGAGCCCAAATACCAAAAAAACCCCTAGAAATCTATATCAGTTTCTTAACATATCATGGACGCTGAAATTAAAACAAATTCCCACCTCCAAGGGGTAAAAATTGGCTTGTTGTAGACAACTCGCAATCATCTCGAACGAAATAAAATTCTTGATCAGACTAGGTACAGTTACCGACGTGATTATCTAGTAAGTCACAACTCTGTGAATCCTGACTGTGGATCGCGATGTGTGGATGCTCAATATATACATATATATCGCACGCTTGCTTGTTTGTTACCTAGTTTCAACATCTGCATAGCATGTTCCAGATCAATTCGCATTCGCATTGTGCAGCAGAATTCAGAATCAGAATCAGAATGATTCACATAATACAACACAACATAACATAACAAAATATAGAATGTTCCACCAGTACCGTACTCGTAGTAGGAAATTATTACATTTCATTACTCTCAGATAGATGCCACAAAATGCAATCTTACTATCTATTCGTTACTATTTGTATAGCATATTATGAAACTAGGTACACATACAATTCTGCTGGAAGCCTGGAATTTAAGCTATAGGTCTTTATTATGAGTATTCTAGGAGTATTCTAAGGAGATTCCTGAGTTTTTTAAGGATAAAAAACAAATCTATTTATATAGCGAAAAAAAGTATCTTTCTTGAAAACTTGATCTATAACTTTGTTGAGAATATAATATAGTTTGCTTTGATATAAAAAGCAAAAAATTCGTTTAATTTAGTTATATTACTCAATAATACAATATAATAAGAAAGACTTGAAGAAATTCTTGAAATATTGAATAATAGTTTTTTTATCTTTAAGTCAACTACCCTACTTATG